AAAGGGCTGGCCTCTGATTTTAAGGTTGTGACCCCTGGTTTTAGTTTCTCCAACCAGGGAAAACAATCTCCCACTATCTACTCTATCATACCCTTTGATGATCTTATAGGTTTCTATAAGATCCCCTCTAATTCTTCTATATTCTAGAGAATATAGGCCCAAATTGGTCAGCTTATCCTTGTAAATCATCCCCTTCATCCCTGGTACTAACCTAGTAAATCTACGCTGCACCCCCTCCAAGGCAAGTACATCCTTTCTTAAATAAGAAGACCAAAACTGGACACAGTATTCCAGGTGTGGTCTCACCAGGGCCCTATACAGTTGCAGCAAGACTTCCCTACTCTTATACTCTAATCCTTTCATAATGAATGCTAACATACCATTAGCCTTCCTAATTGCTGCTGCACCTGCAGACTAACTTTCTGTGATTGGTGTACAAGGACACCCACGTCCCTCTGGACGCTAACACATTCCAATCTCTCCCCTTCTAAAAAAAACCCGCTTTACTGTTTTTGCTACCTAGGTGGATGACTTCGCACTTCCCTACGTTATACTTCATCTGCCACCTACCTGCCCAATCACCTAACCTATCTATGTCGCGCTGCATTTTTTTAATGTCGTCCTCCTAGACACTTCCTCCTAGTTTTGTGTCATCCGCGAATTTAGATATATTAACTTCGATATCCTCATCTAGATCATTAATGTAGATGGTAAATAGCTGAGGCCCAAGGACTGATCCTTGTGGCACTCCACTAGTCACATCCCGACAATCTGAAAAGGGCCCGTTTATCCCTACTCTTTGTTTCCTACCCGTTAACCATTCCCCAATCCACGTTAATATGCTCCCCCCAATTCCATGGGCCCTTATCTTTTGGACTAACCTTTTATGCGGCACCTTATCGAATGCCTACTGGAAGTCCAAATAGACCACATCCACTGATTCACCCTTATCTAGTTTACTGGAAATATCCTCAAAAAACTCTATGATATTTGTCAAACATGACTTCCCTTTTGTAAAGCCATGTTGACTTGGCTTAATTATATTTTGCTTCCCTAAATACCGCACTACCACATCCTTAATCAATGATTCTAAAATGTTTCCCATCATTGATGTGAGACTAACTGGCCTATAGTTCCCCATCTTTTTCTTTCCACCTTTTTTAAATAGTGGTGTGACATTTGCGATCTTCCAATGCATGGGGACTGTTCCAGAATCCAAGGAATTTTGGAAGATCAGACATAAGGCCTCCATTATCTCATAAGCTACCTCTTTTAAAATCCTGGGATGCAAGCCATCCGGACCAGGGGATTTGTCACTTTTTAGTGCTAACAGTTTCCCTAGCACCAATTCTCTACTCATGAAAATTTCCCTAAGTTGCTCCCTGTCGTTATCCCTTTGGTGCATCTCTATTGTTGGCAGACTTGTTGGGTCTTCTAGGGTGAAGACACAACAATGTTACTACATCAACTTGAGGTATTGAGTCAGTGGCTGGAGGGCATAGCTATAAGGTAGTCCAAAGAAGACTGAAAGGAGAATTTTGTTGGATAGTGACATGTCATGTGAAGTAAAGTGGTAGAGTTCATTGTGGCTTTCTATAGGGAAGTAGAAGGGTATGTGAAAGATAAGAGGCTTGAAGGGTGATGGGAATCAGGGAGAGGCAGTAGGATTCAAAGAACAGATTGCTCTGAGAGCTGGTGCAGACTCACGCACAATGGGCTGAATGATCTCCTTAACACTCTAAACTTCTATGATTCTAAGTTCAAATGCCGTAAAATACCACAAATTGGAATCTGTTATTCAGGTCAGAATTATATTTGAATTCAGTTTCAGATTCAAGCTTGTTAAAGGCATAGCTGGTTTTGAAGCCAGTTGACAAATACTGAAATGTTGTGTCTTAAACCCAACCACAGCATTTCCAGTTCTCATGTTGAACACTGATAATAGTAACAGTATCACTTCTAGTGAAAGAACACAAAATTAGTTTAATGACATTTTTGAGGTAAGATGGTTTTGATGTGCAATCATTTAAGGATATTGGCATGACATCCAGTAACCTAGATCCAGTTGTTACTGAATTAACCTGGCATAGGTGTACCATAAAGGCAGCCGTGTTATCCTCGGTCCAAATTTAACTTTATCAATATATTAAACAAGAATTCAAAGCAGGTAACTCGTGCTTTGGATCGCTGTTTTGCTGTCTTCCTTAATGACTGCCTTTGATCTCTTCCTTCCACATCCTGAATATGTTTCTGATTCCTCCACCTCAGTGCCTCTATCATGCCTCCTTGAGTCCTGTAGCTTGTATTAAGTTCTCCCAGTGAGCTAACTTTCTCTTTCCAATGCTGGTCATTTGCAGAATTTCTGGCTTTATTTCAGAGGCTCAAGCAATGCACCCAGCTTCCAACCAATAGTTAGGAGTGAGTGAGACCAAGTGATACCTAGATGTTCAAAGCTGCAAGCCTGCCTTCATGTCACCACTACCACAAAAACAACAACTGCTTGCATTTATATAGAGCCCTTAGAGCAGGATATTAAATGCAAGGATTATTATAGGATAGTGTCTCATAGTGCTGCTGCGCAAGGTTGAACATTGGTTCAAGGGTTGGAGAGGGTATATGTATAACATATACATGTTATAGTGTATGCATGCCAAGTTCCACTGGAGTTTTATTCCCATTGTTTGTGAGCACATTTGATTGCAGACTGGAAAAATCTGTGTTGATTATTTTATCCAAATAAAGAAACAATCATAATGCACAGCGTATACATCCTAAAGGGAGAAGATTTTAACTTTATATCCAGGTTTATCTGGATTAGAAAACAATAAGTAAACATTGATATTTGTCTTTTTTTCATAGAATATTACAGCACAGAAGGCCATTCAGCCCATCGTGCCTGTGCCGGGTCTTTGGAAAAGCTACCCAATCAGTCCCACTCCCCCACTCTTTCCTCATATTCTTGCTAATTTTTTCCTCTTCTTGTACCTATCCAATTCCCTTTTGAAAGTTGTTATTGAATCTGTTTCCCCCCACCCTTTCAGGCAGTGCATTCCAGGCCATAATAACTCTGTGTAAAAAAAGAATCTCCTCCCCTCTGGTGATTTTATCAATTATCTTGAATCTATGTTCTCTGGTTACTGACCCACCTGCCAGTAGAAACAGTTTCTCCTTGTCTACTCTATCAAAACCCCTCATAATTTTGAACACCTCAATTAAATCTCCCCTTAACTTTCTCTGTTCCAAGGAGAACAATTCCAGCCTCTCTCTCCACATAACTAAAATCTCTCATCCCTGATACCATTCTGGTAAATCTCTGCATCCTCTCCAAGGCCTTGATATCCTTTCAAGTGTGATGCCCAGAATTGGACACAATATTCCAGCTTAGGCCCAACCAGTGATTTATAACGGTTCAGCAGAACTTCCATGCTTTTGTACTCTATCCCTCTATTTATAAAGCCAAGGATCCCATATTTTTTTTTAACAGCATGGCAGCACGATGGCGGGGAATGCCTGATCACATGGAGAGCAAAGGGGACCCATTAGAGTGTATTATGAATGGGATCCTTGAATGGTGTGTGCATGTGTGGTGTTCTGTTTGAGGTAGGCGCGGAAAACAAAGTTTTGACCAGGAAGCCGATAAAGTGCGGTGAGTGTAAATAATTCACACATTTGTATCATCTTCCACTGCAAGAAAAATAGAATAACATCAGGGAAGGCAACAGAAACGTACAAATAAAACATTTACAGAATGGAAAACAGGTTGGAAAGTACATGAAAATGGTTGTTCCGAAAAATTATGGGTCTGAAAAATTCCATTTTAAAACCTTGGCTCAATGTCACCAGCCAGTTCAGTACTTGTGTGTTTGTTATAATAATAATCCTTGCATTTGATATAGCGCTTTTCACGTCAGGAGGACGTCCCAAAGCGCTTCACAGAACACACTGTAAAGTGAATTGACTGTATATTTGTGGGCAAACGCGGCAGCCAATTGCGCACAGCAATGTCCCACAAAAAGTCGTAGATTGAAAATGACCAATTTTTTATTATTGTTTTTGGTTTTGGAGGGATTATTATTAGGCGTGTGGAGTAAGGAAACTTGCCCAAGGTTTCGCCCTGCCTGGAATTGAACTCAGGTCTCTTGCTTGCAAAGCGAGTGCTCCAACCACTGAGCTGCAGGACTCCACTTGTTGTGTGTAAATCATATAAAACCCGACTTATACGTAACTTTATATAAGTCATATATGATACGACTTATGCAAGTTTGACATACAACAACAACTTGCACTTAAATAGTGCCTTCTATGCAGGGTAGTATCTCAGAGCTCTTAACAGTGGCAGAGACTGACTTCGAGCCGGGGGAATGTGGCTGTAAGCATGATCAAAGAGGAAAGTTTTCAGGGGGGACTTGAAAGAGGGGAGAGAGGCGGCAAGGCGGAGGGATTGAGGGAGAGTATTCCAGAGTTTTGGGACACTTTGCAGACGTCATATTAAATGTAAGGTCCCAACTGATAAGACTTATGCGAGGTTTACTGTATAGGTCAATTATTATTTGGACTCAATTTTGTTTGCATTGGTTTTGTATTTTCCAAGTCAAAAATTGTCCTTGGCAAAATTCATTAACATAGTTAAAATCCCCCCCCAAAAAAGTTACTTACAAAAAAATTGTCAATATTATCAGACAAAAAGCAGATTTCCACTAACCTGAGTTGTATCCCATGATAATCGGTATCAAATGGACAGTATCAAAAAATTTTATAGCAAAGCTTCAAAAGCAATTTAAGACTAATCAAAATCTTCACTCTACCCTTTCCCAATATTGCAATTGTTAGTGATAATCAAAGATTACTTTATTCACATGGCCGCACATTTACAGAATTATATTGATTACAAAATATACCATATGAAAACTAGATTAATATAAGAAAGCATGGATAATTTATCAATTTTTTACTGAGAGTGCAAAGAAAATAAATCTTATTTTAAAAGACTTTGCTCAAAACAAATATATCAGAGAAACAAATATCTTAGAAAATCTTTAGCAAGTTATCTTTTCATTCCATATGCTTGCAGTCAAACTATAGCAGAAAATACATATGTGGAAATCATTCTGTTTGTCCTAAAATAGAAGGGTTTCCCATTTCATTCATTGCAGAAATCTCCAGTGGTTACATCGAGTGCAGAGACAGCATGACCTATAGAAACGATACAAACTGATTCAATATGATAATACTAATAATAATCCTTGCATTTGATATAGCTGATATTTGATATGATGCTGGTATTCACCCATAAAGGATACTTTAGTAAATGGTATTTTAAAGATTAGCTTCAGGATTTAAAGAAGCACAAAAGAGCCCCAAAAGGTGTTGCAGTGAGGGGATATCATTGCAACCAGCCTTATTACAGGACCCAATCGCCAGTCAACACTTGCGCATTGTGAAATCACCGACACGTAACCAGTGAGGTCAGTGTGTGTGTGCGCAGAAGGATGGCTGACTCCATTGGTGTGTCGTCACATTGCATTGTTGCTCTTCAAAATGTGCCATGCTGTTTCAAACATGTCATCAAGTGGAATGACACAGTTTGAAGCCAAGCACTATGAGAAAGACATGCGAAAAGACGATTCGGCTTTCTGTGCCTAGTTTGGAATTTCTGGGGGTAAATATCATAATTGTCAGGTTTGCAAACTTCAACACAACACATTATAACAGGGTTTCTAACATAGCTATCATTGAGATAGGTAAAGATCGGTAAGAACTATCTGAACACATAACCGAACACTTGAGATATTGGGGTTGAAAATGTAACAGTGGAAGTGGTTGCACTAACAGCCACTTGTGGGTTTTCCTCTCAGGATGTTTCTCAGCCAAGAAAAGATCAAAAGTTCAACAAAACGTCAGAAAACAATATACAGTCTTTGAGATTGTGATTGTTTTTAGTCATTTACTTTTTGTGAATTAGATTGTGATAATATATTTTTTTATAATATATAATCCTATAATTTCAACTGTAAACCAGAGGTTACTATTAGCGTAGTGACGTGTTACATTTTCAAAGCCGATGTTGTTAAATTAAAAAATCCAGAGCAGATGCTACTTTCTTTTCCCACTTCCTTTCCTGACGACTAGCTCTTCCTCGCATTTGGTCTCTGAGAGTAAGACACCCTCTAATACTTCACTCAGGTGGCCTTTCTTTCCTGTGTGAAGCCAGTCAATGAGTTGTCAACATAACTAAACTTAATCCTATATCAGCCAGTATCACACATGCACTTTCCAGCAGAGATCACTTGATAATAATCAAGGCAGGAACTCTACTCATGGTCCCCTCCTCAACCCAGGGATACTAAAGCCTTCAGTGCTCCAAGCGCTGCCTGGTTGAGGTCAAACCTGGACCTTCTAGGTTGTATGACAGTTTTACTCCTGATAACAACTTGCAACAGCAAAAACAACTACCCCACCCTTCAAGCAGGATAGCATCTCAAAGCACAAGGGTTTACCATTATGCTGTCAATGATATAAATGTGTGTAACATTAACTCTAGAGCTATTAAGTTGCAGATCCTGTCATAAATGAGAGTATCTGACAGAGTACTATCTCTAACTGCTTATTCTTTTCCAATGTATTTGTAAGAATCAAAAGTCAACCAGCCTAAACAATCTTTTTCATTTTGAACCTCACCTACCCGCTCTCCCATCATTTGGATGAAATGCCTTTTGTTGTGTCAAAAGTGCAGCAACATAGAAGTATATTTTTGCAATGGAAAAACAGCTATAGAAAATACTTTCATCTGAAACTCTTATGATGTTCTTAACATCATCAACTCACTGCACAAAAGGAATTTCTTGAGGATGTCTCTCAAATGCTTCTCTCGAGAAACCCAACTACAATAGTTGTCTCATGAACCAGTTTATATTTTACTGGTCTTTCCTGGCAACCTATTCCACAAATCTATTATCCTTCGAGGAAAAATATTAGTCAACTACAAACTTCTACTTTTAGTTGTCTTCTCTGATTCTAGAACTTTTTGAACTTGAACAAGTTGCCTGGATTCACTTAGTCAATGGGGTCTAACATGTGGTTTCAATAATTTATAATGGACCAATTATGAATGTATCCAGATGTGTCTGAGGCAGACGCCAGATCTTCCCCGCCAAAAAACACTGTTCTCAATGTCAACACCGGACACAATATTCTAACTGTGGTCTGAATAACAATTTATATAAGTTTAGCATTCCCTCTAAGTTTATAATCTAAGCCATTATTTATAAAACCTAGGATGCCTTTAGCTTTCCTCATAGATTGGTACATCTGCCTTCCCACTTTAAAGACTTTAACAAGCATGTTCTTCTCTTCCTTTTAAATAATATTTGCTATTTAGCATACATTTGCTCTCTTTATTTTATCAAAATGTATAACCTCACACTTTTCTGCATGAAATTTCATCTGCCTTCTCTCTGCCCAATCTACATGTCTATCTATGTCCTCCTGAAGTTTCTTACACTCTCCAATAATAAACCCTGAGCTCTACCTGGTCTGGATGTGTGTGCATACATTTACAAATTTGTATATGTACAGTCTGCGCATGCGTGGGTGGGGGTAGGCAGTTGTGTGCAGGAGCCTATAAGCACTCTGAGACGCTGCCCCATGTGTAGGGTGCTATATAAATGCAAGATGTTGTTGTTATATATGGGTGTGCTAGCAGATCTTCAGTTCTTTAGTACAACAAAGTGCTGAATTGCACTTTTTATAGCACAGAACAAGCATTATTCAATCTATTTGTGAGAGCTGGTGACCAGTAGTCACATATTAACAAACAATCTCCACCTTTAATCAGTTGACAACACCTGGTAAAGTGTAAGATGGATTATCACAGCCTGAAATGTCATCTCCCTTTCCATAAAGACTTTGTGCCTTGGGACATCCTCCCGACGTGAAAGGCGCTGTACAAATGTAATCTTGTTGCTGTTGTTGTTGTGATTGGTGAAAACCATTAGAAATCTTTGCTTTGCAAACTGCAAATAAAAGAACAAAGGTAGAGTGTGAAGACATTTTGGACCAACTGCAGAGATAATTGTGGTCACTAGGAGCGAGAAGCCCACTTGGGAACTTTCCTCTCCCTCATCCGCCTTAAGACGTATCTGTATTTTTGGTTATCTCCCCTCTCACCATCACTACTCTCTTCAGCTCCCACCTCTTTGGCTCAGGTGCCCAGTCAGCAGTTTGAACGCTTTGAACACTCCCGACATGAAACGCGCCATCTACAATGCAAATTTATATTTATATCATGTGTTACATGTCAGGGTGGTGGTGGGGAACACACAAACACACACGCGTGTCTCAAAGCACTTCTGGCTGCTGGCTGGGCTTCCGATCCAAGGGGTGGGAGGAAAATAATATGTTATAAAGCACTTTGTAGGATTTACTGTAAAGTGTAGTGATTGGGTATGTTGTCGGCAAACAAATAGACATTTAATATAGCTGCTTTCACAATAGGATGCCTCAAAGTGCTTCACAGTATTTAGTTTAAAATGTAGTAACTGTGTATTTTGTAGGTGAAAGCAGCAGCCAATTTGACACATCAAAGTCCCAGAAACAGCAATGAAGTAGTGAATGACCAATATTATCTGGGGGATGGTTGGCAAGGACATCGGGAGAAACTCCCTTCTCTTTTTGAAATAGTTCCTTGGGATCTTTAACATCCACCTGAACAAGGAAACGGGACTACAATTTAACGTTTCATCTGAAAAAGACGAAGGGATCAGTGACTGAGTATAAAGAAGACCAAAAAGGAGAAACAAGTGAAATGGCTCCAACATCTGTACCTACTTTTACTCTTTGTCAGGATAACAGAAACAGCAACAATGAGAGCAAAGACACAGACTCCCACAACCGTTCCTGCAATAATAGCTTGTCTTTGATCATCTGTAAGAGAGGCCGAGCCTGAGGGCGTGAGTTGGTGCATGGCAGAAGTATTGTTTTGTTGACCCATAGAGAAGAAGTGGGATCGCATCTGAATTGTCTTCATAGTAAACTCAAGTTTGTAGTCAGTACCTACGAAGACATAATAATAATCATAATAACCCTTGCATTTAATACAGCGCTTTATCACGTCTTTTAGACTTCTCAAAGCGCTTCACAGGATATACTGTAAAGTAAATTGACTGTATTTTGTGTATTTCCAGAAAAAGAATAAAAACTAATGGCAAGGATTTCAGAATGGAATAGAATTTTTTTTTAGGCAATATTGGGTTCAGTTCCATAGAAAGTTTCCTTTGCTAACCAAACCATGAGATGGAAAGTAACATTGCATAGAATGCTGATCTCATTTCCCTTTCTCCAAGAATATGCTATTCTCCCAGCTGGGGCACAGGACAGCTCCTAAAGCTGGCAAGCAATGTAGCCAGATTGGATGGTTTTTTGTTGTCCTGTATGTGAAAAACAGCTTTCGGCAGGAGCCTAATTCTAATTTTTTTAAATTTAAACCTGTAAAATGTTTTTTTTCCCCTTTGAAGCCTTTTGTTTCACACAGTTTCAAAAGCACTTACCTCATTTGGCCACTCTGCTACCCACAGGAAGTAACACATTATATTGAGCTACTTTTGGACTAGTGTTTGGTACAAACGTATTTTAGTTTCTGGCCACAAATAGCCCAGACATGGCTCAAACCCATTGTGCTTCATGATGACACATGTTAAGGAATGATGTTATCGCAGCCATTGATATAAGCCTTTCAATACATATAGGTCCATTTGGATTCATAGATGATGGGTGAAAATATTCTTTGGGGGAGCTTAGCAGGATGGTCCTGTTCAGCTGTAGCTAGATCTGGGGGGAGCTGAGTCCCCTCTAGTCCTGGCCACCCGCCAACTATGGTTGAATTGCTTTGACTTTAATAGCACATGGAACTAAGGAGAAATCTTTTGGAATGCCTTTCACTTGTTCACCATAACTGAAATATGTCTAGAGAGACAGAGAGAGAGAATTGCTAGTTTAAAGAAAAAAGGCACAGACTTGGGATTTTACTTACCATTCTGAGCCAGAGCGAGGTCTGTGTAATTGGCCCAGCAGCCGCTAAACACGATGCAAGTTGTTCCATTGAGTCCTGCAACATTCCTGTTCTCAGCATCCTTAAGGACAGCCAGTAAAGTCCAGGACGCCGCACCCACAGACACACAGTTACCCTAAAACGTGAATGATGGACGTTAGAACATGTGCTGGTAACCCAGTGCATCAATCAGCAATGCGACCATTGGGGGCTGGGATGTGATAATCATCACCTGTGATAAATGCAACTGAAACAGAAACCCTGTTTCCATCAAAATGTCTTGATGGCGCCTGTGCTCAACAGATCAACACGGTTTGGGTGGGAACTAGATGTGGGTGCATTTGACAAAAAAAAACTTCAGAGCCCGATGCAAAGCCTAAAATAAAGATTTCTCGCTTTGGAATGGAGAGCACTGGGACCTGGAAAGCAACAACTTTTATTCGTGCAACTCGGCTGCTGGCAGCCTCTTCCGTTTTACATTGGTGTAAATGAAGCAATGCTGCAACTTTTAACATTCACCTCAAAGAACCAAAACACTAGGGATGAAACTTAAAATATCTTTTCCCTGCATATTTTATGGCGGCAGTACTTTTGAGAGAGTGCCGTTATAACATTGTGGTTGAAATCTCCTTACATAATAATCCACGGACATTACACTGGGCTGTTGCAGCAGCAGTTGTCCTGGCTCGCCACCGACTGGCTGTACGACAACAACCAGGGCTTCCACTACAGCCACATAGCTCTCGCTTGCTGTCGTCCTATTCACCGGCTTTGAGGCCACCTGAAAAGCAGTTTTCAATTGTGTTTAGCAATCACACAACTAAATGACAATGATTCAAATTGTATTGTTAATCAGAAAATAACTTTGGTCTCTCACAGCTGGCACAACATCCAATGAGAATGATCCCCAGTGTTTGAAGGTTGAAGGCATCTTATAAGGTGTATGGGAAGTCTGTCAGTGTTTTACAAACCTCCTTCCTTGGCTCTTTAAATATCTTGGGGGTACAGTTCTCTGCCACATGGAATTTATTGGTTTTCAGCCCCTTAAACCCATCTAGAATGTGTGCCTTGCTGACAGCAAAGTCCCTGAACGTACACCACATGTTTTGGATGCTGCACATCACAGTGAAGTATCAGTGTATTGCTAAATATTAAGCACTTTATTCCTGCATGTTGTTCCAGGAACAAGCATTACTTCAGTGTGAGGAAATCTAAGGTGCAAGTGGAATTTCTCACCCACTGTTTGCTCGTCTGGTAAGTGCAAGGTTTCCTCCTCCCATTATGTTTTACAGTCCTCTATCCTGCTACAAAGTTAGGGTCTAGGTGGACATTTACAGCAGCCATTCACAAATTACAGTAAAATAAAGAAAACACAGTTCAGACAGAAGAATTATTTTTGGCACAAGATGGATGCTGCTTGACATTGAAACAGAAATTGCTTTCCAACACTTGCTATGGGCTGAAAACAATGCACATGTGATGCCAGTCTAACGTTTAAATCTGAATTATTTATTTATTCAGCATATTGAGGGCTAGTGGCAATACACTGCTTGTTGGCATTTAAAACCCAGTAATTAAAAACAGGAGTTGCAAAAAACTACTTGTGCTGGTAACTGATTATTCATCACATTGACCCATGATAACTATTCTCTGGACAGGGATAATAACTGATATTTCTAAGGTATTTTAAATGGAATTACAGATCAGCTGTGATCTAAGAAAATGGAAGGGTAGACTCAATAGGCCCAAAGGCCAGCTCCTATTGCTCAGTTCCTAATAATTCAATATTGATTGTACGCAGGTTCATTTCTTTTTTGTGTAGTATTGTTCACATGTCCAGGGCTGATGGGTGAAAAACATGTTTAAATACAATCCTCAGATCAAACATCTTTTCTAATATTGTAGGTGTTACCTTCTCCCACTCTGGATCTCCAGGAGGTGGAACGGGAGTGGAGATCCCCATGGAAGAGATGGTAAAGCCCAGGGCTTCACTGATGTTTCCTGTCAGCATGGCTTCACTTAGATTGCTCGCCATTTCATTCAGCCCTGAGAAACTCAATGTGTCTGCAGAGTGCACAAAGCCAAGCAAATAATCAACTCATTGCCTCTGATAAGGAAGAAACAGCAACATTGTTTGTAGGTTCTGATTATATTAAAAATCTAATCTGGAACAATTTTTAAAAAACAGTCAAACAATCCCAGAATCCCATATGCTAATGGTGCTCCCAAAATCCCGGCATTTAAACAGGCTGCAGGAGTGAATGGGCCGATCTTTGAACCTCCTGGGTGCCCACCCATTGAGACACTCTCTCTCTCTCTCTGGTACCCTGTCTGAGGTGCTGATGCAACGCATCTTGGATGAAGCAAGATTTAGTATCTTGGGAAAATGTAAATACAGTTTTAAATTTAAAGACCATTATCTATAGTTTTAAAAAGAATTTGCAGAAAACAAACTAAGGAATCTATTTAAGAATTTGGCAAATTCTGGTGCTCTGAAATGTTATGTTAATAGAGTAAATGTTATTGGCCAACAATTTAAACAAAATTAAATGAAAATTGAAGGACTCTTCAGACTTGAAAGAAGGTATCTCAGAGACAACCTCCTAGAAGTATATAATATTTGAAATGGGAATGAAAAAGTGAACCCAGAACAATATTTTGAATGTACCAAGACAGTAGAATAAGAGGAAATAGGTTTAAAATTCCAAAAGGACAATTTCAGGACAGACATCAGGAACTATTTCTTCACTCTGAGAGTAATTAATGACTGGAAAAGGTTACCGGGAAGGGTGGTTGGGGCTAGGACACTGGACTCATTTAAAAAACAGTTTGAGGCTGTGATGGGAGGTCAGCAGGATGGGTGTTCTGGAAGAATGGGATCAAATGAAGAGCCTTCTTCATCCAAACCTCTCATGCGATCCAGACCCAGTTAGAATTTCTCCCACTTGTACCTATTCACTGAATGCAGCCAGTCAAGTTTCATCTGGGCATTGCTATCCCGCCAACCCGTAGGATTTAAGGATAAATCTTGAGCAGATGGCAACATAACCATATACTATAATACTTTTCTATAAGCCACAGTGGAGCAGCTAAAAGCTGTGCTCTCTAAACCAGCACCCCAGGGAAGAGCTGCTGGAAGATTCAATATACAATCAGCACCTGCTTACCTGGATTGGTTGTGGTGTTAGCAGTGACATTCTGGTCTGCGGAGAGCTGCTGCACAGGAGGTTCTGCAATTTGGAATTCAACCGTAATTCCCGGAGCACGCTTCCTGCGCCGACTTCCCTCACGCACAATTTTAGTGATGCGGATTTTACTTGAGGGAATGTTTAGGAAAAGAGCGAGATTATTGGCTAAGGCAGAATCGTAGAAATCATCCACCGTCATGGCAGGTAAATTAAAGGAGATGAAAAGCACAGGAGTTGTTCGTATTTTAACAGGGGTCGAGCCTCTCACCAGAACATTAAGCATCTGGTAAGTTCTGTCAAAGTAGTTGGATCCTGGAACTGTAGAATCCAATGGGGGAAGATATTGTCCTATGAACAGATAATTTTATTATTCTTATGTGCATGTAAATCCTTTTCATTTAGGTACATCTTGTTTATATAAATACAGAATTGTGGATTTTCTTTAATCTCATAACAGTTAATTATTTTCAGCATTTTAACCATTCCAAACAATCTATTGTAATAAATAAGTAAAATAGGTCATTCATTTTATAGTGGTTTGAAGGACATTTAGGTACTAGTCAATACCAGTAGGACGAGGATAATGCACAGACTCCCAGGAAGCGTCTCTTGTAGAAAATAAGATAATTACAAAATAATGAAGATCAGCACATCTAAAGGTGCATAAATATACTTTATTCATCAAACCACCCTCTCTGCGGGACCAGATTCCACACCAGAATTCCAGAGGTCAAAGAGACAAGGTGAAGTCTAATTTGTAGTTGGGTTAATAATCCATGTGCCAAAAGTGCAGGTTTGAATTATCCAATGGCAGACAGATGGTTAAAATCCTTACATGTGCCCTCACAGATGCAAGTAATACAAAGAATCCCAGAATCACTTGAATTTATGACTCTAGCTAGTCCTGAAATTAACTCTTATTTTGTTGGAACACCCTTGATTGTTGTAGATTAGTACATTGACAGCTGGTAACTACCGTCTTAACATGGCTTTGATCCAAACAAATAATGTGCAAGCTGTTATTTTAGAAAATGATGTACTCAGTGTTATATCCCTGGACTAGAGGACCATCCTGACACTCTTACAGAGACCAGACCATACAGCAGACCACCAAACAGAGTTGCTCTGGGAATTAGTACTGTACACTGTCGGCAATCTGTTATTTCAGTTCTGGGGAACTAGATTCACCTTGACAAATGCTAGTTGCATTCATATTACTTTCCTTTATTTAATCTTTGCTCAGCCACAGATAACCCATCCAACCAGTTTGTCACAGATTCACTTTTACATTTAGGCAAGTTAAGCAAAACAAACAATAAATGCTGAACATCAATCAAGTTGCACTTTTCCATATTAAAACTAACAGATAAATCAAATACTGTCCAATCGATATGATTAAATTCCTTTTTCTCTCTGCCTGCAAGAGTCTAGCATGAAATGCGTTTTGCAAATCTCAGCCTCCCACTCATTGGCAAAAAATCATAAAAAATGCTATTACCTAAACAATCATTAGCAGTGAGCTGGTAATCTCACTCAGAGAGAGAGAGAAAGATCTGGCTGGTCTTGTAACCAAGGCTGAACTGTGTGTCAGCTGCTGTAGTTTGCCTTCTGCTATCCTCGGTTTAGTCTCACCATGCTCACTACCTATTTCAACCACTAAATATACAGTCAATTCGCTATACAGTATATTTGAGACGTCTCAAAGACGTGATAAAGTGCTATATCAAATGATTATTATTATTACCTGCTCACTGTACCCCTCAATCGCTTTCTCTCTGTAGAAACACATGGTTACATTTATACTGTCTGCTTCAATGGTCTCTCCTAGTAATTTTGATGTCTTCAATATCGTTTGTCACAGAGTTCTACTTTCTGCTCTGCTTCAAACCAGCAATGTTGAGATACACTATAAGAGGTTTACCTGGGTAGATGGGTGCCTTTAGCGTGAAGTCAGTGTGCTGGGCATTCCATGCTGCATTCGTAGGAGCTACAAATTGCTCATTGACATACACATCTAGACGCTGTGGTGTGAAGTAATATATTGCCAATCGTACAGCCTGTTTCAGAAAAGCCAGACATATTGTCATCATCATCACACAGCTTTATCATTTCGCTTTTATAAAAAAAAATCACTTACTGAGGGTGCATTTTGAACTCTTTAACATCTGGGCAAACAGAACAGAAGTAATTGGAAATAGAAAACTGATTAAATTTGTAGTATTTGCATGGTGTTTTTTCATTTAGATTACGTGTGAGCTAATTTAATTCCTAACTTCTTATAAGTTTTTTTGCTTAGGGAACATAGAGGCTGCTTTTTCTAAATCCTATTCTGAACAGTTTTGTTGCTCGGTGTCGGATGCTTTAAGAGTATGAGGTGTAACGTTGAAAGGCTTCTTACTTTACTGTCATTGACGTTGAGAAGCATTAGTTGAAGTGTCTGAGGGGTAGTGCTCGTGAAGTATATATCATAGGACTTGTTTGTTGCTACGATTCCATGGAACAGTGAGATCCTTCTCCTACAGGTATAACCTGAGCACCAGCCGTGGTCTTGTGGACCTGATATAATACATCATATTAAATTCAACAATTTTTACTGCCACACCACAAAATACCTAGACTGATATTAACAATTTAATTTAACACTGATAATAATAATCCTTACATGTGATTTAGCACCTTTCATGTCAGGGGGACATCTCAAAGCGCTTCAGAGGATCCAGTGTGAAGTGTACTTTATCAGCAAACTTGATAGCCAATTTGCACACAGCAATGTTTCATAAACATGAAATGAATGACCATTTTTATTTATGGGATTGATGGCCATTTTTATTTCTGGGATTCTTTTCGAATAGCATCAAGGAATCTTTTAATGACCACCTGAACAGGCTGACAGGTTTAATGTCTCATCTGAGTCAGAGGCGAGAGGGCTACCAACTGAGTCAGATATGCAATCCAAACCAAGTTCTGCGATCGCCAGCATTGGAAATCCCTTTCCAGGTAGGATTGGCATTAGTTATTATACAGCTTACTTCATCCTAATTGCTCTGTTCCTTAGTTGGATTAAGGATCACATGAGCGTCAGATCTGAAAATGACACGTACCATTAATGAGGTCAATGTAGCCATCTGCAAGCAAAGCCACTGGGGACAGACGTCTGGTTTCTGAATCCGAGTCGAGACTCTCGATAACCAGCATCTCGTAATTTAGCCCAAAGCACTTGTAACTTTGCCAGTCAGACATGTAGGTACAGCTGGAGTCACGGATTATCCCTGCGGGAAGTAATGACCACAGATGTATGATTCCAGAAAGACATGAGATTATGGAAGAGCATTGGCAGTAAGGCAAAAGTATCCGCCCCTCGCTTTCAGTGCAAATTGATGGAATGTTGATTTGCCACCACAATTGCACAGGGGCTCACTAGTTCAGATCACAGTACAAAATATCTACTCTGAATTTGATCCCTTGGGTGATTACATCTTATTTCTGCTCTGATCTTGGTGTATCAGGCCATGGGAAACATTGTGCTTTCACATCAGGCTCCTCACGTCTGACATGACCTGAACCAGAAAGCTTCTTGAAGTGCGTTTATTGAATTTAGTGAAGCTCGTGTGGTGTTTTGGAACATTGCAAGTTATTTGATGATTGCAACCGTATACTATGCACTGAAGAGCTTGAATAGTTTTGTAACCTGTGGTGATACTGAAGGTAACAAGCCCAAGGTTTTCCTTTAAGACCACACAATAAAAGTATATAAAAAACAACCTTGGAAATACAAGTCAATGAGTGACTGAGGGAGAATGACAGGGTCACTCACACAAAACATGTTAACTTTCTCTTCCAGGTGCCCAGGGACTTGTTTTATCCTTTTTGCATTTTATGTCATTTCCAATCAGTACAATATTCCTTTTTTTCTAAAAAATCTAAAATCTAAGTGTGTCAAATTATTTTCCTAATTTTCTCCCTGCTGGACTATGGCGCTCCACTTCTCCTGTGGTCTCCTCTTGCTGGGGTGCAGTTCCACAGTGCTGGGTGCTCTCCGGTATCTCAGGACATTGTTCTGGCATGTGACGTGGTAGCGAGTGTCACCAGGCCACTCGCTTAAGAGAGCATTGCAGTCAAACCTTACCTTTCCCCACCTGGCACCGTCAGTAAAGAGGTTCTGAAGAGGAATAAGAAGCAGAAACCCTGTGATTTTACCCTTCATAATCCAGGGAAGGCTGGGACCAATTTAGCCTCTCCAAACAGCCCTGACTGTAACCAGCAAATCCACTTGAACTGGGATTCAAACTGATGAACAACTAGTTTGTAATTGGCAACTCTACCCATTATACCATGGATAAGACTGCCCTCAATATTCCTAGCACGCTGGAAAATATTTACTGTTGATATTCACATTACCAAACTTCTTTTGCGAAGAATTATCTGGGATTTTCCTATGTGTAGGTGGGATGCGTGGAACTCTGTTTGGTTTGGATACTCTTAAGACATGGTGATGGGTTTCTGTACGTGTCAGACACTCGGCTGACTGAACCCATTTGTTTTACTAACCTTGATGTGGTGCGATTTGTGGGACAGGAATGCGACTGCCATTTAAGTAAGTCAGCACCACTTTAGGGATTCGATAATCACCGAGGCCATGACGCTTGTCACCATTCCACTCGTATTCTGATTGAGGAACCACTGCTCCAACGGCTCCGAGGAAGGATCCATCAAGGTCTTTCAACAGAGACTTCTTCTTGGCATCACAGTCCATGTCTACACAATCTGAAGGGTTCACTTTCCTGTGAGGTTTCAAAAGAAATGTAATGCACATTAGTAAGAAGCATGCTGAGATGGCGTCCGGCGCGAAGGATGCTATATAAATGTAAGCTGTTGTTGTAACACTGGCTCTTAACATTCAGGTTCCTGGAACTCAAATAAAACTAGGCTTTCTTCTTTGGGAGCAGGCTCTTCTGTTATATTTTTGCTGCATTTTATGCATTAAAGCAATTTGATCTAAGTAGCAAATTGTCCCAGAAAATGCAGGATAAAGCTGGCTTTAGAAGCACAACTCAGACTGTTGTAATCATGTTACTGTGCTTTGGGATGTCCTCTCCATGTGAAAAGCACTAAACAAATGTAAATTTCTATTTGTGTATTTGCCAGTGCTGGCTTTCTCAAAGAGCTATCCATTTAGTCCCATCTCCACCTTTTTACTCCCCATACCTTAGTTCTCTTTTTTCACATATTTATCAAATTCTCTCTTAAAAGCTAGTATAACTTCTGCCTCAACCATGTCCCAGATAGGCCATTCCATATCCTGACAATGCTGTGTGTGTAAAAACAAATTCTCATAATCTCTCCTTTTGCTCCTCAGTTAATTACTTTAAACCCATGTCCTCTAGTTACCGATCAATGGAAATTATATGGCCCTGTTTCCTCCATCAAAGCCTTTTCATTTAAAAAGAACTCTATTGAGTCTTTCATCATATATAATCTCTCACCTTGACCTAATGCATTTTTAAAACAATTATCCTTATTTAATAATACATTGGCAATTCCTAATTAACTTTCGCCCACAAGATATACAGTCAATTCAGTTTACACTATATTCTGTGAATTGTTTTGAGACGTCCCGAAGATGTGATAAGATGCTATATAAATGCAAAGGATTATTATTATAATATAGCACTGCTAGCAAAGTTGATTCTTATCTCATATAGTAAAATACTGTACTTACTTTAGATTGGGCCTGTGTATATATACTTTTCCTGGCTCCTCGCTATCTACCATAGTGATTCCCTCCACTGAGATGGGGTGCTGCAGATCTTCATTCAAAGGGCTGGTTATAAACATGACATTCACCTCTCCTGAACAAACACCCTTGAAGCCAACAAATGTGGTATCTTTAATTTTAAAAAGTGAAGAATTAGATCACAATAACACAATTAGCACAATTAGCACTCACGAAAAATGTGACTTAGTTCTGACATATTCTTTTAATAAGTACTCCTAACTACAATGGGAAGATCTTCTCATAACCAGAAGTAAACTGACCTTATTAGGAAGCCACACTTGAAATGGTTTCAAAGACATTTATAACTTCTTGGATTCAGCAGAACTAACCTCATTCCAGGCATGTCTGCCTCCTTCAACTCTGATAGAAACACTTTTGATTATACTGGCTTGACTGGATGTCACAAGATTAGTTTTCATGAAAAATGCCCCTCCTGATCTTATCTTTCCAGAATATTTTTTAAAAGTTTTTAAGTGAGTCTAGTAACTTGGTCTCATCCTTACTGGTAACCTGTGTTTGGTCAACATCGGATTATGTATTATCTAAGTTATTGTAAAGCAAAATGTAACTTTGCAATGACAATAACTTGCATGCGTATAATACCCCTCATGTAGGTAATGTCTCAGAGTGCTTAAACAATGACAAATGCAATGACTGTCGATAGTGTGTTCATCTCTGGAAAGCTGGGTGTAGTAACATTATTGCTGTTCATTGTTTGCAACCAAATTGGTGCTTTGCAAGGTTAATTTCTTAGCTTACTTTGAACAATCATTAGTCCACTGATAGCAGGATAGCTCATCAAACCAGCATGGGAATGTTCAGGAGCATGGTTCTGAGCTGAAGCGAAGGTTGGCCAGCATATCCCACTTCTTCCCCCTTGTCAATAGAAAAAGACACATTGTTAATCAGAAGGTAGTTGTGACATCGCGCTTACATGAGGCTGTTCAAAAAGGGTGTCTTACCTGATGGTGGTCTGGTGCTCCGATCGAGCCTTGTGATACTCAAATTAGGATCACTAGTCAGTACATCAGAACAGTTGAACTTAGGACTAGTTCCTACCACTAAGGTACTCTTAAAAACAAACGTAAACACAAGAGCAGTTCAGATAAAAACAGCCAAATCTCATGCTTTCAGAACACTCTAAGTCTTTCTACTGCAGCATCAGTTTCCTAAATGGGTCCAGCATCCTGGTCTCAATCAACCTTCTTAGAACTTCTCCAAATGTCAATTAGCCTCTATATAAAGAAATACTCCCTGATGTCTGTTCTAAAGCTGCCTCTCCCAACGCTAAACCATCGTTCTACAATCTCGGTATATCAGAAAGTATTGTTCTGCATTAACTTTTGGTACAGAAGATTTCACATTGGGAGGATGTCTCGAAGTGCTTCACAAGATATACTGTAAAAAGTGGAGTAACTGTGCATTTTGTGGACGAATGCAACAGACAATTTGTGTACAGCAATATCTTAGTTGGGATATTATTGGCCAAGAAACCAGGAAAAATCCCCTTTTCCTCTTTCAATAGTGCCATTGGATCTTTTATTGTCCACCAAATAGGTCCTCAGACATCTCATCTGAAGGACAACACCTGCAACAATGCAGCACACCCCTGGAGTGTTAGCTTAGACTATATGTGTTCCAACTTGGGCCCACAACCTGCTGATGCAGAGCTGAGAGTTCTACCAACTGAGCCAAGCTTATTTAAAAGCCATAGAAACCCTATTCAATATATTCACATAAATACACAAAAATTTATTTTCATAAATTATATGAAACTGTAGAAGCTCAGTCATGAGCAGCAGATACCTGGCATAATACAGAAGACTTACATTGATAAGAACAGTTTTGTTAGACATCTGGTGAGAGGTAGCAGATGGTTTGTAAATCATTGAGAAAATACCCATCCCATTGTCAACGAGGGTCACACTGGAGATCTGCACAGATTGGCTAGTCTGCAAAAAAAGGTTACTTTTAATTGCTGTCCATTATCTGGGTTTCAAGATTTCATTACCATTTGTTATATCGATTTCAAGATCCTCACACTCATCTTCAAATCCTTTCATGCCCTCGCACCTCCCTACCTCTCTGACCTGCTTACTCCCCAGCCTGCTACTCGCTGCCTCTGCTCGACTGGCTCCGGCCTCCTGCTTGTCCCGCATGCCCTCCGCTCCACCAACGGTGGCCGTGCTTTCAGTCACTACGCCCCGAAACTCTGAAGCACTCTTCCTCTATACCTCCACTTTACTCTCTCCTTCCCCATCTTCAGGTCACGCGACCGTTCCTATGGTCACTCCCCTCCCCATGAATTGTGTCGTGCTCTGGGATGCTACACTCTGCCCTGCATGAGGGGAGCCATGTTGTTGTTTTTCATAAATGAAACTAAATTTGTTTCTTGATAGTTTGCAGAATGTAGAGGAAGAGAAGTTTGAGCAAAATAAGGGGCTCGGCAGCCTGGAAAAGGCCTAGACAGAGGAGGAAATAATACAGTGAGGAAGAAACGCATGTGAGATGATATATTCTTAAGCTGTAGTGAACAGTGTTTGTTGAGCTAGGACCACTCTTGCAACTTGGCTTGCATGTTTGAGGACATGTCTACACCTTCAAATATATTAATGTCAATTCAGTAAATCAGGCTCATCAACGTGCCATGGTTTTCTATAGACCTGGCTGGCTTTTGCCAGGCATGCCTCCTTCTAACTAATTCAGCTCCAGGAAGATGTTGCTCATTTCATTCTCGAGGAAAATAGGGTCATTATATCTGTAGATTGAGAGGAACAAGACAAGAAGAACATAGAACTATCAATAATGTAAAGAATAACAAGAGATTGCAATAGAGAAGTTGAAGGCTAGAGGTGATCGAAAGATTATCCATCAGATCAGATGACCTTTCAGCTGAAAAAAAAACGTTTCCTGTATTCAGTCTATTGGTATCCATGCCTTGCACCTCCATGCTTGACTTTCCAACATCTTGCTCACCAGCTCCACCCTTTATAAGTTCTAGATCATCCAGAACTCTACAACCCACATCCTGTCTTGCACTGGGCTCCACAAATCCATCACCCCCACCCAATTCTACTGGCTCTGTATCCCCCAGTAGAATGACTTTAAGATTCTAGTTCTCAACTTCAAATGCCTCCACGGCCTTGCCCCACCCTACCTCTGTGAGCTCCTGCGACCTTATTCCCCTGGACACTTTTTCTGCTCCACCAACCCCATCCTGCTTCACATCTGTCACCTGCTCTCCTCATCTCATTATCAGGGGCAAGTCTTCAGCCTCTTTCCCTCTGCACTCTGGAATTCTGCCTAACCCTCCTCTCTTTGCTTTCTAAAAATGTCTAAATCTCCCCACACCTTCCTCCAAGATTAGTCTCCCATCCTGCCTTTGTAAAGAGCTTGGACATGTACTCCCTGTGTAAAGAAAAATCTCTATTTAAATTCACATTGTTGTTGAGAGAGGGGTTAGAATCAGCTCCTAAATTTGGAGCAGTATTCAAGCCTGGGACATTTGCGAGACTAAACTTGATTGAATAGGCTCAAACTGAATTGATCATAAGATTAATCCTTCCATTTGATATACATCTTATAAATGCCAAATGCAGTGAATGTGTATTTGTGAGCGAACGCAGCAGCCAATTTGCGCACAACAATGTCACTCAAATAATATTGGACATATCAACCAACAGACAGACAAATGTATATTTACCTGGAAATATATTCCATAATCCCAACATTTCCAGATTGTGAATCCTTGGATAAGGGAACATGTGTAGAGACCATCCTGATTCATGTACACACCATACAATCCTCCATGGGCTTCATTATTAGACCAGACCTCCACTGGATTCTTTTGACCTTTGGACATTGAGTTCATATCAAATTAATTTAAAATCTCTCCATGGTCTAGCCCCACCCTCCCTCTGTGACCTACCAGCCCACTCACTCCTTCTTGCTCAGCAGGAACTGCCCTGCTTCACATCTCTTGCCCTGCCCTCCCCACTATGGCCGGTCGGTCCTTCGGTGTATCTGTCCCCACTCTATAGAACTCCATCCTAGAGACCATTCAGCTCAAAACCTTCTATTTGACTGCGCCTTCGGTCATCTTCCCACGCTCAGGACCTTCATTCTCACCCTTCCTGAATCAAACTCTCAGCTCAGGTATAAACCTTTGACTGTCCAGGGCCTTGGGGCATCCTCCAGATGTGAAAGAAACTATTTAAATGCAATTTGTTGTTGTTGTTCCTTCTGCCTCTCTAACTGTCTGTGTGTCTATCTCGCTATCTGGGATGTCCTCCCGACATGAAAGGTGCTTCATAACTGTAAATTTGTATTGTGTTGTAATACAATCAATGTTGTAATACCTCTTTAACAGCATGTGCATGTATGTGTGTGAAGATGTGTGTTTTCAAATAATTTGGGAGTCTGGTAACCTTACTGCATTTCACTTCTGCATCAGAGCTTGATGAGGATAAGTGGACATGCAAATAGTTGGAACATTGACTATTAATTGCAGATGTCATTGATTTTACCTAGTGAATTCAGACTCACTAGCTTGAACTTAGTAAACACAGATCTTAAAGTGTGAAAGCAATTTTGGTTTACAGGTCAGGTGAGATTATGGATAAAGTTCTGAGCAACAAACTGCAACAACATTTTTTGGTTGTGTCTGATACTAGATCCTCTGTGAAATAAGCTAAATTCACTGTGGCTTGGTGAGCTCACAGAGCATCAAGGTAAAATAATAAAAAGTGATGTTCGGATTCAGGTTCTGTTGTTAGCAAAGTATAAGAGCATGCCTGAGTATAACTAGTCCAGGACATACTGCAGATACCTCTCATACCTTGGTATTATAGTTGAGGGCTCTCTTGTTAATAGCTGTGCACTAGAATCGTAGAGCCATTTACAGTCATAGTCACAGTCATTTATTGCATAACAACAGTAAGTACACACAGTGGAGGGTCCAAAGCAGTAAGAGATACCTTCATGGAGCAGGAATATATTAGAGACTCACATACCTGGACATGGTTCACCATCAATGCGATAGGCAACCCGCTGAAACCCTGCCACAACATTGTCTTGCAGCACAACCTCATGTCCTTCATTTACCTTTAAATATTAAATAATTCAATTTTAACTGTTACAGCTAATTGCAGAGAATACATTATTTCACATCCGTGCCATGACCCGCTCTGCATTTCCCCACCTACTTAACATCGCCCAGCTCCACCACTGACACTTGCTTTCAGTCCACCGAAACCCACATCGGTCCATTTATCATATCCAGGCTTGACTACGTCAACTGCCTACTTGTCAGCCTTCCCAACTCTTCCCTCCACAAGCTGCGGATCATCCAGAACTTTGCAGTTCATGTCCTCTCCCGTACCAGGCTCCTTGACCCCATTACCCCCATCCTTCCCCGGCTCCACTGGCTCCCCATCACCCAGAGGATAGAGTTCAAAATCCTCATCCTCGTGTTCAAGGCCTTCCACAGACTCGATCCTTCCTACATCTGTGACCTGTTAACCCTATATCAACCTGTCTGCTCCCTCCGTTCAGCAGGCTGTGGCCTGCTCCACGTCCCCCACCCGGCCTGCCCCACCATCAGCAATCGGGCCTTCAGCCTCTCTGCCCCCAGCCTTTGCATCTCCATCCCACAACAAAAGCAACACATTACATTGGCATAGTGCCTTTCACATCGGGAGGACATCCCAAGATGCTGGATAGTCAGGGATTTGGACCTGAGCTGGGGGTTGGGATCAGGGAGTTGGGGACGGGGGTGGAGGGTAGTAGGGTGGCACAGTCGAAGAGGAGGATCTTGAGATGTGTCTTGAAGGAGGCAAGGGAGGGAGCAAGGCGAAGCGAATGTGGGATGGAGTTCCAAAATTAGACCCTGCACAAGGTGGAAGTTGAGTGGGGGTGGGGGAGGTGTGTATGAAATCAATCAAAGGGGAAGGTTTGTAAAAGAGATTTAAAAAAATGGAAGGAGTGCGCAAAGCAGAGGGATTTGGGGGATAAATTTTCCCAGGTACAATTTGCATAGCACACTCCAAAATGCCATTTCACATGGTAGTTAGTACACACTAAATCAATTTTGGGAAACCCAAATCCGAAGACTTTTCTTCAATCAGCAGCTGAGTGAGAATCTGGATAGCTTGCAAAGGACTTCAAAAGGACAGACAGTCCCTTCTTGCCTCCTTCATGGCATGCCTCAAGAACCTCCTCTTCGATCACGCCTTTGGCTACCTTCCTACCCTCCCTTCTCTCCACGCCCCCGATCAACCTCCCGCCCACCGCTCGGGTCCAAATCCCTGACTGTCCAACACCTTGGGATTTCCTCTCGACATACTATATTGACTGATACCTCCTAGGAAGAGTCTGGTAGGATAAGATCACAGAAATAGTGAGGTGCTAGGCATGAACTTTTAATTTTTCCATTATATCTTCAATTTTAAGGCAAAATAGTTTTACAAGTGGAATTTCAGGGCTGTGGTCTTCTTCAACAAATGAGTGAACAGTACCTCAATCGCTGCATTCCAGCTCAAATAAGATGTGGACCACATGGCAAGACACACAAGGTTCCTCCTAACTCTATTCCTGTTGCCCCATAATCGGATACCTAGGAGAGATGAGAAAATTATTTCAGAATACACAATGTAAAGTTCGAAAAGTTTGACTGGGTGATTCTGTAGATAATTTCTCTGTTTAGAAAATGAAGTAATGTTACATATTAACACTTAGAATACAGAGTATTTTATGTTCAAAGTCCCCCCTCGAGACAGAAGAAGAAGAGAAAAAGAGCGCTCATATATAGAATTATATCCAGTTTTAGCAACAAAATCTTGCTTTTCTTCTTTCACTAAAAAGATCCATTTCACTGCGATTCCTCACATTAGATAACTGATCCAATGGCGGATACAGACTTCTAAGCTGTTGTGGTAATGTACGTTACAAGGAACAGGGAGAATGTTTCACAGTAGTTCCTTTTAGTTTACTGGGGGGAGAGCATATTAGCTTGGTCTGGGAGATACCTGAACTGTAAAAATACCAAACTGGAGAGGACAGGTACAAGAAAAAAGGATTGTTTGGATTTCATCTTATAAAAATAAGCATGATCCATGTGATATAATGCTGAAACTTCTCCAATCACTTCACAGATAATTTCTGTAAAATGTATTGATTATGTGTTTGTAGGTGAAAGTGATAGCTGTTTCTTCACAAACAGCAATGAAGTGAATGGCCAATTTATCTGGAGAATTGTTAGGCACAATGCTGTGATAAATTCCTCTCATTGAAACTAGTGACATGGGATCTCTTAGTGTCTACCTGAACAGGGATTTCGGTTTAATGTCTCATTTGAAGGACAGCATCTCTGACAATGGAGCATTCCCTTTGGACTGCACTGGAGTGTCAGTCTCAACAGGTGAGCTCAAAGCCCCAACATGGGCCCTGAGCTAATAACCTTCCATTCTAGTGAAGAGAATGCTTCCAGCTAATTGCTTTGGAGTTGAGCAGTATCTGAACAAAAAATACTCGCACAAGATGTTTTTCTCCTGTACATTAATTGAATATAAAAATGGGAATCTGATTATTAAATTACCGTCACCAAGAGTGTGATGTATAATATTGTCATCAACATCAAGGCCATCAGTTCCAAACACTCCTATTGCTGGAGCAAATCCATGATGAAAAGCACATCCCCGAATATAAGATGCATCATTTCCTGAAATCTGGAAGCAAACAGTTACTCACAGTGTTTTTCAAACATTTTTTGCACCTATTTGCCATATTTGCTATATAGCCATTATTTGCTTACTTCCCCACCCAACAAAATAAAGATGAGAAATTGATAATCAATTGAAAACTATAATTTAAAAATCTGCCACAAACCTGTCCAAGATTGAGAAAAGCCACTGAATATCTTGGGTCAAAGTAATCTTCATAACCTTTTTGTCCACTGTGATAGAATTCAACGTTATTTATTCTTGCATAGCCTACATTAAGACAGGAAAACAGCATACCAGGAAATGGTGATACTTGAACAGTTTAATACAACTTCCTGGGGTTGTAAATGAGGATGAAGAAGATATCAATTACAAGGATATGATTTACCTGAGCTGAGCCAAGTAACAAGCCATTACAAGTGTAAGCTGATCTAAAGTTATTTTCCACCTGGGTCAGTTTGGGACTTTTGTTTGTGGAATTTTCTATTTTACTGGGACCTAATGAAACAAATGGATCTGAGCCACATTCTTACTTTCACGCTATAAGCAAATAGCTACAGGGTTGATTTGAATCCGGACTGAGTATGTAAGTTACTTCTGTCAAGCTATTTTTTCAATCAATCATTCTTCATTGCTCAATCAAATTAAATAGTTAGCAATGAATTTTCATTGCTTGCACCCTCTGATAACTGTTTATTACAGATAATTAAGAGCACTCAGTGACAAATATACTAAATTGAGTAATAAACAACAACAACAAATTGAATTTATATAGCACCCTTCACGTGAAGGGAATGTCCCAAGGCATTGGAGGATCAAGGGTTTGCACCCGAGCTAAGGGTTGGATACAAGAGGGATGGGGGAAAACGTGGAATGGGAAGATGACAGGCGCAGTCAAAGAGGAAGGTCTTGAGATGGACCTTGAAGGAGCCGGGAAATGGTGTGAAAGTGGGGAAAAGCTCAAGGCAAGAATATGGGGTTTAAAGGACAACTGAGAATTGAACAAGGCATGGAGATTCCTTACTGGTTTAGTGAGGTAGAGTGTGCATCCATTTATAGAGATATTGCTCATCCCTCGCACCTTCCACTCGATTATTGGAGGTTGCACTTTCAGCCACTGCGCCCTGAAACTCTGGAACACTATCCCTCAATCCCTCCACTTTGCCCGTCTCTCCTCTTTTTCAAGTCCAGCCCGAAAACCTTCCTCTTCAACCATGCTTATGGCCCCACCACAGCTCGGAGTTGGGTGTTCCACCACTGTTAAGCGCTCTGAAATGCTACCCTGCATTGAGATCACTATATAAGTGCAAGTTGTTGTTGTTGTACTTTCAGGTCAGAGGTAAAAAAGCAATAAAGGGAGCCAAGCAGGACACTCCCTGTTTTGTCAATGTTCAATTGGAGCAAGTTAGCTCTCACTCAGGACTTAATGTTTGTCAGGCAATCAGACAGGACAAAGAATAGATGATCACGATTGTGAGTACAGGCTTTTTGACACAATCTAATGCAGAGATCATGAAGCTTTCTGTTATCTTCAGTTGTGGCGCTGCTATAGTTGAGCAAACATGAGTAAAGCAACATGATGCATGGCAATATCAGGGCAATGTAAATGTCACTGACCTGGGTTCATTGGTTATATCGACTTTGCAAAAAACATTCCATTATAACATTGCAGTGCACTAGAAAATATATAAAACTTTACTGGCTGCAAGCCAAGCATGACTTATTTGAAGCTTTCTGAAATTAACTTTTCCTTTACCAATTATTTGAAATATAATGGTTAAAAGGAGTCAAACATAATAGATAAACAGACGATTATCAGATCTGGAAAAGCCTGCAAGAAGACAGAAGTACTGTAGATGTAGTGGGAAACCCAGAGAGAAATAATGAACAAGTGGTGCTGGAAAATTTTTGTTTAAGAATTGTTTTAACTTGTTTAATGTTCAAGAACATTAAATTCAACACAAGCTAAAAATAAATCACTGTTGCCAAGAAAGGAGAATAATGTCTGAGACATTTTTCCAGGACTGTGCAACTCCTATTTACAGAAACTTTACTTACGTCATTCTCTTGTGGTTTAATAAACTAAATTGGAAGTTGTCATGAGATCCTTAGGGCCCCATTTTTCCTTGTGGTACAAACTATGTGCAGTAGAGCAAAGTGTGTTGGGTATCTATGCGGTCAGAGGATTAGTGCCTGATCAGAAAGCTTAGTTGTCATGTTGATATAAATTGCGATAGAGTGTAACAGCACTTTCCTTCAGCTGTATGGAAGTCTCAGAGAGAGGGCACCCTCAGACAACCTCCCCCTCCCCCTCAGATTATGGGGAAATAAATACGTAGGCTAGATAAGTAAGGGGCCTCAAATCTGCTTCTACATGTTGAGAATAGCAGTTTTTTTTTCAATAATCTTTCCTGCACTTCCCATTTATAATCCCTCTTGGTTTTGAGACAAACATTGCAAGATCACCAGAGAGGTTTGGATGAAGAAGAACCCTCAGTCCATTTGATCTCATCCTTCCACAATATCCATCCTACAATCATCCCAACACAGCATCAAGCTGTTTCTTAAATGAGTCCAGTGACCAGGCATTAACCACCCTTCCTGGTAACCTGTTCCAGTCATTGATTACCCTTTGCGGTGTCTGTCCTGAAATCGCCATTTGCCACTTAGACCTGTGTTCTCTTGTTCTGTTGCCTTGTTCAGAATTTACGTTCTCAATCCCATTTAAAATATGTTATACCTCTATAAGATTCCCCTTGAGATGCCTCTTTCCAAGGCTCAAGAACCCTCGCTTGTTTATTGTAGTGTATTCCTCCAGCTTGTTGTTGTGCTCTACCTTGGCTTTCAGACCTGGGCAGCCCATTATGCCATGATCACCAAAACAGTATGCAGCACATGCTTGTCAAAGTGCCAAATAGCACTCCAAGCTAGACTATCATTTCACTTACATACACAATAGTCTGTGCTCAACAACTTTTGATGTTTGTCCTGAAATTTGGATGCAAATCAAAAGCAATTGCTATTGGGTTACACCCGGTCATGGGCTGGCTACTAGTTGTTCAATGACAGTGAGTTGGGGTTGCTTGCTCTCGAAGTTTCCCATAAAGGAGACATGTTGCTCTTGTTGGGGACCTCACCACAACAATGTGGCTGCGATCAGCATATCAACAATGCAGTCCAAAATGTGGGTGTTATAACCTGTTTTCACAAGGAATAATGAGGAAATAATGAATCCTGCTATTACTGGATGTACATCACACGGACCTATGGGAACTCCACTGATATGATGGGAGGAAATCACATTACAGGTCGGCACAACACATATCTGGTTGTAACCTGTACCAAATGCAGGTTGAATCTATTAGGTTGAAATTCCGGGTCAGCATTACATGCAGCTCTTTTTTCCCATTATGATTGTTCATTGCCAAAGGCATTATGCATAATGCTGATCATAATCTGGGGTCTAAAACACTTCCCACTGTGTTTTATGGAGTAAGTAATAAAAGAAAATACCTTTATACTTGAGCCTATTAATTGTGAAGGTGCTGACCAGTACCCGGGCACCAAAGGATTCCTTTACCCAGCCAGGATAATCATGACCAGTGATCTTGATGTTTCTGCTGAGAAGCCCCACATCTGCAGCCAGTCTGTAGCTCTGTCCTGTGCCTTCAACTTCATGCTTTTCTGCTTTAAAATGAATCAAAGACACTCTCACCACATGTACAGTGGGAGTAATAAATTCTGATGACTGCAGATTAGCCTTTCAACAAGACTGATCCACAGTGTCAAGGTCTTGCTTTACAATTAAAGGGCCTTCCACTAATCTCTGTTTTAATCCAATTTGTGTTCTTACATTATCCTGTCTTTCTTCTTGTTAAAGATCCTGTGAAACTACAGTTTGGAAAATGAGAAGGGATTGTCTCTGGTGATTCACATTATGGCTGCTGTGGGACCTTGATATATTAGCTGTCTGATCTGGCTACAAAAATAGTCACTACACTGGAAAACATACAGGAGCTCTTAATTCTAATAATATTAATCCTTACATTTGATATAGCACCTTTCACATCAGGTGCTTGTCTCAAAGCACTTACCAGGAAATATTGTAAAGGGTTGTGACTTTGCACTTCGTAGACTGCAATTTACTATTCAGATCTCTTCATAAAATTCTTTTTTTTTAAAAAAAGAACTCCCTCGCTGATTCAGGAATGCAAAACTTACTTCATAAGTTGTGTAATTTACAGTCTCTTGACCTTCTTTCAACCTTACAGGGCCTTACACTGTGGACCTTATGGATAATAAATGAATACACTTCAGACCCAGGAAAACTTGATCTGACTTAAAATCTGGGACTCCTGCCATCATTGGCACATAGCTGCTGTAGTAAACTTAATTTCGCCCAGAGAGAATTATACCTTAAGGGGAGATTCTCCAAACATCAATAAATTTACCAGAGGGCATTCAATCCTTTGTGGTTTAGTAAATGTAATGGAATTGGTGGTGTGATCTTTTAATGGGATTTTGCTATGATGTGCTGTCTGGACAAGGTCAATACATATAATGAATGGTGACGAACCCTATACAAAGTTTCCTACCATACTGAGGAACCTGATTACTCTTACAGCCTAATGCTACTTACAAATGTGAGTATACGAAAGAGGTCTATCCAATAGCAGTGTTATTCCATCAAATGAGATGGAGCTGATTGTTCTGATTTCAGTCTGCTGGGCATCATAGCTGGTAGTTGTTACTACTATCTGGTCCCCATCCTGTTCAAAGCAAGCACAGGTCAAGTCAGCAGCTTTCATAGGTAAACATTTAGTTGCGTGGATAAAGTCCCCACTGCAGACACTACCAATGTTGTGCGTCCTCAGTGGTATAACTGAGCACAACAACATATCAGAGTGTTGGACTCTTCCACAATACACAAACCCCATTGAGATGTATTGTGACAGTAGGCAAGTGGCTCCTCAATATGCCCCTAACCTCTGATTGAAAGAGATCCATTATCCCTTATGTTTCCATATTACTCGTTTGCAGTACACAGCCTATTAGGGCTCTGACCTGTATCTAACTTGTTCTTCATCATCCACATCATATCAGTGTGTATCTGGAAGTAGATCACATTGGAGTGGCATTCTCATGCTTTGGCATGACATACTTTCAGTTGGAGACCCAATTTGTGTGACTCTGGTTCCTTAGACCACTATCTATCTTAGCATCTCCTGCCAACTCCCCGGTATATGCATGGAAATGCCTGGCGATTGAGCTCATGGGTATTCACATCAAAGGTGAGTAGCACAAGCAACGTGCTGTCAGTAGTGTTGAGTCCATCCTGGGTGAGACAGGCCAGCAGCGTGCCTCTATGGAGTCTCATGGTGGGCTTTTCTCTTTTTGGTGATGTGAAGTCACACCTCTCTTTTGATGGGATCCTTGCTGGTGGTTGGGAATGAGATAATCCAAGAGGAGCCAAAAGGGCATGTAATTGTGGTTGATGATGGCATAAATTAAGTCTAATGAAGGAATATGCAAGAGAATTGACAAACTGCATCACATGTTTAGTGTTTCAATAAAATCTGCTTGGTTTAACTACAACTAGTTGACTCGAGCCTTTTCAGTGGTATCCTGCAAGATGGGTGTGGGTGCTATATAAATGCAAGTTGTCGTTATTGTTGTCTCTTACCTGCCAATCAACAGCTTCTGCCAAAGTTACATTGGTAGATCCTGCCAGAGCAGTTAGAGCCAGTTTAGTCTTATAGACTGAATGCCCAATGCCGTGAAGATCTAGCCCTCCAAATACACCTACAGAATGAATATGAAACAAGCTGCTGTTGATTCAATAGATGGCCACTCACTGTTACTCATGTATAGAGAATAGAACTAGAAATAAGTGTTATCCCAAAGCGGTATCAAGACAGAAACTCCACAGAGATGAGTCCACTGGTTTACCCAAACTAAAGTTTTAAAAGCCATGTAAGGGCAGAATACTGAAAAGTTATAATTTTATTTTTTTAAATAAAATAATTTTTTTTGCTCACCTAATACCTTTGAGCCTTGATTTGGTCCGTTTGGTAGAGGCCAGTCTGGTGTTAAATGATCTCCTCTCAAGACAATTTGTATCTTTCCTCTGAAAGGCTTACCCTCTTGCCCTGCGATTAACCTTCCTCCCTGCACAAAAATGAAAATTAGAACAATACCTATATCTACAAATCTCTATACTCCTGCTTTTATTGTAAAAAATTGTTTTAATACTAAAGAGACAGATCTTTTACTTATGACCAATTATCTCCACTTCCATTCTATCCTGAAGGAATTTTTTATGTTCTTTCCGTTTACCGCAGACAATGGTTGCTCTCAGCGTCTTGTTTGAATGGCCATTATTCACACATGATCCCCGAAAATGAGTGTTGTGGTCTTTTTTACCTGTGGAGATTAGTGCAGCCTTGATGAATCCTGTTCTCATTTAATTGAAATCTAATGATTTCTGTGCAGCTGGACCTAGTGATATTGTCTGTGGCAGGAAGGAGGTATATTTGTTTTTGGGCAACCTGGTAACTGACATAGATGGAAACCCATCACTAGGCTTTAGACTTTAGAGTATGCAAACCGGACAATACATGCATGGAAATTTCTCTCTGCCTGGAATGGAATGTGTACTCTCTTCACAGACCCATTTTACTTAGTCCTAGAAAGCATCAGATGTAGGTTAGTAAGAAAGAAGTCTTGAGTACTCCAGGTTGTGCACTAGGATACTGCAGGAGTTTAATCAGCAAACATTGTTTGGCAAGCATAAATCCAACCAGCATCACCCTATCTGTAAGTGGGAAGATTCCCTGCGCACAAGTGACTAATCTGTATAAGTCCTGCTGATGAGCCAGGCTAATTGCTCTGTCATCAACAGTGTTTTGTGGAATTGTGGACCTGCCTGGACCACATAGGATAGATATGATTCTGATATTTCATTGCCAGGTATGTCACCTTGGAGTCAATAGGCCCAAGGAGACCCTGCTTACTTTCCCCTCTTCTCTCAAGGAGGAGAGTTTGAAAGGTAGGTGAAGACAGATGAATATTCTAGGGTCTTGGCTTGATTAACTTTGTGGTTTACATAACTTCAATATTTCCTGTTCAGGGTACATATTTCCACTCTTCCCAATCTTAACTTATATTGTCAAGTACAAGGGATAGTCTTGTGTTACCTGTATTGATATGTAAGTTGCATTCAGGACAATGTTCATGTAGGATGATGAGTTTGCCCGAGTTGAATTGCTTAGGATGTCATCCTTCAATTCTAAGATGCCATAGATGGTAAGTTTATTCAGTGAAGGAATATCAGTGTCCACCACGAGCCAGGTTCCTGGAGAAATAAGTATGTTCCGTACATTTAGATTGTTAATCATCAACCTTTTTCATGGATATAGTAAACACAATACTCAACTGTTCTTCCCCAAACAAATGGTATTTTTTCATTAAGAAAGCCAAATATGGCCTATGTGTCAAGATCGATTAATACTTTTTATTTTAACCGTTTAAATGCATAAGAATAAAGTGACCTTCATCCATATGGGTTTGTTGGAGTTTTTCTATAATGTTATTTTGGACTAGACTCAGTTGCTCCAATAGATGAGATATCATCATCTTGCAATCCAACAGCAATACAAATTTACATTTATATAGTGCTTTCATGTCAAGAGGACATCCCAAAGCACTTAAAAATATTGGCTGTGCACCTGAACTGGGGGTGGGAGCCAAGGGGTGTTTGGAGGATCTGCCATCTTGGGCTTGATGGCAGAATGGCTTCCTACTATATTGTAATTTCTGTGATTGCAAGTTTCTATGCCCTAATTTTTATATCAGAGCCTGTGAGTGATGGGCCCCCCTCCTCTCTCCCCCTTCCTTTCTCCCTGCTCCTCTCTGTGGGCCCGTTCATTGAATCAAGCAATGGAATACAACTGTCACCTCTTCTGCGTGTCACTGGAGTGCCACTCTCTATCTTGGTCAATGCACATCTGGTTATTTGACTGATCTGGGTCAGTTGTGCACTTTGTGAGATTGTAAGAGCATTCACAATATTTTACTTTTCTTCTTCAATTCACACGCTGCCACTCATGACAAGCCCGTGCTCAGCATCCAAATGTGTAGCACTTTGAGATGCTATCCTTTGTAATAGGTGCTATATAAATGAAGATTGTTGTTATTGTTGTAAGATAAACTTGGGAAGTTAGAATTTCTGATTCATTCTTTCTCATTGGATTGTGACATGTGTGACTGTCTGGTAATAATTGGAAGGAAATTAATGCTTACTCTCTCTTGGAATGTTTGACTGATCCACTATAAAAGGAGACTGGGATAAGAATGAATATTTCATGGAATAAACAACACAGGGTCTATCATCAACTCTTCCGGATAGTATGTCAAAATCACTTGCCTTTTCTCAATAGTATTCTGAAGGATAAGTCAAGTCAAGGAGAATTGACTGGCTGTTATGTCCACAGAGTCAAAAAATTTGTCAACACTTAGCGCTTAGACTCACAAGCGAAAATGGCCACTTGAGTGCAAGTTACTGTTGGGCATCCAACATCTACTGAACTGTACCTTAGCAAGAGTGATAGTCAGTAGGGAGAATTTGAGGGGAATCCCAAAACAACCAAATTTACTCCCTGCCTATTCAAATATGCTCTTTAGCTCAGTGATAATCTCCTGCTATATTCACATTAAGTTACTGGTCCAATTTCCCTCTTATGCATGCTCTCTGGAACACTACCTCTCCACGGTCACATTTCAACATTTAGAGGAGACAAGTGGATCCACAGAATGGCATAATCTTCGTGAGATGGTTCCCTTCAGACCTCATTGATCTAGAATACCACAAGGGCCAGTGGAGATCCCATTAACTAACAGGCATGAGATTGATGCTAAAATAAATCCAGGCTCTGATCTTTTCTGGAATGAGATTTCTGTGCTGAACATCATGCAAATTAAAACCTTTGTCTCAGTGCGACCTTGGTGGTTGGAAATTATCCCATTGGTACATTAATAATAATTCTTGTATTTGATATAGCATCTTTTCAAGTTGTTGAAACATTTCAAAGTGCTTCACAAAATATATTATAAAGTGGATTGATTGTGTATTTTCTGGGCGCAACACAGCAGCCAACTGCGCACGCCAATGTCCCACAAATAATTGTGGATTTTGAATTTTTTTTGGGTTGGATTATTACCCCCGGAAAGCGATCTGCTAATTGACTAACAACCTGATCCCTATTTACTATTAGGTAAACAGAGGCATGTGGAGTAAGGAAAATTGCCTAAGGTTTTGCCCTGTTCAGGAAACACATTGCAGAGTGTTGGGACACACTGGAGCAATTTTGCATTAATTGGAGCATGTAAGCTCTAGTGAGTCTGTTTTTGTTTATTTGTTATATTGAAACAATTGAAAAGTCCATGTGAATAACCATTCATTACCTGGAGGGATAACTACAGAATCTCCTTCAGCAGGAACTGTATAATTGTTTTCAGGTGAGAGTCTCCAGAAGGAAGAGTTCGACCACAGGCTAAGAAATAACAGATATGAGAATAATACATTAGTAGAGTACCTTGTGTGTCAGACCTACACCATCAACTAATATGAATGCAAATATATGACAGAACATTTGTTTCCATATTGAAAAACTGTAATCAGTTTCTTTATATTTTGCCACAACTGAAAGGGATATTTGGGTTTGATGGATAGTAATGACAGGGAAAATAAATAAGATAATCCTTTTTAGCCGATCAGTCATGTGATTTAGAAAGGTCTTTAGAGAGCTACAAAATGTTTCTGAGAAAGTAAACCCAGAACAATACTTTCAGATATGTCAAAGGCTGGAATCACACAACACAGAAGGCCATTTAGAAACATAAGAAGACAGGAACAGGAGGAGGCCATTCAGCCCATCAAGTCTGTTCCACTAGTTTATTAGATTTTGTCAGATCTTTTAATCCCAGTTTTTTGGGGGTCAGCTGGGTGAATCACAATTACAGAAACAATAATAATGATAGTGATAATCCTTGCAATTGATATAATGTCTTATCACATCTTCAAGACATCTCAAAGAGCTTCACAGAATATACTGTAAAGTGAACTGAATGTATATTTTGTGGACGAAATGCGGCAGCCAATTGCACACAGCAGTGTCCCACAAACAATCGTGAATTGAGTGGCAATTTTTTTGTGGTTGTTTTGAAGGGATTATTACAATGATCTGCCCTTTCACCAGATTCTTAAATACCTATGACCCATCATACCTACATTGTGGTATTATATTAATAATCTTTACATTGGTCTAGCTCCTTTCATGTCATGAGAAGGTCTCAAAGCGCTTCACAGGATATACTGTAAAGTGTTGTGACTATGTATTTGTAGGTGAATGCGGTAATCAATTTGAGCATAGCAATGTTTTGAAAACAACAATAAAGTCAATAACCCATTTTATTCAGGGGCAGAATTCCAAAATTGCAGAAAACTTCAAAATAAGGTGTATGGCTAGATGCAAAGAACAGTATAGGATTGCACAGACTGACACAGACAGACAGGCACAGGCAGGCTAATTGATTCTGCTGGGTTGATGTCTCCAGCTAATTTCAGATATTGACTCCATCAGTTGAAGTTTGATCCTTTCAGTGGGTTCAGTGTCCTTTTAATACAGTTTTACACCAGTTGAATATACTGCCAACCAGAGTTCTAAGTGTCCATCCTGGAGCAACAGCTAGGAGCACTAATATTCTTATCAGTCCATAAATCTTCAGTAACATTATCATGCAGGGTAAACTTTGCATTATAAATTCTGCCTCTAGAATATCCTTTCTGCTAGTTTGTTAATATGTACCTTATTCTTTCATCTACTATCTAAAGGTTTACTCAACATTACACTCAGGACTATATTAACATTGATAGTAACCGCGACAATAAAGTTCAATTCCATTGATTTATTTTCCTTACTCATATCCGTCCAGTTGTTTTTTCAACGATGGCATGGTTGGTGGGGGAGGCGGGTTACAATGTTTGAAAAAGCAGCGATAAACATTAAGATGCACATTGACATCAGTCATTGTCGAGTCCAAGTTTTGAGTGACGTACCGCGATTGCAGAGTATTTCTTCCTGAAACTGGAATGAATTAAATCAGAAACTATTACATTCATATTATTACATTCATTCATATTATTACCTAATCCAACACAGATAAAAGCTGAAATAGGAAGAAAATAATCAAGGAAATTTCATTTGGGTTTTTTTTAAAGAAAAATCATTTCTGTAAATAAAATAAATTCATGGGTTTTGAACAGTTAATTATTTTGAGATTCACTTTGCAGACAGCTGCAGAACAAGCAGTGTCTTATTACGGATCTCAGCATTGCCACTAACAGGATCCTGGAGGTATCACAGCAGTGAGATACAATCGTATAGCATCCTGGCAGCAACTTTTTTTAAAAAATCAAAACCAATTTATAAAATACGAAAAGCTGAGATTCTTCAAATGGAATATAAAGTGTAATTCACCCAGTGCAGCCACCCACAGATTGAGAACGTTGTAGATTGTAATAATACTGATCTCAGCTGGGGCAGCAGTTGAGGATACAGTCGTTTTTTGGTTTTAGGAGAAAATAAAATCAGCCAGTAATTCCAGTGACCTCTCCTAGAAAGTGCGTGCTTGTGGATGTTGGGTGAGGACAGGATAAGACTCAGCTGTGATTCCCCCCCACTCATCCACACAGTTAAACAGCCTGACTCAATGGGGATGAAATTCTGGTCTGCTTTATATGTAGTGTCTTTGGTGTTTAATGTGAGATTACAATAAGAGAAACCCCATTAACATCCACAGGTGACACAGGTGCCATGGATAACGCCAACCGGAATTTCAACCCAATTGTCTAGGCCACTTGTGCTCAGTAGATGAGGGCACCTGTGAAACTGTTCCTGAGCATGAGGTGGCAGTTATGGGTGAAGAGAGGAGAAAGCTGGCAAAAAAGGCATCTTAAATAATTGTCATCATAGCAAATTACAATGGCAATACCTGTCATTTTAGTACCCAAAATGGATTATTACTATAACAGACTAGAACAGACTAACATCTAGCTGAAAAATGCTCTGTGCAATGTACATGTAGTAATATAAGAAATTAACCATATAAAATTGCACTCTAAAATAACATTGCTTTATAATGTAAAAGGTCTCACCCAGATAGTATAAGGTTGTATTTTCTTTTTCAAAATACCAGTCACCATTCGTATTGTTGGACCAGCTAAGTGGATGAAGTGAGCCATTGTATGAATTCGTGATTTGGAACATGTCTGGATGCTGAGTGAAGTTATGGGAAATTATAATGTAGTCTTCTTCCTACAAAGGAAATACATTCATGTTACTTTTGATCCTTGATTTCCAGTGCCTTGGGACATCCTCCTGATGTAAACAAATGTAATCTTGTTGTTGTTGCTGTTGTTGGTGATCACTGTTAGATAAATGGGCACAATTGTCATAGTATAGTTTACTAACTTAGTTTACAAAGCAATAATATGTCATTTCAAAATGCATCAAATAAGTAATGTCATTGGGACAAGACTGACATGTGGGATTTGCTGCCTTGTAGCTAAAACAAAATGTATAAAAATTTTGTATTTTCTATTTGGTGGAGTAGTTATCAGAAATAAAGGTGACAAGCTGTGTGGTAACTTGGACACAGAACTGGGAGCTAATTATTCTAACAGCATCCTTGATTTATGGTGATCTGTGAAACCTGACTTTTAAAGGGTCTGTTAAAATGGATACAAACTTTCACAAATATTTACAGTAGTTTCAAATCTTAATTTGTGAACGCTGAGAAAGTCTAGTGAAGCTTTAAATTTGACTGGGATTTGTTAACATCAATCCCGTCCTTGACATATCTTTCAGAACATTTGCTCAGCAAACAGAAAATCCCTGAAAATACGATTATTTTGGATGGGAAATCCAGGGGAAAAGACAGGACATATCTATTCAAAGATACATACTTACTCCAAGAGTTTCCATTCAAGAAAGAAATGACATGTACCTTGAATCCATAGAAAGTGGCCCTGTATGAGATGTTGGTAACGTAATCCATGCCCTCAAAATTAAAATTGAGGGTTCCGTTGTTAGGAATAAGAGCCATCCAGCCAGGACTGTGGGTCAAACGATTCGACAGGAATGGAATGATGCTGATGCCTTCATTAACACATCAAGGGAGGTAAAGAAAGCACTGTCAGCCATATCTTTGAGTTCAGGACACACAGAGCAAGCAACACAACTCAATGTTAGTTTCCCAGTGGGTTGCTCAGAAAATGTTAAACTATTGTGTACATATCAGAGGTTCTGGTTAATGATTTATCAAATAACCTCCTTCATCATTGGCATGCGATCTCTGTTTTACCCTTCTTAACCCAGAGGCTGTGACAATCTGGCTGTGGATTTCTCTATTATTTCTACCAATGTTATTCTACCAATCTCGCCTCTGCTCGACTGGCACCGGCCTCCTGCTTGTCCCTCGCATCCTCCGCACCACCATTGGAGGTCACGCTTTCAGCCAATACGCCTTGAAAATGTGGAACATTCTCCCTCAATCCCTCCACCTTGCCCCCTCTCTCCCCTTTTTCAAGTCCCGCCTGAAAACTTTCCTTTGCTTACGGTCACCTCCCCTCCGGCTCGGAGTCCGGCTCCGCTACTGTTAAGCGCTCTGAGACACTACCCTGCATAGAGAGCGTTATATGAGTGCAGATTGTTGTTGTTCTGTACTGATCAAAGGGTCTCCCTCCCAGGGTTTCCTAACCAGTTCTGGAATACTTTTCTAGCCTGAGGTGGTTCATCCAATAAAAGAACAAATAACAAGCAAAATATACCCTAGAGAGAAGCCACTTCAAGCTGGAGCTAATGCCCTGCCAAGTGATTCTTACACTGTCAAAGTAAGTTACGTGTCTATGTAAGAGATCCAATCATGACTGGAGGTATCCAATAGAAAATAGGCCCACAACAGAGACTCATTATCTGCACTTTGCCTCAAGAACTGCAATGAAATATTTATATGTGTTGATGTATTTCTGTCACAAAGATTGAAAACTGGTTATCAAGATATCTAGCATTACATACTTCTTTCCCCACTCTCTCCCCAGGATTGTGTACTGGTTGACTGATTTCAGCTTTTTGGGAATTAATAAAATCATACCAACCTTGTTATCAATCTTATATTCTGTGGGTTGATAAATTTATTGAACTTTTAGCTGTTTATCTATAATGTGAAATCCCATTACCAAGTAGTGGACTTGTCTGCTAAGTGAGTAAAATAACTTATTGGATAGTTATCCTCCTGTTTTTCCAAAGTCAAACTACCTACACAGGAGCATTCGTCCCTGTCCCTCCCTCAAAGAGAAAAGCTTCTTTGAGGGAGGGCCACAAGTTTCTAAACAGAATTAGAGTATTTATGATACAGATAACAACAACGACAACTTGTATTTATATAGTGCCCTTCATACGGAGTAGTGTCTTGGAGCACTTAACAGTAAGATGCTGAGTCAGGAAGAGAGGGGAGGTGACCAGGCACAGTCGAAGGTCTTCAGATATGATCCGAAGATGAACAAGGATTTACTTCAAGATGGGGCAAGGATTTACTCAAGGTATAGGGCAAGTTGCTTTTGAAGAATAGCTTAGGAAGCAAAGTAGTAGCATTTTCAGGGGACTCATTTGCAGTATTTCTTAATTGAAATCCTTATTTCTGAATAGCTGTTGCCACAAGCAGCCCGATTTACATAACTCAGATTCCTTATTAAAGAACGCTGTTGAAGAGTACTGGAAAGCAGATCTCGCTATACAACAAAGCTTTTTTTTAATCCCAGACAGAAATGGAACCTACCATAAGAGCCTGCCAAAATCACATTCTTTCCGACCAGGGAACTTGGTGAAAGATTATTGAAAGCCAAACGATGAAAACGAATTGTGGAATCACAAAGAAGGCCAGGGTAGCCAGTGCTCCACTCTGTTGAAGGATGGCATCGAGCAGGATCATAGAGGAAGCTCTTGGGGACTACCTTGTAATTGGTGTGACCTGCAAAAGCCAGTTTGCATACAGCACATATCAATCAAATATATTATTCCAATGTCAGGCACTTTAATACAGCAACCCATTCTCACCTTTCTTCCTTAAACCAGAAGACAAGCAAAGTCTTAACATTGACTGCGCTGGAGTGTCAGCCTGGACTGTGAGCTCAAATTCTCAATGTGGGGCTCAAACCTACATACAATCTACTGAGTCAGAGTGCTACCAACTCAGCCAGGCTGACATTTAAGCAAAGGGATGTGGGCGCTATAACCCGAAAATAAATTTGGGCAAGCACAAGCAAAGTGCTCCTGCTTGGCTCCCGGGCATGCTGACCTTTCAGCACAGAGACCTGGCCGTGGCACCACTCCCAGGTCAGGTAGGCCCAGAATATATAGTGGAAATGGAATCTGTGGACTTGAGAATCCCACAAATACAGTAGATTGAAATTCGAACAACTTGTCCTTGTTTTACGATGACTTGTGAGAATTCTTTTTTTGAAATTTTTGAAACATGCACTTAACTTTAACAGATATATCAAACATTGAATCCCTGAGGTTTGATAAATGTGTTGGGTCTGACCTGTAAGGGAACCATCCAGATCATGCAGAACCACTTCATGCTCCCATCGGAAAGCAGCCTTGTTTGTGGTGTTGAGGTAGTGAATGTCGCTGAATCTCGCACTCCAGCCTCCACATTTATTGGAGCAAAAGCCAGTGATGGAGGCCACCCCAATGCCAGCACAGCTCGGCCGATCAAAGTTAACAAACTTTACTGAAGATACTGTCAGCCCGTCATCGAGTGGCAAAATGATACCTCTGGTGGTGCAATAGTCAGAGTCGAGGCCCAGTTCATCCATGTGACCTATAACTGTTGTGTTCGTAATCACTGCACCGCTGCTCTCTCCCCATCCCTTCACATAGGAGGATAAAACCCGTTTCATTTCAATGCCAGCCTTTTCGTTATTCACCATCACAAAGTTATGGAACTGAAGAGCTCCTCCATTCACCCACTCGGCTCCTTTCTCACAGTTCCATGTTGTCAGGGACTCAAACCTCGCGGGTTCTGGGATGGTGGAATAACAGTGTCTCCAGCTCATTGGGAAATATTCTTCAAAAATCCAGAGCCCAAACCAGCCCTGTGAGTGCACTGTGTTATTACGGAACTCCCCAAGAGGCACTTTCTTCTGACAGACAAAAGTTGTGTGAGAAGGTCCATCGGGATGATCATTCATTCTGTACCAGAAGCCAAAATGAGTGCCCCCAGCGACTGCGTTGTGTCGAATAATGTTATTTGGGTTGGTGATCCAGAATGCAGCAGGAGTGATATCATCGTTCAGGAGGCTGGTGCTCTGGCGGACATAGACAGCCAGGTTGTACTGCAAGATGTTGTGGTGTTCAATGCCGTCCTGTATGAAGAACCCACCTCCCATAATGTCATAGATCACGTTGTGCTCCACCAGGAGCTTGTGAGTGTTGTGGATGGTGACGGCTCTGTTAAACGTCTGGTGTATTCCACAGCCACGCACATATGACTGGTACTTCATGTTTCCCAGCAAATGCCAATGTATCGGGTAACGGCCCAGGCGAAAGGCTTGACCAACGTAATACATCTGCAGGAGAGCAAGTCCGTGAATGAAACAAGGAAAATAAGTTTGTACCAGCCAGGAACAAAATAGAACAGCCACCCTCTGAGAGGATACACATTTTTGTAACAAGTTAAGTTAAGCTTGTAAATTGATTGAAACACCATGATCTATCTGAAATGACATTTCCCAGCATTATCATCCCACACTTTAAGCAAAAAGTTATTTACCTCAACGTATTCAATTCTTCCCTGTGCAAGGCCAGAGCTAGGTCGTGGGGCGTGAAACATGATGCAGCCACCAAACTGATCGCTTCCAATTTCTTCACCAAACCGACCCTGAAAGCACGTCTGGACGGCAAACTGGCCTAAAATTAACAAAGGAAAGGTGACATTGGTAGCTTTGCATGTTTTGTGGTACTTTCAAGCATACATGTGTGAGAAGGGAATAGAGGGGCATAGGTGAGGGGAATAAGAGGGCTCATGTGAAGTATAAACACTTGCACTAACTATTTGGATTGAATAATAATAATAATAATCCTTGCATTTGATATAGCGGTTTTCACGTCTTCTCAACGTCTCAAAGCGGTTCACAGAATATACTGTAAAGTGAATTGACTGTATATTTGTGGGCAAAATGCGGCAGCCAATTGCGCACAGCATTGTCCCACAAACAGTCGTGGATTGAAAATGACCAATTTATTATTGTTTTTGTTTTTGGAGGGATTATTATTTGTGAGACATATTACTCAATGTAACTGTTTGTCACATTATAAGCAGCTTGAAACCTGGGGCTAGAACTGTTCTCAATGATTACTCAAAAAAGTCCTCCAAACAGCATAGCCTGAATTCCAGATACTGAACATGAACCCCCAATTCAGAATCTTGAACACTTGCACCAAATGTAGATGAAATTATGTAGATTCAGGAGTAATATAATATGTAGATGATAATATTATAATAAAACATTGACTGCATATTTTGCAATAATTACAATAGTCTATTGATTAATAATAATTATAATAATAATAATCTATTGGTTTGCTCACAACAGTACTGTGGGTAACCACTAGAGGGTACACTTGACTGCTTCAGCCATAGCTTGGATATCGGGTTTTATATCAGTTAGAGTAATAATCCTTATATTTAATAACATGCCTTATGATTCTGAAAGATCTCAAAGCACTCTCAAAACGCTTCTCAACGTTTTATGTGAAGTGTGATGACCATGTATTTGTAGGTTACCGTGACAGCCAATTTGCACACAGTAACGCTCCACAGACAGCCATGAGGTGAAAGATTGTCATTCAGACGGCTTTATCTGTTAGTGAAGAATACACACGGATTCAAAGAAAAAAATAGATTGTTAATTAAATATCAACCTTACCCATGTTAAATCCATCAGGACATGCTTCGATGTGATCATTCCATTCCACATTATTTGACCCTCTGACAACTACGTTACGGGTTAAGAGGCCAACTTCAGCTCTTCCCTCGAACATAGTCCCATCAGGAAGTGGGACAGACACCCCCAGGTGATTGTACTGCAGTGGCTCAGTGAGATTGAGGCTCTTCCCATCGGCCGACACAGATGCTATTGTTTTCTTCTCATTTTCACTCTGGCTGTGTCTAATTGTTAAACATTACAGTATAAACGCTGACGCTAATTAAGAAATAGTAAAATATGACTCTGAGGTGCTGTCAGAAATATATTAATGTGGGCACTCACACTGTGCATGTTTTCAGACATGACATGGTGTTATTTCTGCTTGAATGCAATACAGAAAGTTCTGTGATTTCAATACAAGTGAAGAAATTCTCTTCAAACAACATAACGGTGTGCTATCATGCAGAGACCACTGAAGTCAACAATCTCTTTATTACTGGGATATAAAGGAGCATAATAGGAAACAGATGATTACTTCAGTAGAGAGCTGGATATACACAGTAATGGGGGGACCCCTCCCACTGTGGAAATGAGAACAGTGTGAATATCATATTTTTATGTGAAATGCAATGTACAGTATGAAAAAGAAAAAGTCTTGCATCAGGAGATACATTGTCACTATAGTATGACACTGTGTTTCACTGTTTCCACAAGTAATTTCTGTGAAGTGCAGTGACTATTTTTGTAGGCTTTTATAACAGCCATTTGTGCCAGCAATATGCCACAAAAAGCCGTGGTCAATTAATCTGAATGATTGCATTGGGAAAAAGTGTTTTCTTTGTGAATATTGTCTTGGAATCTTTAACGTCAACCTAAACAGGGAGGCAGAGTCTTAATTTAACATCTTATCTGAAGCATAGCACCTCCTTTAATCCAGTACTGCCCCAGTAATGCACTGCAATGTCAGTCCAGCCAATGAGCTCAAGACCCACCATGGGAGTTGAACCCACAATCTTCTGCCCCAAAGGCAAGAGATGTGGAAAGTGATTGAGAAGAGAATAATTCATGCTCCCTGATGTTTCTTCCAGACAGTTAGTCAGTTACTCATTGCTGCTTCTGTCTAATAGCTATGGTGAGACTAGGAATAGAATCTGTGGAGAATCACCAGCATAAGTACATATCTGACCAGATCTATCTGTCTGTGTTTAATTGTCCGATGGTGTATGTCTAATTGTCTAACTGCCCCCACCCCAGGAGCAGCCTTTTGACAATTTACTACACCATCGGACAATACCCTCTCCAATACTATGTGTATCTAATATTCCAAACCTACCTGTGTCCAGTCGATGCTATGACAATCACGTCCCCTGCTTTCCACGTCACAGATTTTTGTAAAATTACAGTTGTGGAGCCTGCAATAGCAGTTTGGGCTAAATGGGTCCAGACTACAGGAATAGGGAGACCTGGCAAGAGAGGATGAAATGTTCACTCTAGTTCCTCTAACCTCTGCTTCACCAGTTCTGAAACTGAAGAATGCGATGCCTCGAAGAAGAAACAACAACTTGTATTTATATATAGAAAGAACTTGCATTCAAACATGCATTTAAACATTGAAACATACAAAAGCACTTCACAGATATTTTCTGTCAAGTGTAGTGACTCTTTTGTGAAGATAACCATTTGGACCAGCAAGATGCCACAGACAACCATTGAATGATTCATTTATCTGGAGGATTCTTGACCAGGATAACTGGATATTTTGTTTTTCCCTTTTCAAATAGTGTTATAGGATCTTAATCTTGGTATAACATCTCACCTGAAGGACAGCATCTCTGACAGTGCAGCACTCAATCAGTACTGGATTGTCAGCCCAAGAGCTCAACTCCCAACATATGTTTGAACCCACAACCTTCTGATACAGCCTGTAACTAATAATACTGTAAATAACCTCTGTCTTTTGGCTTCTACCCCAGAAATGTAAATCACAGCATAAACTACATCTCCAGTTTCAAGTCCGTGCGATGTGAACTGCTTTTTCTATTGGTGACAAATCAGTTATGCTACCAGTTTCCTTAGCAGTGCTGTTTTCGCCTCACTGTTGGTTGTGACACCTTCCCATCCGTGCACTGCTGGTCTCATCTCTGGGTCCATTAGAATCCCCGTTGACTTACATAAACTTTGCTCCTGAACTAGATCCAAAGTTCACCAATGGATTAGCATCAGCTACATTGCCAGAAGGAGCGTTGATTTGTAAGAAATACCGCAAATTAGACCCCCCCCCCCATCTCTGTGTTTTCACAATGAAACAATAACTTACCGTGGAGGTCCAGAGTTCCCTCTCGAACAGCTAGTGTCTTGGCTCCATATAGAGGGAGTTCCTTTGAGCGCGAGTGGCCATGTAGGGTAATAATTCCTTTATGTCTGAATGGAGAACTTTCAGTTCCAATCTAGCAATGACATCAAAAGTTCAAAGTAGTTCCACTGGTATTCACTTACAATAATAATAATCCTTGAATTTGATATAGCAGCACCTTGTCATGCCTTCTAGATGTCTCAAAGTGCTTCACAGAATATACTGTAAAGTGACATGATTGTATATTTTGTAAATGAAATGCAGCAGCCAATTGTGCACAGCAATGTCCCACAAACAGCCATGGATTAAGTGACCAAATTCTTATTATTTTATTTTAATTATAGAGTCAGTACATTTTACAATAAATTCTGTGAAGGACTTAGAGACATTTCAATGTTGTGATATTGCACTAATTCAAATGCAAGGTTATTATTACACATTTCTCAGGACACTTCCCTCACTTCTCATCAGCAAAGATGCTCCCAATTCTTACCTAACCCAGCATATAATATTGTACTTATGTTGAGAATTTTTTTCAGACCATTTTAGGTGCCTGACACTGTAGCTCTCGTCTCATTTTAAACTTGTCGGCACAGTGTGGCAAACTGAAAGTCTCACAAAACAGGTATTTCATATTTGCGACAGACAGCATGCGACATTCGTGATGCATTATAAATTGTCTTGACTCACATGATAAAGAATGGATTACAGCTGTGCCCAAGGGATGAGCAGTCCTATCCTATCTGATCAAACGGCTTTCAGCCCTACGTAAGCATTGGACAATGTGTGGCCAGTGATTGAATCTGGGACTTTCATGGCTTAACAGTACTTCAGCAGGTGGTGAATTTACCTGTTAAGCTATCAGAGGAGCCAAGATACTGCTATGGACCATAGAGCAAGAAATTCAAAACTGTGGAAAACACCCAATATGAGAAGAACTTGCTGTTCCACATTTATGCGGTGTTTAGGAAATCAGAGTAATTTTTGCTTCTGGCATAATCTGGCCAAAATCATGGTATTCCTAAATGTTCCTTAATGATCCCTGGGTATAACTGAGGAACTGAAATCATTTATGATTTCTGCAATGTTCGCTGCGTAATAGCCAATGCAGACTCCTACCAGTGCTGGTTCCAGCAAACCTGTGTTCATTGGTAAATTATCAGTGATCACTTCAGTTGGAATCCCTAGCATCAGGGGGAGTACAAACATTTCCCAAACAGGTTGAAATAATTTGATATACCTGGAGAACTCCGCCATCTGTGATGAGAATGTTTTCTGCCTGGAGCTCAATGTCAGCTTCATCAAACATGAGTTTACCACCTGTCACAAAATCAGACGCAGATAGGCATAAAAAAAGAGAAAAACAGAAGTGATACGATCATTGTCCATTAAAGGTTTCACCACATGACTTACATTCAAGTTAAGACAACAGGGTCTAAATTGCAGCATTCACAAAAGGAAAGTAGAAGTTTTTAACACTTGTAATGTTTCTATATCCTGGCCAAAAATCCCCCAGATAAAATTAGTCACTCACTTCATGGCTGTTTCTGGGGCATTCTTGCATTCAAATTGGCTGCCTCACAAACAAAGGCCACTTGGGCAAACAGAGGGCAACCAGCGTTCATGGAACTGCAGTAAAACTTCCTTCATAAACAGGAAAGGCTTTCAACACAGACAATCAACTTGTAAACATGGACACCCAGCTATTATCAGGTTTCTGACATTGTTGTTAGGTAATTAAGTGCTTGTAATGGCCACTGTATACTTGATCTTTTACTTCATACGCAAACCCTGATGGGCTGCCACACATCCACTTGTACTACACATAATCTGCACCTATACAATAATGTGGGAAATGTCCTACATAGTCAAGCACATTTAAATATTTATGGTATCCCATAACTGACGCTTATGAGCCAGCAGTATGAGATTTCAGGGTCTGTATGGGGAGTTAAGTTCTACAGCTTCAAATGTGAACAGTCTGGTACTCATGGGAGATTGGGTCCCAATGTATGGAAATACATCTAGCAGTTCCACATTTTAGGGTTCAGCAGAATGCAAGCAAAAATCAATGCCAATAAAACTACACGTACAGCTGGTTTAGGATAAAATTCCCTGTAGTCTAAAGAGTCTTGCACTAAATTCACCTTAACCTGGAAGCAGCAGGGAATAATTTCACTGGTAACTGTATTCAGACTCTGAAATGAGTGGTTGCAATTTCACAGATGGTGGCACACAAAACGGAAACATTGTCTCAGAGAAGTTAAAAATGACTGTGTACATTTTGAATGTTTTTTTTATTTTGAAGCAAAATGTCACCACCGATTTTTTGATTCCCAATTTAATTCTGCTTCCTGCCTGGTGCTGCCACTCTAGAGGAAGGAGAAATGGCGAAATGAGGTAAAAGAACAGTCTGAAAAGAACAGAACCTGTCTTCCTTTATAATAAACACACTCAAATAATTTAAAGGCAGAGAAGCATATTTTCACCTACAATTGCTGATGTAAAGTTACCTTGAATGAGAAGCATTTTCAATACTGGTGTGCTTTGATCCAGCAAAATTATTTGCCCTTTGCTGATAACGACGAGGAATCCACCTTCTGGTGGCGACAAACCTCCCCATGTATAAGGAGAGGACCAGACATCAATGTAATAAAAATCTGCATTGTCCTGTAATAAACCCACAGGACAACGTTCTTATGAATTTGCAAGAATCATACGCACGTATCCTTGTTACTGGGTTACACGTATCATTATTACTGGATCACACATGTCTGTTACTGGGCCACAAGTGTCCTTGTTACTGGGCCTTACCCCTTTCTAGCAATGCACGTACAGTTTTTGCATCACACTGTTAATCTGTCGTATAATTTAAGCAGAGAACACATTTCAAAGGTAACAGATTGATTATTTGTAGGGATCATTGCTCTGTGTTGGGATTTATAAAAAGAACACCAGGATTTAAGCTAAGATGTAAGAAAATTAAACCACACTTTCAACAGACTTTCCAAAGTCAATACGTCACTTAATTCAATTAAAATGATTATCAATTTGAAGAATAATGTGGTCACTTGTAACTTTTAATTTCTGAGAAGCTTTATTCTTCACAAGTTATAATTACCCTCCTTTCATCACTGTATTTTCCTTGGATTGAAAGAGTGTTAGTCTGTCTAACCTGTTGCTGCCTCACCAAAACCTATTTGACCCAATTGAAGATTCACTGCAGTGATCAAGGATCATCAGCCAGTTGTGGAAATCACTACCTCCTTTTATGTCAAAACTTCTTCATCCAGATGTTGATGGTTCTCTTAATAATGACCCACCGACCAGCTAAGATCACCCTTCACCTTCATCAAAAGGAGTATGATGGTAGAGATTTCATGGATCTTTAGAGATGTCATTTTCAACATGTTTCCTTACCTGTCTGGCAACGCCATATTCTCCTATTTTCACATTCACTCTGGTCAGCTGTGATGGAGAGTGTGCGTTGGTGATGCAAATAATACAGGTTTCATTCACAAACTGGACATCACAGGGAGTCTCAGCGATGGTGACAACAGTCTCATTGATGGTTAAGCTGAAAAAGCAAATTTGACCGTGTTATAGACTCATGCATTATCCAGTGAGTACTATTTGTTCTTCTGCAGATAATTAGATGCGGATTGAGATTGAGTGTACAACGTTATGGCCAGAAACAAATGTAGTTTACAGTTACAAAGTGCCTTTCATGTCAAGAGGATATCTCGATGGCTTTATGCAGCTGGCTGCAAGTGAGGCCAAGAATCTTGAATTTGATCTGCTGGGGGATGGGGAGCCAATGGAGCTGAGAGTGGGTGATGGGCTCATGGAGCCTGGTGTGGGAGAACATGGGCTGCAGGGTTCTGGATGGTCCTGCACCTTGTGTAGGGAGGACATTATGAATCCAGCAAGAAGAGCTTTGAAATAACAGCCTGGACATGATGAATGCATGAATGAGTCTCAGTCGTCCCTGGGGAGTCACAGTGGCCACAGATTTCAGCCACTGCCATCTTTGTTAGCAGTGATCTTAGAACAGACATCACTAGTGCTAATTGCAGAGTTTCAGTGCTGCTTCATAAAATACCAACTTAGATTTGCCAGAATAGCATTCCTACAGGTTGAAGGGATGCTGCATTTTTAAGGAATCCAGTTAAGAATTATTGCAAATTAGATCCCGCTACCTGTGCTCAGCAAGTGGTTTCCCGCCTGAAAACTATACTGTTCGACCGTGCTTACGGCCACCTCCCCCTTCCCCCCCCGGCTCATAGTCAGGCTCCACCACTGTTAAGCGCCCTGAGACTCCACCCTGCATGGAGGGTGCTATATAAGTGCAAGTTGTTGTTATAATAATAATAATAATCCTTGCATTTGATATAGCGCTTTTCACGTCTGGAGGACGTCCCAAAGCGCTTCACAAAGCGCTTGTTGTTATTGTTGTTGTGTTCTCAAGTATTGAAATAAAAATAAAACGTTAAAAATTCTTATTCGGATCCTTGTGAGAAACTGAAATAAAAAATGGATTGTGAAACTGTACAAAAAATAAATTCAATTGCAGTTGTATCATTGCATGATATTTTGATCCTTAAGTTACCTGAAAATGGCTCCTGTGATAGTAAGTGTAGTACCTCCTGCAGTGCCCCCTCGTCTCGGATATACATCAATAATTACAGGAGTCAAGGCTGAACTGTAGGTGAAGGCTGTGGGCAACTGGGCTAAATGGTTGTCATTCTTAACGGTAACATTACATGTATGCTGAGGTTCAGGACCTAGGTAAAAAATAGTTAGATTACTGATGCATAGTAATAACATAAACATTCACAACTAGTCTGTAGCACTTTTCATGCACTCTGACTTTGAAGCACCCTATCCTGAAGCAGTTATTCATGCAGTTACGCAGGTACCAACTGGCCACCTATGATCCTAGTCAGTAATGGTCAGCAGTCTATTTGGCTTGAGAGGGGGTGGGCATCGAAGCCGAACCCCGTCCTCTTCAACTGACATTCACATTCATACACTGTTCAGCAAGGATCACGGGATCAGGAATAAATCACTGGATCAGTGAAAAGTGTGTGCATGTGTGTGAGGTGGTAAACTAAGTGCAGTTTTAAACCCTCGATTGCTGGCCTAGCTGAGACCACATGACAGCATAGTGTAGGGAGGGATTCAACCTGGGCCTTTGTTGATCTGTAGCCCCACAGGCTACTAGCATGTGTAACACATCATAGGAAATAAGATCATTATCTTAATCCTGATTAAGATGCTTATTCCCGCCTAGCCACTGCCAGCGAACAAGAGAGGGATTTCAGCTGAGCATCTGATTTGGAGATTGATCTGCATAAATTGACCTACTGTATCTTACCTTTAGAGGGTGGTAAAATGCAGTGCAGAGTACTGGAGGTGGAGGTTGATGAGTTCACTCTGCATTCATCATCACAAATGGATACTCGGGAATTCTCTCGGTCAAATCCAGCACCATTCAGAGTTAATATTAAGCCGCCCCCAAAGCTACCTAAATTTTTGAAAAAGGTTGAAACATAAATATAAACCTTGCATGTGATATAGCGCTTATAACATTGAACCATCTCAAAGGTCTTCACAGATGATTGCTTTCAAGTGCAGTAACTGTATTTCTAGGCAAATACATCAGGCAATTTTCACACAGAAATGTACGTCAAGGAAAAATGATGGAGTTTTTTTGTGTCCACTCATGTTTAGTGCCTAGATTGAGGTGCACTCTCAGCACGTTTGAGGTAGGTTCTGCTTTGCACAAAATAGCATTTCCTCTCTCCCAATTTTTCCCTCCTTCAATTCCTGAAAGTGATAACTTATATTTGGTTACAAAACTAACAACACTGGAGCCTTCTGGTACCTCAGCCAGGGTTGCCCAACTTCATAATAATAATAATATCCTTGCATTTGAATATGATGCCTTATCAAGTCTTCAAGACATCTCAAAAAGCACCTCACAGAATATACTGTAAAAAGTGAATTAACTATATATTTTGTGGGCAAAACGTGGCAGCCAATTGCATACAGCAATGTCCGCCAAACAGTTGTGGATTGAATGACAAAATTATTATTATTTATTTATTGAAAAGGAATTATTACCCCTGGAAAAGTGATCCACCAATCGACTAACAACCGAGTTCTTACTTACTGCTAGGTAAACAGGTGTGTGGAGTAAGGAAACTTGGCCAAGCATTCGCCCTGCCTGGAAATCGAACCCAGGTTCTCTTGCTTGCGAGGCGAGTGCTCTAACCACAAAGCTACAGGAGTCGTAGATGATGAATTATTTAATGCAAACATGTCCTCTTCAAGGGTTGAATTCTTCTCCCAATTTAATTCAGTAGGGAAATTACCCACCATCACACATGAACCAACATGCAAACTTTCAAAGAAGGGTCACAATAACTGGCTGTGTTTTTCTTTTTGACTCATGGACACCAATGCAAATGTTTGCTCTCCCACAGCTAGAAGCTTAGCTTGCTTAACACAGCACAGACCAGAGAGCTTTCTAATCTGTCTATCCCAATAAAATATAATTCAAAACATTTATCCATTTGCCTATCAGTTGGGCAAGAGTGTAGAGTTATCTTTAATTATGCCATTCGCAATCAGCACACAGGAGTGCAAAATCATTTACAATTCCCTCAAAACAAACAATTGCTCATGGTTAACCCAATCAACAAATCAGGCAACATTTGCTTCATTGATCCAGCAAAGTAACTAGGGAAATAACTACAACAGCAAAAACTTCTCACGCGGGCTTCCAGAGCACTGATATAATACTATATAATAATACAGTAATATAAAAGCATTGTGATATCGTACTAACCTTTTCTCGGGTTGACGCTTGTTATGTTTAGCTCATATTGAAAGAACACATCAGATGCAGTATAACCGTTTGTGGCGTGCTTGAGGATGACTGGAAAAGTACCACCTGGGTGATCTCCCACAATGCATTCAACATTGCTGTCACTGGCGAAGGTCACGAAGCACAGCACATCATCTATTGTGACTGAAATATTAGCAGCGATTGATCCAAAGCCAGACCCAGTAATGGTGATTCTCGTCCCACTTAAACCTACAGAAAGAAATGAAGACTTGTGTCAAACTTTAGTTGTAAAGAAATAGCTAAATATTTTCCCATTTCTTGAGTTTTCATTCCTAAATCTGCTGGTTTGAAACAGCCGTGTATTTACCCTCAAGGAGATGAGGAATATCAGAAGCAAACTCACTCAGGAATGCTCTGGTATATGTCTCATCTATGTGGTTCTGAATGATACTGGTACAGATTGATATTGATACAGGGCGGGAAAAGGTACGGTATTGATTCTCGATTGATTGCAGGTATTGGTGAAACACTGGAGCCGGGACTGGTGAAGAATGATAGTAGGGATTGGAAGGACAGGAGCGATGATTTGTGAAGGATGAGGGCATGGAATAGTGACAGAGGGGATGGGGACTGGTGAAGGAGGGACAGAGAATGGAGAAGGAGGAGAGCAGGCATTGTAGCTACTGTAAATATGACTGAGGTTCAAAATCCCATTTTAAAACAATTGCTACACCTGAGAAATTGAATAACTAAGGGAGAAGAATTGGGCATTAATTCTTGAGACCATAAACATTGCAGGTTTCCTGACAGCTACTCACCTCCTGTTGGAGTAACTGCAACTATGTTAGGCGTTTCTGTTTGGTTGCATATAAATGTCAGGAATGGATATGATACAGTTTGAACAACAATGTTCACATTGGCTATTCCTGGAGGACAAGCTGGCGTGATACACTGGACTTCACTTGGTGTAACTGAAAGAATGGAACACAGGGATCCATGGACGGTCACTGTGGTGTAGCCCTGGACAAAACCATTTCCTTCGATGAACAAAGTGGTGCCGCCATTGATGCCGCCAGAGGTTGGTGTAAGGGAGGCTGTCGCAGCGCTGGTGATGATGCCACCTTCTGAAGATAAACCCTTATCCATTATTAGAACTTTAACTGAGTAATTGCCAGCAGGCAAAGGACGTACTGTACAAGTTATATTAGTATCTGAAACAGCCTGGGGCATAAATTGAGTGTTACCTATAAAGACATAAACCATATCAGCATTGTCCCCAAATCCATTTCCTCTTATGGTAAGTTTTGTATTGTTTGTGTTCAGGACCCTTGGATAGATATCTAGCAGAAGTGGTGTGACACTATCAGTGTACACATAGTTGCAAGAGCCATTACATTCAGCCAAAATACCATGAACAGAAAGTTTAACGATCCCACTGAAAGGAACTGAAGGTGAAGATTCACAGATGATTTGTGTGTAGTTCACAGTAACAACTGAACAAGGTACACCAGCCAAAAGGACCTCAACATGCATGATATTGCCTGCAAATCCTGATCCAGTGATGTTGACTCTGGTCATTCCTGTTGTGGATCCAATTTCGGGGCTAATGCTGTCAATGATGGGAAGGAGCACAAAGCGCCGATCAAATTCATTGGTTAAAGTATTGATCGCAGTGCCAAGGTTCTGGACTGTCACAGATACTAATGCTGCAATGCCAACTTCCATCACTCCTTCAGGATCCAGCTGGCACGTGATCTCACTGTTGGTGCTATTTTCAACCACGCAAGGATGGTCTCCAACCGTCACCTAAAACACAGCAATGTGTCTCAATGTGAATTTCTATTCACTAACAACCAACAATTTAACTTGTTGCGATGGAACAGGAGCAAATCAGTGATTTGTATTTTTTCAGTAATACTGAAAAAAACTACAGGAGTTTAAAGAGAAGTCCCAGCATCACCTTCTTAGGGCAACCAGGGATGGGCAGTAAATGTTAGTGTCTGAGTGCAAATACAGGACTTGATTACCATTCAAACTAATTTCCGCTCAATGGACACGTTTTCCAAGCTTAGCAGTTAGATATAAAAATATATAGAGATTATAGCACCAAATTACATCAAAATGTTTCAAAGCTACTATGCAAGAACCCACGATCAGCCATGAGGTGAGTGAATAATTACTGTCAAAGCTCATGTAAGAACGCTGTACCTCACTGGAGTGGGGCGGTAGGGGAGGGGACAGGGGTGTCATTGGATAGGGATTAGGAAAGAGAATCCTGCTTAATCTTCACTTCCATAACCAGAGTTGCTGAACCACCTGCTCAGGTAACTTAGCCCAGACCAAGGAACAATATACCTGGTCTGTAGTGCTCTGTTATTTATTGAATAACATACTGTGCCATCAGGGAACCCCATTTTCAAACTTTCAGTAGTGATATTTTAGCATTACATGATAGCAACAAATATAAGTTAATATAACCACAGGAATCCAGATAATTACATTGACATAACATACATTGGTTTAATTGCACCTCAATTAATCTAATACACCCCTTTACCTCATTAGAACAGCTGGCGTCACAGAATCCAGTGCCGGTAATGGTTAGTATGTCATAAAATGTTCCCTTAGTTGGTTTGATGCTGTTGATGGTTGGGGACCAGTGAGAGGAAAAGACAAATGGAAAGCCATCCACATCTGTAGCTCCAACAGATGTTTGGTTGAACTCCATGTTTGAGCCAGTGGAGTTGTCATCAAGTGGATTTGGGGAGAGTAGCTCTTCCATTTGCCCTTTTAGAAATTAACCACACATTATTATTCCAAAGACAAGACTAGGACACCTTGAGGAGGAGCTTTGTCATTATTTAAAGGGGGAAGCATCACTAAACTCTTGTGGATCTGCTGCAAATTATTTGTGATCTTGCCTCTGTTTTATTATTATTTAACTGTCCTGGTCACAAGATCAGTCAGGATAAAGAAGTCCTTCAGCCTGTTTGATCTCATCCCTTCAATATACATGAAAGGAAAAGCAAAATATAATTCTAAATTGGCTCAGCTCCAAGCTAATCCTGGGTTCGAACCCAGAATTTGCCATTAGGCAAATAATATATATATAATTTCCTGCAGAAAACATGGCTTACATTACAAACTTTTTCCTGCAACCAAAGACCAGTAACATCAATTATATCACCCCTGAATCCATCATATAAGAGTACAAAAAAAATGGAATTTTTAAATTTACCCTGAAGTCAAATCTCATATTTTTGTGTTATGTTGTGGTGAAATCCCACTTGTAGCAATGGAGGAAACTATGATATTCCTAATTGGATTCAGTTCATTGCTTAATTATATTCATTAGAGAAGATTAAGCAGTCTGACCCAACAAGCTTTTAAAATCATGTTATTTGGTTTGAGTAACTTTAAACCTCGCTTTTTGTTTATCAATGCTGAGTAATCCATCTATTCAGTTTTTTTTGTATATAGACGTGTTGTGGAGACCTTTATTGGTGGAACATGCAAGGTAATAAACTAGTTCAAGGTGTTTATTGTGAATAAAATTACCATTGTATAAATAGATTGAACATTGAGTGCTGTTCTGTGAAAGAGTATATATCAGGTGACATGACTCTTATTGCATACTGTAGTACCTGATAGTCTTACCTACCTCATAGCAGTAAGAAGGCAAGTTGGCAAGGAAAGCCGAGTTATTGTAATCTGCAAAACTCCGCACATCAGAACAATTAGGCAAATAGAACTGTGACCATCTGATGAGATCTGAGCCTGAAATTTCCAAATCTTCATCTTAAGACCACTAACTAAAAGGCTAGAACATGGAAGGGTAGCCTACTCTCAGGTCTCAACCAAGCACGCTCTATACTAGACTTCATATCAGAACATAAGAACATAAGAAATAAGAGCAGGTGTAGGTCATTCGGCCCCTCGAGCCTGCCCCGCCATTCGATAAGATCATGGCTGATCTGCTGACCTAACTCTAATTACCTGCCCTATCCCCATATCCCCTAATCCCTCTATTTTTAAAAAATCTATCAGTCTCAGCCTTGAAGATGTTCAAGGACTGAGCATCTACAGCCTTCTGGGGTAGTGAATTCCATAAATTCACTACCTTCTGAGTGAAGAAATGTTTCCTCAACTCTGTTCTAAAAGGCTGACCCTTAATTTTAAGACTGTGACCCCTGGTTATAGATTCTCCTACCAGGGGAAACAGTCCCTTTGTGTCTGCTTTATCAGCCCTTTAAGAATCTTATATGTTTCAATAAGATCTCCCCTAATTCTTCTGTACTCTAGAGAATACAGCCCTAGTTTATTCAGCCTATCCTCATAGGTCAGTCCCCTCATCCCAGGAACTAACCAAGTGAATCTACGCTGCACACCCACGAGGGCAAGTATGTCCATTTTTAAATAAGGAGACCAAAACTGAACAACAACAACAACAAGATTCCATTTATAGAGCGCCTTTCACGTCGGGAGGACATCCCAAGGTGCTGTACAGTTGGGTCAGGACCCGAGCAGGGGGGAAATGGTCAGGGTGAGGGGAGGGAAGGGAGGGAGCGAGGAGGGGGTAGAGAGTCGAGAGGGGAGCTGAAGGCACGGTCAAAGAGAAAGGTCTTGAGACCGGCCTTGAAGGAGGAAAGGGAGGAAGCGGCGAAGGCACTGGGGGATAGAGTTCCAGAGCCTAGGGGCTGAGAGGCTGAAGGCCGGCCACCGATGGTAGGGCGGTTGGGGCGGGGGATGTGGAGCAGACCGGAGCCAGAGGAACGGAGGGTACGGGCAGGTAGGTAGGGGGATAGTAGGTCGGAGAGGTAGGAGGGAGCAAGGCCGTGAATGGCCTTGTAGGTCAGTTGTAGGTAGTTGAATTCGATGTGAGGTGCGGTCTCACCAAGGCCCTATACAGTTGCAGCAAGACTTCCCTACTCTTGTACTCTAAACCTTTTACAATGAACACTAACATGCCGTTTGCCTTCTTAGTTGCTTGCTGCACCTGCAAACTAACTTTTTGAGACTGGTGTACAAGGACACCCAAATCCCTCTGAACACTAACACTATCTAATCTCTCCCTCTCTAGAAAATAATCTGTTTTTCTATTTTTTCTACCTAGGTGAATAACTTCACACTTCCCCACATTAAATTCCATCTGCCACCTGCTCGCCCACTCCCCTAGCCTATCTATATCCTGTTGCAATCTTTTTGCATCATCCTCAGAGCTTACTCTCCCACCTAGTTTAGTGTCATCCGCGAATTTAGATACGTTACATTCAATGTCCTCATCTAGATCATTGATGTAAATTGTAAATAGCTGAGGCCCAAGCACTGATCCTTGTGGCACTCCACTAGTCACATCCTGCCAATTCGAGAATGACCCGTTTATCCCTACTTTCTGTTTTCTACCCGTTAGCCACTCTTCAATCCATGCTAATATGTTCCCATTAATCCCGTGGGTCTTAACCTTGTGTAATAGCCGTTTGTGTGGCACTTTGTCAAATGCTTTTTTAAAATCTAAATATACTACATCTACTGGTTCCCCCCTATCTAACCTGCTGGATACATCTTCAAAAAACTCTAAAAGATTAGTTAAGCATGACTTCCCTTTTGTAAAGCCATGTTGACTCTGCCTAATCTTGTTATGGTCTTCCAGGAATCCCATAACGACATCTTTAATTAAGGACTCAAGAATTTTCCCTACCACTGATGTCAGACTAACTGATCTATAGTTCCCCATCTTTTCTCTCCCACCCTTCTTAAATAGTGGTGTTATGTTTGCAATCTTCCAATCAATGGGAACCGTTCCAGAATCCAGAGCATTTTGGAAGATCAGGAAGTGGCTTTCTGAAGCACTGCACCACACTGTAATTTCTGAAATAAATGCACCAGATCATTTCACTGTAATACCTTACCTGTTTCATACTCTGCCTCAATTCCTGCTACATAAAGGTACAACTTGGTGACTCTCTCCTGAGCTGGTCTCACATTCACCACGCCCTGCAGGTAGATGGACTGTGCAGGATTCACAAAACCACTGCTGTAGTAAAAGGATCCAGGGGAGGTGAAATGGTAGGAGAAGGATCCTACACATGAAAAAACATTTAGAATCTTCAGACTAAGAAAACACATCTTTTCAAATCTTGATGATTTATATTAGCGATACAAATGTACTGCTGAATTACAGTACAAATGTACTGCTGAATTAGTGTCCGCAAACGCTGCATTTTAGACACCGTTATGTAAGCAAATGGATTTGCAAGATACTGGGCAATAGGGAAAGGGAATTTTATTCAGTGACTGTCTTTTTATGAAATGTAGCGTTAATTGAGGATACGCAACCTGATACACTGCTGCTGGTTCCACTGATAAAACCATCCCCATCATAGTTCACATCACTGGGCCTGGCAACACGGTAGACTCTGTATCGCAGTCCTTTGACGAGTCCTGGTGCCTCCCACTGCCATTGCACCATGTCTCCTACAAAGATGTCCAGGGAGGAAGGATTCCAGCTGTATCCCTGTCCATGGTCTGCCATAAAGCAGTTAGAACAGCAGCAGGAAAAACAAACGGGGTGAAAAAGTTAAAAGTTGAGTTAAGGTTGTATTCCATAAACCTGCATTGAAGTGCCAAGGTTTCTGCTTTGAATTGAAGCCCTGGGGCCCATCTGAAAAACTATAAATTAAGGATGGGGAGTGCAAAGATTCACACTTTTTTTGCAGGAGAAATGTTTTATAAAATCGTACAAAGTTTACAATGCAGAATGCCACTGTGCTTATCTTTTTTTGCACAGGTGCTGGCTTTCCGGCTGTAGCTATCAACTCAAATCCCATTGCTTTAGTACATTTCCCATGCACTTGAATGTTTATTTTTCCACGAAGATGCCACCTACATGGATCAGTGCCATTGCTGGTAATAAGGTGTCTTCTTCTGGTTGGCAGCACAACACACTCCAACTTGCTCACTGATGTAGACGTTATGTTGCATGGCACAGAACCTGCCAATAAAAAATAATCACATTGTTATGTGAGAATACCAGGTAGTAATAACAAACCTTGCATTTGATATAGTGCCTTATCATGTCTTCGAGATGTCTCAAAGCGCTTCACACAATATATTGTAAAGTGAATTGACTGTATTCACTGTATTTTGTGGGCGAAACATGGCAGACTATTGCACACAGAGGTGTCCCACAAACAGCCGTGGATTGAAGTGACCAATTTGTTTGTTGTAGGGATTAGTACCCCCGGAAAAGCGATCCGCCTGTAAAAAATGATTAGTTATGGATGATTATGTTATGTATGATCATGACTATAAGCGTTGATTCATATGATTATGGGTAATGTACTCGCTGTTTTTTAATAAGGAAAATGGGCAATTGAATGACCGATGAAACCCCTGAAGTCAGCAGTAATTTAACCTAGCGGTCAACAGGCTGGTACAAATTGGTTTAGAGCTATCAAAGAAGTTAGACAAAGTTTTCCAGAACAAAGAAACATGTAGGAAAACAGTTTCAAGGCCAGGAAGACTGGGATGAGGAGATTAGGAGCCAGGAGAAGAGTCACGAAGGGCAAAGGAATGCATGAGAGCTCATCACTAAGGGGTACTGATACAATGAATACCATGTGCAGGTTAAGATGAGCAGATCTAAAGGAATGTAATGGTCAAAAGGTGATGTGACTGTAAGAGTCAGTACTTTTAGAAGCTGAGTGAAGTTGTCGCGGATCGGGGAGAGAACAGAGGAGGAACACCCTTGCGAAGGGCTGATCTCTCCAACCGAAACCACAGAAACTCAAGATTGAGAACGACTCCTCGGAGGACGAGCAGGAGGGCTGAAGGAGGGAGAACCACATGGACTCTGAGTTAAAACTGAGAGACCAGCAAACCGGCAGCTCTTCCAATCGATCACGGTGATCACTGGAGAACTCCGGACTGCAGACTTCAGGGGAAAGATCGACTAAGGCAACAACAACAACAAAATTATATTTGTATAGCACCTTTCACGTCGGGAGAACGTCCCAAGGTGCTGGACAGACATAGTTACGGACCCGAGCTGAGGGTCGGGGTGGGGGAGGGTGGAGGGCAGAGGGGAAAGCAGGGGGATTGAAAGCACAGTCGAAGAGGAGGGTCTTGAGGTAGATTTTGAAGGTGGCGAGGGAGGGGTTGAGATGGAGGGATTGTGGGATGGAGTTCCAGAGCGTAGGGGCAGACTGGCAGAAGGCCCGCCCGCCGATAGTGGGGCGAGCAAGTGGGGGGACTTGAAGTAGGTCGGAGCCCCCTGGGCAGAGGGAGCGAACAGGGTGGTAGGGGATTAGGAGGTCGGAGAGGTAGGAGGGAGCAAGACACACCAGAGGGAGACGGGATAGCCGAGAAAGAGAGAGGGAGAGAGAGAGAGAGAGAGAAAAGGAAGTTATCACTCAGTACTGTACAACAATCACTAGAGTATCAAGACTAGAATGAGACTTAAATCCTGATGCAGGATTATTTAGCAGCAATATGATCAACTTTCTGGAAGAAGTATAAAAATATTAATGGTAGCCATAGGTATTTCAGCTTTTGCCAGGAAACTTACCAAACAGGATAAGGTTTTCCTCCAGAACAGGACTAAAACCAATTCCAGATACGGTGACCTTCGTCCCCCCGTACAGTGAACCATGCTGAGGAGTAACACTTGTCACACACAGCCGGTACTCAACTGAGGCATTTATAGAGCTACTACAGTGAGAAAAAGAGACACAGACACATTATTCATATTATTTTTCTACATTCGGATAAAATTTCACTCTGAGTTTCACAACGAAACAGAATTGTTTCTGTGAGATTAAGTTCATTATACCGAAACATGGCACATGTTAGTCTTTATGTTATATAAAGTTCTGGTTATCTGTCCATTTCAATTAAGATTCGGGCTGTCCACCTCAATCCTATAAAGAATCTTTGTCCAGTCCAGCCATATCTGCTTTGATGTTGATTACATCCAAAACATTTTTTTTACTCAGCTTTCACATTAGGAGGACACCTGAAAACACTTAAAATAAAGTATTAACTTTATGAAAAATTTTATTGTTTCATAAGAAATTTTATGTAATTGATGACAATGATAATTATCACATAGAATTTGTCATGAAATCACATTTTACACCTCCTATTTTTAATGGGGTGGTTTAATGTCGGTATTTTTGAAAGCTTCCTGAAATTTCTGTTTATTTGGTATCTGAGCTGAACATGTGCAAATCCACTCGAAGAGTTAAGTTGATATTTCCTTTGTGATTCCCTCATTTCGTAACTTTACATCTACTCCATGTGGAGGATGCTGATGAAGGAAAAACTCAGGAGATTTTCACAAGTACAGAATTGATTGAAACGTGTGTAAACCGAACAGCATTTTTTTGTACCTAACATTCGCGAAGGCTCCAGTGACTCCTACTTGAACATAATAAAGACCAGGAGACTGTTTGGGTAGGCGGCAGGTAATTAAGCTGGATGTCCATTCCAAAATCGGACACTTCACCTTCCCAACAAGGACAGAGCTGTCCTCCGACCTGTTGCCAAAATCTGACCCAAAGCATGTCAGGTTGGAGCCGCCTATAAAACAACAAGAATAACATTGGTTATATCTTCATTCAGAAAATTATATTAGACAAATCAGTTGCAGTTTAGGTTCAACCCAATAAAATGAAAATAAAAATGTGCACAGCCTGTATCCATCATTAATTGAATGAAAGACAGTTATCACATGAAGTGATAGAGGAGGACTTTGATTGGCTTGAGGTTCTCTATTTAAGTACAGGACTGCTTAGATGAAAGTTTGATGGGCATTCCCTTCACGCATGCACAAACTGTCTACGTTGATATTTTAAGTAATCGATTGTATCTTGTGGTTGGACAGCCAGTTATTCATGCTGAGAGAAAGCACAACATATCTATACCACTGTAAACATTCTTCATTAATTCATTGATTCAACAATTACTGTTAAATACCATTAGTGACCAAGTTTCCCATTTTACTCTGCATCCCATGTCCAGAGACAAGAGCATGCAGGATAGCAGGATAAATTGTTTCTCTGACACACTGTTTGTCATGGTCAAACTTCACTGTCAGGGCTGCAATGAAATATATTCATTACTGGTGTGTTTAGAGCTACCAAGAAATTGGTTATCATAAGTGCAGGCCAGAAAATTGACTTAAGGTTCTTGAACATAGACACAGCAGATAACTAACAGATGACTAACGTTCTGCCACCTACTTACAAAAGTAAAATTCAATGAACGTACCTGATACATTTGATGTTACCGGTGTTATTTGCGTGATTACTGGAGTCTTAGAATCGGTGTATGTAAATGGAAAGGTGGACGAGCTGGATATTCCATTGTTAATCACACAGATATTGTACACTCCAGCAGGTGCCTGTATTAATAGGTGCCAATGGTCAATCACTATTTATTTAATAATTCACAATTTTACACTATAAACTCAACGCCTCTATGAATTTAGTGCCTTGGGATGTCCTCCCATTGTGAAAGGCACTATATAAATATGAATTTGTTGTTGTTAAAGATCTCATGGCACTATTCGAAAGTTTTCAGTGTTCTGGCAGAACAATCCTCCAGGTAAAATTTGTTTTTTTACTTCATGACCATTTGTGGGATATTGCTCTGTGCAAATTGGCCAATTGGCTACAACATTCGCCTACAAATATGCAGTCATACCATTTTACAGTAAAATTCTGTGAAGGGCTTTGAGATGTTTCAACACAGAGATGAGGCAGTATATCAAATGCAAGGAGTATTATTATTGTTAACACCTTCTTGAGTTCAGACCAGTAAATGGGTAATGGTGGAATATCAAAAAGAAGAGCCTATCTCCTTAATTGAAGCCACTTCATTTATTTCCAGAGAATTGTTCTCAATTTTGATACCTGAAACTCAAATATCTAAGAGCAAGAGAACTAGAATCCCTCAATACACTCACCGATGGAGTTCTGCACTTTATCTCATTGTGACTTGCCATGAGATGACCACATAATTCCTCTCCAATCCAAACTGTGGAATTTTGGGTAAAACTGCAACCAGATACTGTCAGAATGGTTCCTCCTTGAATAATAGGAATGAAAGTTATTATGAATGTGACTCTACATTAATGGGATCAATTGGAGCTCTCCAAGTGGTGAAGTGCTGGGTAACAGTAAGTAAAACACTGATGGGCTTATAGTGTTCAAACAAGGTCTGAATTGGGTTTTTGCTGTTGGGGCTACAATTGGATTTGTTGCACACCTAATCCAAAAAAGTAATAGGCACAGAGTGCCCTAGGTTAGGGATGGAGAAAATCAGCCAGGGTTCCTATTCATGATTACTATCCAGAGACCCCTGTCCGAAAGTGTGAGTATATGGATTTGATACATGTTGTGATCGAATTGCCAGCCCACACTCCGCTATCGAGGCTTTTGCGTATAATCACCTCTTGGGTGAGAAATTCTGGAGAGGAACTGGAGAAGCCCCAGTAGAAGGAAAAACCCTACAGAGGGAAAGATTTATGGACTGTTCCTGAAAATAAGTATATTTGAAAGTGGCACAAAACATTACCCAATGCTTATTAAAGTACTAAAATGCTTCTATTTGAGTACAACTAAAACACGACTTTTGCTAATGAAGACTGTATCATGTTTTCTTATTCTGTCTCACCTGCACTGCTGCCTGAGGATGGAGATATGCTTTTAACTTCTGCCTGATAAGTGAAAACAAATGTTTGGTTTCCAGCGTGTTTTGCGATACCAAGCTCGGCGATGTAAACAGTCACAGGGGATGAGATTAGACTGGCATTTCCAATCCTACAGGTAATTTCATTGTCTGAAGGCAAGGTAACAAATATTGCAGAGATCAAACACAACAGAAATTCAAAATTCTAAATTAATGTGTTTTTTTCCTTGTCTTGTAACATAACATACATTTGTGGGTGAGATTCATAGTGCATATATTTATTCTCAATATATTTTTTCTTAATAAATATGTGAGACAGAATTTTCTATATACATAAGTGGTTGGTTGCGGCCAGGGCACCGGATTCATTTTTAAAACAGCTTGATACGGTAAATTGGAGGATCTAGTTGTGTGGATATTCTGAAGGGATGCAATCAGGTGGACCAAAGGATATTCGTCGTCCCAGCCAATCTTGTGACCTTGTGAAGTGTTATGTTATGAATCATCATGATGATTGGAGCCAGTCAGGAATGCTGTGACAATCCAAATTGGCTCTCAATAAGGACAGAGGTGGCTGGGATGTGTGTTCTCAATCACAGAGAACTATGTTCCCTGGCCCTTGCTATGATGCAAAGAAGTGTTCTATGGCTCTCCAGCAGTGACTGCCACTGCGTTAAATAAATGTGATTTAATCAAAACAATTTCAACATTGCCTTATTTATAAAATTATAATTTCTATAAACAATATTCTAAAATACTGTTTTCAGAGCTGCTGGTTTTACTTCTACATTTCTGCATAGAGGTGGCATTTGCTGAGCTTCAGTATAGATACTAGATATGCTCAGCTAATACTAGACATCTGTACCATACAAGACATGTCTTGCACAGGCAGTCTCTCTCTAAATAAGAATTTCTAAGTGCAATCCTAAAATGATGCGATCACATTGCTATACTATATTTTTTTACTACGGAAACTCGCACTGTATTAATTGATTCTCCCTCACTGAGTTCAGAGCATTTATTAATTCTCCCTCTCTGAGTTCAGAGCATTTACTCACCAGTTAAGCCAGTGATTTGACATCTGGCATCTCCAACAGAAACCCAGGTGTCATCAGTCGCAGAACAATTAGCAAAGTTTGAGCCTGATATAGACAACATGGTTCCATTGGCACATGAATCTAAAAGAATAAAGAGTGCAATGTGTTCAGTAGAGAGCAAGTTACGAAGACTTGTCACCCACTCTCAAAGTACTTAGGTCAACAGATTTGTCATAGAATTTTTAAATATCACAGGATCTAACACGTTTTCATCACGGAAGAAGACCATTCAGCCTGCCATGTCTGTGCTGCTGCTTACTTGGTGAACCTCACAATGTGATATCCACTTAATGACTTGAATCCGGGTTGTGAATATTACACTTTAGATCCCAATGTAGGCGCCGGAGGCAAAATTTACATTTTATTCAACTCAATACCTATATAATTCCTTTTACTAGATAATTTGTGCATGCTTTAACACAGGAAATAAATACAATATGTACTGTAGTTGGAATGATTATCCCATACAGTAGGGTTGTTTTAAAATACATATTTTTCCTATAAAAAGACTCCAAATTCCTGGAATTATGTCATGTTTAGACAATAACCATTCTTAAGATCTCTGCACTCTCAACAGATAGATGTCTTAACATTTCTGAGATAAATAAGATGAGACTAAGTGCTTTAACTTCACCTATTCAGGATAAGCTGGATTTAAGTGAATAAAAGAGTAATCCTCTGCTGCTAATTCTTCACTTGCACACTGGTACTTACCCACTGTCGGACTAATGTGTGAAATGACTGGGGTTTTTCCAGAACTCCATGTATACCCACAGTTATCAGAGCATTTACTGGGGATGCCGTTAATGAAAACTTCCACCTACAAAAAGAAAGAAGTTGACAAAGCCAGAGATTTGATTTACTTTCCATAAGTTTTCATTGCATGCAGAAAGTTATCCGCTGGGGCAAAGGGGCGGAGGGGGTTGGAGGGGGGGAGGGTAGTAGAGCTGAACTGGCTCCAAGGTGACGTGCTTGGCAATGGGATGTTGGAATCCAGCCAGCCCTCTGTGGCGGTTTCCAGGCCAGTTCCTGAGCCAGGCAGGTCTGCTGTTCTCCATGGCACTGCTGATGACAGCACAGCCAGCCTTGCTCATCAGCAGGACTTGGAAGGGCAGACCAGTCACTGGTGACAGGGATTCTTCCTTCTCAGTTCCTGTTAATCCTGCAAGACAAAGCCCTAATAGGTAGGGTGGTCCTAGCTGGATAAGGTACAGGAAACTTGGCAGGGGTAGGAATGGGGAGCAGTCATTGAAAGAAGTGCTTTCAATGGCAAGCTTTGCGCTTTTAATTGGTTAGACACCAGCAGTACACCATCGCACACTCTGGGGTCCCCAAGCCTTGGCTCTTGTCAATCTGTGCCTAATACTCTGTGGAATTAGATACGAAGGACCTGTCCCTCCAGGCAGTGAGTGTGCATTCCATTTCAACCAGGAATCTCTACGTATAGTTTTGTTTGGATACTCTGAACCATGGTAATGGGTTTTCGCAATTTCAGACACCCGGCTGACCAAGAAGAAATAATTACGATTGTTTCCATTTTCCTCAATTCATTTTTCATTTAGCAAAATTCCTCGTGAAAAACAATTGCATCAATGCTGTAAATTATCCTGTTATAGCACGGGGAAGGAACTGCAATGTGCAGCATACTGGCACTGTTGCTTTAGGAACATGCAATATTCTTTCAGTCCACTGGAGGGTGCAGATAAGTCATTAATATGTGTTTGAATGAGCTCAACTGTGCCATGTTAACACTGAGGAATTGCATCTGGACTTGAGACCACAACCTGAACCGTGGCTCAATCCCCGGCCTTAACCTCAGCTGCTCCTGAGTCCTGCCCCTGACTCAAACCTGCCCTGCCCTGGCTGCTTCCCAGTCCTACCCCTGCCTCAGCTCAAATCTAACCCAGATTAACCCTGACCCATTCCTGACAAGAATCAACAACAATCAGGACCCTGGGTGCATCCCCCGAGCTGCCCCCACTCAAACTCCAACCTTCGCTCATCTCAACCCGGTTGATTGGTCAGGGTTAAGTCCGGGAATCGTTTGGGGGCTGGTTTGGAGCCCAGGCCAAGGGTCGAGCTGGAAGCTTAGGTCAAGGTTGGTCATGGATGGGGCGAGGGCAGACCACAGGACGGGAGATTGAGTGTGAAGAGAAACAATTCACTGCCTATAAATAGGAATTGACGAGTCCTCAGTGTTAACATTTGATAGTTGGGCCACTGAATGGCAACAAGCTGTAAAATTAAACATTTGTAAAGGATACAAATTTAGTGCACAGGGAATTAAAACTTCAGCATTAGATTTTAATCCCTTCCTTGCCTCCAAGGTAAGTCTCGAGACCCTTCTCTTTGACCATACCTTCGGTCACCCTCCTATCCTCCCAGATAATAGTCTGTCATCAGCAGTGCCATGAAGAACAGCAGACCTGCCTGGCTCAGGAACTGGCCTGGAAACCGCCACAGAGGGCTGGCTGGATTCCAGCATCCCATTGCCAAGCAAGTCATTCTAGTTCCCTCTATCCTTAATCCAAGACACAATGGGTGGTAGTCCAGACCTGCAAACTCCAGATCAACTCCCAGGTTGGTCTCCATTGAACTTCTAAGATATCAAGCTTTCCTCTTGTAAGTCATTGTATGGCAAAGGAGAAAAACAGAAGTCATAAAGAATGGATCTCTGAGAGGAAGAGAGGTCCAGAGGTTAGGGGTAAAGGAACTGAAAGCTTGGCCACCACTGGCAGAGAGTGGATGGGGGAACATGCCACAAATCTGAGCCAGCCAAATGGTGGATTAGGTACGAACAATATTTTCAGATGTGCCAATACAGTAGAACATGAGAACATAGGTTTAGATTTGCAAAGGGTATTTTACAACAGACACCAAGAAGTACTTCTTTATCTAGAGGCTAATTATCTACTTGAGCACGTTATCTGTTAGGGTGGTTCAAGCTTGAGTGCTGAACTCATTTAAAACGTAGCTTGATGCTGTGCTCGAAAGAAGGCAGATGGGGCATTCTTGAAAGATGAGGTCAAATGGGTCAAAGGGCCTTATTCATCCGAATTAATTTTGTGAATCACGTGATGTGTGTAACAATGTTGTGAGCTCCTATTGTCCAGGGAATGAAAACCTGCAAGGCTCCAGATTGAAGATACACAAGCACTGATAAAAATGAGAGTGTAACTGCTGATGCATATTTGTAGAGTGAATATGATGGCTCAGCCTACACTACTAAACATGGCAGCACATACCTGGGGCTTGGTGTTTGGTGTACGAAGCATGTCTCCTGTAAGGCGCTGATTGAACAAACCTCCTTCCTTTGTCACTTGGACTATTATCTTAGCATTTGTTCCAGTCACCTTTGAATTATTAACCTGTCATGTAAAACCCACGGTAAATAAATATACTTTTTCAGTTTAGTTCTATTACTACACAGCTAATGTTACTGTAAATCTCCTAATACAATAACAATTTGGGAGAATCTATTTTAGATAATTGATTTTGGTACTGCAAAATACCAGAAGAAAATTTATAATGAACTAATATATTAATTAATAATGCAATACAAAATTACATTTGTATAGCGCCTTTCACATAGGGAGAACATCCCAAAGTGCTGGACAGTCAGGAGCTGAGCGGGGTGTAGTGGGGTTGGTGGTTGGGATCAGGAAGGGTGAAGGGCAGGGAGGGTAGCAAAGAGGAGGGTCTTGAGGCAGGCCTTGAAGGAAGCAAGGGAGGAAGCGAGGCAAAGGGAATGTGGGATGGAGTTCCAAAGTGTGGGGACAGAGAGGCTGAAGGCCCGACCGCTGATGGTGGGGTTGGCCGGGTGGGGATGTGGAGTAGAGTCTGCTGAGTGGAAGAAGCAGACAGGTTGATATGGTGTCAGCAAGTCACAGAAGTAGGAAGGGGCAAGGCCGTGGAGGACCTTGAAACGAGCACGAGGATTTTGAACTCTATCCTATGGGGGATGGGGAGGGGAACCAGTGGAGCTGGACGAGGGTGGGGGTAATGGGGTCACGGAGTCTGGTGCGTGAGCGGACACGAACTGCAGAGTTGTGGATGATCTGTAGCTTGTGGAGGGAAGAGTTGTGGAGGGAATAACAGTAACATCAACAGCCATATCTCACAAACAACCACACAGTAAATGATCAAGTTAAGTGGAGAATTGTTAGCTAGTACAATGGGTAAAAACCCTTTCCCTTTCAAATAATGGAGTGCTTTAACATCTACCTGAACAGATAGATAGAACCTAAGTTTAACATCACATCTGAAGCAAGGCACCATCCAACAAAGCAGCATTCCCCCCGACAATGCGCAGGTTGGCAAAAGCCACGTTTTGGGGCCCCAGAGTATGTGTTGGAGTACTGTTGGAATTAACCAGCTAAAATTGCATTACTTGACATTGAAAGCATTGTCTGGCAAGCTATCCACTGCTGCTGGTCCAGTTAGAAGCACTCTACCCTTTAGGGCTTTGGATTGCAGGGCTAATGCAACAACAACAACTTGCATTTACATAGTTCTTTTCATGAAGGGTAATGTCTCAGAGCACTAATTGGAAGCTGAGTGGGAAGAATCCTGACTGATGATGTGTTGCAATAGTAACCCTCCTTACTTGCTACTCAAGGTAACAAATACCACTGGTAAATTACACTATGTGTTTAATCTTCTGAAATTTACATTTTTTTTATTGAATGTAAGTCAGTACATCACCTGCAATGTAGGCTGCTTGCCACTTTTGGTCAGCCATTTCACCCACCAGCGGTACCCAGTACAGCCCCCATTTCTGGACACTGACACAGTTCCTATTTCAGCAATGGTCTGTAAAGCGTATTGCATTTCCAAAGCTGTGGAATTGACTGGCAGATCTACAACAACAGAAAATAGAGAAAAACATCCATTAATTCTTGAAGATGATATAGGAATGGTGGAGTGAAAAATTAAGTTTGGGATGTGGCATTTATCACCTGTGCCATATCACCTGTGACTTCTTTGTTTTTGTCGCCCCTATGCATCATTTGGCTGAACTATGATTGAGTTATGATGGTATTCGGTGCCACAGGATATAAATGCAGTTAATGCGAGCAACAAAGATGCTGGAAGGTTGTGACTTTGGCTAGCTTTGGGCCAATCCATTATGTCAAACAGAAAGGTGATTGAATCCTGAACATCTAAAGTTAGGTTTGGATTGCACTTTCCAGCAGAAGGAAGTTCTCCAGGTGTCCTGGTCAACAATCCCCCAGATAGAATTGGTCACTCAGTTCATGGTTGTTTGTGGGGCCTTGCTGTGTGCAAATTGGCTGCCACATTTGCCTACGAAATGCAGGCACTACACTTTACAGTTTCCAACGTTTTAATATTCTTGGTGCTCATTAATATCAGAAGAAGGGAAAAGCTCAGTTAAGGCATGGCCAGATACAGTCAAAAGTCAGGAACTTGCATTTTTCTGACTCTTTATAATAATCCTTACATTGGCTATAGCACCTCTAAAATATCCCAATACACTTCACAGGTGAGGCTCTCATGTATAGTAACTGTATATTTGAGGTTAAATGCAGCAGCCAGTTTGCACACAGCAATGTCCACAATCAGCTATGAAATAATTGGAACTTATATTTGGAGGATTGTTGGTCAGGACACAGGGAAGTTCTCCCCTTTCTTTTCAAATGGTAGATAGGGATCCTGACAGTCCACCTGAACAGGTAAAAGAGGCCTCGGTTTAATGTCTTGTCAGAATAAACAGCATCTCTAAACAATGCAGCAATCATAATTCTTGCATTTAATAAAGCATCTTAGTACATCGTCGAGATGTCTCAAAATTTTTCACAGGGTTTACTCTAAAGATTTACACTGTGTATTTTGTAAGCGAACACGGCAGCACATTTGCACAAAGCAGTGTCCCACAAACATTCATGAAGTGGGAGACCAATTTTATTCAGGAGATTGTTGGCCAGGACACTGGAACAAATTCCCTTTTTGAAATGTGCAATGGAATCTTTAAAGGTCACCTTTCATCTTTCACCAGTGCCTTGGTTTAACATCTCACCTGAAGGACATCTCAGCCAAAAGCCGTCACCATCAGGTCTGCATTAGAGTGTTAGCATAGACTGTGAACTCAAAGTCCCAACTTGAGATAATACAGCCCACCACATGGAGTTTATCATAGCCTGATTCCTCAAAGTAGCAATTTTTTCTCTCTCTACCTTTATAATGAGGAAAGATTGGCTTTTTTTNAGTGATGGTAACAATAATATGTATCCCAATAGGCAGTAACTCATTTCAAAAAGTAAACTGATCCCTGGATTTTTTTNGAAGAGAAATTTCTAATTATGATATACCTCTCAGCGATTTTCCAAAGATTTCAATATCGAATGTGCCTCCAACTGGCCTAGAGGCTGCGTCAATCCTGCGGACTATGAGCACAGCTCCTTCAGGCCATGTGGTTCCTTTGTATGCCGCTTCATCCTCTGTATTGTTAGCCAAAACCTAGTGCAAACATTTATCACAAATGTCATCTTGCAAATCAAAGATACAGAATTCTGCATTTTCTTGCCTTTAATTTCATAAAATTTTGACTCTGTTATCGAATGTAAGCCAGACCTTCACACCAAACAAATTACATCTTTGTTTTATTAATACTACTGTGATCAATGCTTCTCCAAACTTTCTTCTCTTGATTCACTGTCCTGCGATTTCCACACAGGATCCATTTATAACATAACTGGAGCATGAATGTGCATATGCCTCCTGAAACACTTCTGTTTTTTTTTAAATATGGTTTTCACTCAAAGTTGAAGAAAGCAGCACCTGTAATCTAGCTTTTAGGTCTCTCCATCTAATTCACAGTGCCTCACAACATAAAGCTACTTCCTATGTCATGATACACATTGAATAAGTAAGCATTTGGTTATTTGCGGTAATTTAAATGTAAAATATGTAAAAGGACAGTGCTTTATACTTTATTACCAGTTAGCAAAATAGAGGAGGGATAAAAAGACAATTTTGCACATATGAATGTGTGTATATATTTGTATGTATGTGATACGTGAATATGTTTGTATTTGTGTATAGTCTGCGGTCTGTGCTACATTAGCATCAACCTACAACAAATGACAACTAAATTATCACGTGAGATTGAGCATCTGATTTTGAGGATAGATTGCAGGACCTGGGAATATTAACACTGGAGAAGAAATAATTGAACGGTGATATTATTGAAGTATTCTAAATCCTAAAGGATAACGACAAGCTAAAATCCAACACTTTATTCAATATTGTGAAGTGGCCCACAAAGAGGGATCAGGGGTTAAATTTGCAGTATTGCTTAAAGGGATTCCTGAATAAGGAATGTAAGTTGCACGGTGAAAGAAGCTTTTGGCAACACCAAAAGATTATATTAGGATAATACTGGAGATGCGAAGTTTTGCCTATGAGCAGAGACTGGAGGGACTGGAATTTTTTTCTGCTGGAATATGATGGTTGAGGAGTGACCTTCAAGAGGTCTTTATGACAGGGTTTTGATAGTCAATAGGAAGAGATTATTCTCACTGGTTGCTGAGTCAATAACTAGAGGCCATCAATTTAGGATAGTTAGTAAACAAGCAAATGGGAAGGTTAGGAGAAATGTTTCATGCACAGTTTAAGATATGGAATGCCCTGTAGAATTGATATTGGCCTTCAAGAGACAACTATACAAATACCTTAAAAATAATAATAAAATAATAAGCTACAGGGGTATGGGGAAAGGCAGTAAATGGGACTGAAATGAACAGCAACAACAACATTAAGTGCTTCAAGACAATACCTGGATGAAGAGCATTATATAAATGCAAGTTGTTGTTGTTGTAAGAGTATTCAAAGTAGACAGAATTCCACATGTGTATACCTCCTACATGTGGAAATTCCCCTGTGTCTGGAATGCAATGCACACTATCTCCATAGTGTGGATATCCATATCTCCATATCCTGCTTACTTAATTCTGGAGAGTATTAGATTCAGGTTGGCTGGAACCAAGGCTTGGGGACACTGGAAAGTTCTTTGGGGGTAATGCTGGAGGTTAAACCAGCTAAAAATGCATAGCTTGCTATTGAGAACGCTGTCGAGCAAGTATTCCACTGCTTGTCCAACTTGGACTACCTATCTGTTAGGGCATTGGTTAGCAAGAGCTGAGTGAGAAGAATTCCTGCTCCCACTGCTTCCAGTCGGCTTCTCCAAGTTCTACCAACAAACCAGTCTGAATGGTCTGGTTTTAGCAGTGCCAAAGGAGGACTGAAGATTTCTCTCTTTCAGTGTTTAGAGCCCTGGTCTCAACTCGGAAAGGGAAAGGTAAGCAGGAATCCAGAAAAACTAATTAATAATTCAATATTGTCCATTTAATAACTTTGTATCCAAATAACAGTAATACTAACCTGCGCAAAACCGACTTGCAGTAATGGAATACTATGACCACAGTTGATGGGAATCATTGTTACTTCATACTCATTATTCACATCTGCATTTTTATTTCTTCTCTGAGTAACCTTGAAGTCTTTGAAAATAAGTCCTTTGTCTAATAATGCTGGGGGATTCCTCATTTCTATATCTGCAATTTAATAAATAAATGGGTCATTTAAGAGCAAACCATCAACACATTTAATATAATACAATAAGGTAGATAGTCTCCATTAGATCAGTTAGATGTCCTTCAAAGATGAAGCTATCACCTCAACTAACATTCAAGACCAGTACATGAGGAAGACCTAGTCAGTATAGTTCAGGAGCAGCCTTTTGCACTCGTCTTAATAATATCCTTGTTGGAAGGTGGAACTAGAATATCTCTGAATAACTGAACTACTCTACGTGCGTTACATATGAGAGTTTCTCAGGAAAGGTGGAACAGAAACATAACCTTGCTTTCCTGTGCAGGTGAAGAGTTAGGAAACATGTCATTTTGTTTAGTTTCATATTATTCAAAGCAGCTGCCATCATTGCATATTTCTGGTGAATTGTTATGTTCATCAAGGTACTGAATACTATTACTGGAGAATAAAAATTGGTTACAAATAAGTTTCTATATTCTGAGACACCCATCAAGCCCACAAGTGGACTAGAATGGTTTATTACTCGCTTGTAATTGTTACTCTTTCCCATTCTTATCTGATTTTCTTTATGCATTCTAAATACAAAAACAAAATACCAAGTTGGCTTTGAGTTGTAGCTTGCTGTCCAAGGTACACTACGTCCACAAAGAAATCCTGGTGCCATGTTGCCTTGTCCAGTGCAATTCTGTGCAGTAGAAAATTGCTTCCAGTAGGATATTTGGATTCCACAAGATCAAGCAGATTGATGCAAGTGTGAGACCACCTTGTAGTGAGAATAACAAAAGTTACAAAAGGATGTATACTACCAAGTACAAGCATGTCCTAATATGCATAATACATCGACCTACCACAAACATAAAGTATCTAAACTTTTTTTTAAATTCTGTCTCTGTCTGTTTTTGTCCTTGCCCTCCTCCCTGCATCCACTAAGTGTTGATATCAACACTCAGCACAATATCTACTCTATCTCAGTCTTTTGCTTTAACATGATGGAAATAATTAACTCGCTCAGTCTTCCCTTCATTTTAATTCATCTCTTACTGGTTGACTCTACATTAGGCCTTTCACCTTGATTTCTCAATATTGAAAAGGTGTAGGTTATACATAATCCATCCAATAATTTCTCACTGTGACATTTTGCTCACAGTGACAGAGTTGTTTCCCAGGCTTGAGCCCTCCCCACTCCAAGATAAATAGCAGAATGTCAATTGAGGAGTTTTTCAGTACAAGGGGACACGGAGATAAAAAGATGAGAATATTCCTTAATCAAGTTACAATTTCTTAAAATTGTAGCACAAAAGACCCAGCCAAGAGTCCTTCTCCTGGCTATGGCTGGGAAGTGCATGTGCGTGATACAAAGTGAGGACAGAGTCAGGCTTAGCCAGAGGCTGCTCAAGACAATCTGACACGCTAGACAATAACAACAAAAAATTACATTTGTATAGCGCCTTTCGTGTTGGGAAGACATCCCAAAATGCTGGACAGACAGGGATTTGGACCCGAGCTGGGGGTTGGGATCAGGAGGGGTAGAGGGCAAGGAGGATATGGGTAGAAGGGTGACCTAAGACATGGTCGAAGAGGAGGATCTTCTCCAAACTCTGCACAATCTAAAATTTTAAGACAACGACTTTCAAGTTAAGATCAGGAGACATTTTGGGTCTCAGGCATCTTCGAGCATCAGTTGAGTGAGCTAAGTTCTACCTTTACCAAACAATACTTTTATTGTTTTACCATAAATGTTATAAAACTCATTGCTTCAGGGATTTTCTCATTCTTTAAAATATTCAGGGTAACAATTTATAACTTAAAACACAGAGGCCAGAAACAAATGCATAAAAATGATTGAATGGTTAGTGAATTTCGTATTTAAAAATAAATAAATTCAACTTAAAAATAATGTTGAAAGATCAATACTTACTTTTCCCCTTGAGAAAAAGGGTAGCTGAAGGTGATTTGGGTGTTATACTGCAAAGTTTGTTGTTGATAACTCAAATGAAGACGAAGTTGATTCAGCAAAAAGCCTTTGTATGCAAAACAAAGCTGAACAAGTGGTTTAAAAGTGTTAACATTTTGCTGATTTAGTTGCTGGGACTTAATGGGGTAAAGAATCTGATAGGTGCTGTGATCATTATTAGCATTAATATTTATCACTCAAAACAAGTCTTTATGTGTCATCTGGTTTGAAATATGGATACCTACTGAACCCCCCACAGGCCAGATTTCAGCACAATGCTTTGGCCCGAAACTGGCCAAATTACCATTGTTGCCACTGTTGCATTTTAATGCTCAAATGGACAACTGGCCTTACTCTGAGTTTGCCCCAAGAATTGATGCTGTAATGTAAGCCAGAAGGAAGACAGCAGAACAAGAAAACATAGGTTTAGGTTTGCAAATGACAATTTCATGACATATACCAGGACTTATCTCTTTACCTGAAAGTTAATTAATGACTGGAATAATTTACTGAGAAGGGTGTTTGAGGCCAGGACATTAGGCTCATTTAAAAAACAGTTTGATAATGTGATGTGAGGATGGTAGTATGCGTATTCCAAATGGCCTTCTTTATCTGAACTGATCTTATTATCTTATAAACAGTGGCAACGGTTGGAAACTTTAGGTAGGCCAGAGCCAAATTATTCAAAACCAGTCAATAATCAAAGATTGTTCAGAATCCCAATTTTTGTCAATGTTATAATTATCACCTGTGATATTCATCATATCACATGTCACACTTTTCCACTTCAATATCTCCTAAAAATAATTTACAGAGAATTTGAAGTTCATAGGTAAACACAATTTTACATAATGAATAATATTCATTTTAGATATTCACATAAGAGTGAATAATAAGTTTTCAATTCAATCAGGGAGTTTAGATCAGACAAGTAATGTTTACAAAATAGTCAATTTGACAGCTTAATAAGTTACAAAATTGTATTTATTTTTAAAATATAAGTTTTAAATTATTGTAGTTTTTNCTTCATTATTTCTTAACTGGATTTCTGAATAAGGAATTTGAGTCATGCAAACGGAGGACTTTGTCCGGGAATTGGAAGTAGATGACATTTACTGGAGGAACTCTGTTCCAATGTGATCTATTTCATGGAGTTTATGGGATTCCTTCTTATGGGATTCCTTATTAAGGGAAACAGCACTAAATGGAAACTATGGGGTAAAGTTTGCAGCATTTCAAAAGACTATTTTATTCTCACCTGCTTGTACTTTGTCAAAGGAATGAATTCATCTTCTGATATAAACAAGTAGTTTGGATTTATAAGACAATATCGTCCACAAAAGGCATCTGTCTCAATGGTCACCTTGCCTTGACTGGTAAACTACAAGGTTTAAAATACAAACAAAATTGGTTTAATTGTTTTACCGTTGTTGTGCCCAACTCACATTCATTATTCAAGCAGTGAAGGAGAAGTATGTAAAAAGCTTTGCATGAATGAATTGGAAGGGAATGTCAGATGTTCTGGTAGTGCTACTGCAAATAACACCTCCTAATTTGTGTTGTCGGTCTAAGGACTGTCTGTGTTCAATTGGAGGTTTCTGTTCTGTTCCTGTTATTATTTCTATTCATTTGTATTTTCTTAATTGTGGGATGAGGTGGACTGAGCATGCATCTCTGAGGTAAAATGACCACTAGAATTAGGTCTCTCATGTTTACTCCTGCTCTCTGCGGTTTATTTTGGTGTCTGACACATGTGGCATCCCGTCACCATCACCCACACAAGAACTTCAGAGACAAACAGTAATTGAAGCAATCTAAAACTGGACCGAACCCTCACAAACAGCACCATCCCCCAGACTGATTTACTATTTCAGAGCACACTCCATCTGAAAGTGACTAGTGAAGGCATTTACGTGTGTCCTTTGGTGCCCACAGACTAACTGGTCATTGAGGGAGTGGAATCCCTTCCTGCTCAGCAATGTCATTGTGTTGTCGAATGGAGACCTCAATGTTAGATCTTGCAGAATACCATTGCCAGCATTCTTAGGAAAACCCAAACCACATAATGTTGGTGCTGAATCTATTATCATCTCTCCAGGTTCTGATGCACACTTTCTGTTACAACCTCACTGGAGTGTCTCAGTTTTGATTGACAGCACTGCTCAGTGAGGTCCAGATGAGAAAGCCAAAGGCTTTTCAGCAGGTATGGTCTCTTGCAGCAAGCCCTCCACCTGTGGGATCTTGTCTTCTATTCTATCCTCTCCTCCTTCAAACACGATGGTGCCAGCAGCAATTGGAGCAAATGAAAATATGCAAGCACCCACCTGTCAGGGTTACCCCAAATTAATTCATCAAGGACGCTTTCCTACACCATGATCTACTGATCTCCCCTCAGTACTCTGTGAGGACACACTTTTTAAAAGGAGCCGTAATTTCAGAACAGAACAGCACAGAAATAAAATAATAATAATAATTGAAATTCCAATTGAACACGGACAGTCCTTAGACCGATCACACAAAATAGCCCCTTTCCTCTGAACAACTGGTAGTTTTACATAAGGAACAATTAAATTTTTTCACATTGATACAACAAGGTGCCTTGTTGCTAGAAAATATTGCTATTTTTCCTTCATTAAATAGCTAATTGAAATGCTTTTAACAAAATATAATTAATAATAATCCTTGCACTCAATACAGTGTCTGTGTCACTAAAAATAACAACAATAGATTTACATTTGTTTAGCACCTTTCACATCGGGAAGACACCCCAAGGCATTGCACCTTTATCTGGAGGCATCAAGGGAAACTCCCTTCTCTTTTTTGAATTGTCATGGTATCTAACAGCCACCTGTACAGCCAGTCAGGACCTCAGTTTAACATCTCAGTAAAGAATGGCACAAGGGCTTCCCCACTAGACTGCACTGGAGTGTCAGCCTAGATTATGAGCTCAAAATCCTGACATGCGACGTGAACCCACAGCTTTCATTGTTACCAAATGAGTGATGTAAACACCTGTTGTCATAGCAGTGTTGTCATACGTTGCTTCTCATAGATTCAAAGAATATTGCAACACAGAAGGAGGCCATTCAGCCCGTGGTGTCTGCTCTTTGGAAGAGTTACCCAATCAGTCCCAATCCCCCACTCTTTCCCCATTGCTGAAGCAATTATGATGATGTCTTTGGGTCTTATACTTACTGTAGATGACCCACTTTCAAAATCCTGGAAATATTTTACTGCATATCCTTCTGTGTACTGAATCATCCGTTCTGGACATTTCACACCTACTAATTCTTCAATAGCAGCTTTGACCTGTAGAGAAACATTTTATTAAAGATTAATTCTGAATCACATTAAACATCCTCACCTCAATCTATTTTCATGGTTCTAGCCAATCAACTTTAAAATAGCTTTGCTTGCAAATACATATCAAAACTTTTTTTTGGCCTGGGTGTCTGACACATGCAGAAACACATCATGTGCTTAAGATTAGCCGCACTGCAACACTTCACGCTACCGAGCGGCGGTCTCCGCTCTGAGGATTAACTCTGAACATTAACAATCCACGATTGTTTGTGGGACACTGCTGTGCGCAATTGGCTGGAGCGTTTCGCCCACAAGATATACAGTCAATTCACTTTACAGTGTATCCTGTGAAGCGCTTTGAGACGACTTGGAGATGTGATAAGGCGCTATATCAATAACCAGCCGCCACAAACCTCAGTAGCAGTTGCATTTGCTGAGAGGGGTCTGGAGCTGATTCCGTCCAAGATCAGTGTGAAGGTCTCGAGGCTCGGCTCTCCCTTTATCTGTTCCACCACTTCAATCGTAACATTGGTTCCTCCCAAAACCTCGTACTCGAGGAGCTCAAAATCCCCTGCACAAGAATAATATTAGACAAATGGCAACATTACAAAAAATATACTTTTTGAATGTTTTTATTAAATGACTTGTGGTGTGTTTTGCTTGAATCAAATCCAACTGCTACTTGTACTTTTATAATGGTTCACATAGTCACACAGTCATCCTAATTAGCCTTATGCCACAAACCCTCTGCAAGCTCTGCTTGTTGTCACGCTTTCATTTAGGCCTTCCCGTATATTGTCCTACCTTCTCAGCTTTACCTTTCCCATGATCCTGTCTGACAATACTTCTGATAAAATAGTACAGATATGGTACATTCCACTCATAGAATAAAATGCTTAAAACTCAATAATTCTAGCCTTACACTTCATGGCTGTTTGTGGGACATTGCTGTGTGCAAATTGGCTTTTGTGCCTATCTACAAATTGGCTTTCATGCTTGCCTACAAAATACTTTCATACTACACTCTAGTAAATAATGTGAAGGGCTTTGAGATATTTTGATGATGTCAAAGCTATATAAAATTGAAGGATTATTATTATGACCCAATCTGAACCAATTATTGACTCCTTTGTAAAAACATTCAAGTTTCCTGAATGGAGCAGGGTGTACTTCACCTCTATTGGAGACAAAGATCACGGAGTAGCTAAATCCTTTGCTGTTCGGTCTTTCTGTCACTTCGATGTGGTCTGGTTTAATTGGCAAGAGATTATTTAATGCAGTTTGAACCTGATAGGCTGAAGCATCTGCAGGAAGAAGACCTGAAAACCACAAGAAAGCAAAGGCTATCAACTTCACCTCAACACAATCATAAAGATCTCGTCTGTCAGTCAGGGAATATGCTATATCCGAAGGAAAGGTATTCGAATACACGTAAGACTGACTGGATAAATACCATTAATAGCTGACACCATCAGTGCCCCAACATATACAGTCAGAGACGTGAATTATTATATTTTGGTAATGGGGAATCTCTCATTGTCTCCTATTGAAATATTTAATGTTGCTAACACCTTCCAGAGAGCTGCACTGATAAAGGAGCTGTTATTCAGTGAGTTGAAAGTGATTCCTTCCATACAAGTGAATCATACTGGAACCCCCCTAAGAAAAACACTGATGCTGATAATGCATGTCTGAAATGGATGGCTCTGAATAATGAGGAGATCCTCACAGTCTGTCTCTTTGATTAAGAAAGGAAGACAATTAGAGTTGTTTAAAACATTTCTAGAGCTCTCTTGTGGGCTGAAATTGCAGTTTGTATTACATGTTTATATGTTGCAGGACTGATGTTGCCAGCTAATGGGATTTATTCCAGTCAGTTTTACATGTATTCAAATACTTGTCCTTTAGATATCATGTAAGCTGAGGTCCCGCAATGCTGTTCAGACAAACGTTAAAGACTCCTTTGCATTATTCGAAAAGAGAAGGGAGTCTCTCCTGGTGGCCTGGCCAATAGTCTGCCAAATAGGATTTGTATCTTGAATGTTTGTGGGACATTGCAGTGCACAAATTAGCTGCTGTGTTCACTTACAAAATACACCACCCTTTACAATGAATCCTGTGAAATGTCAGCTACTAACGGGAGTTCCTGATTATGATGACACATTGTCAAAGTCACTACACAGAACAGCAACCTCAACTCTCTAGGTTGCTTAGGTGGTAAATACAACACTTCATGTGATACTAAGTCATTAAGACCGACATGTCACACACAACTTTGCTTTTGGAGTAAGGCTGTGAGTTTGGTCGAGGTTCCTATCAGTTTCAATTACAGTGCATTTGGCTTTACCTGTTTTTGCCTTGTTGTAAGAGAGTCTGTACCAGTGATCAAAGCAGGTGTTTGACTCCTGGCAGGGACTGTTTACTGTGACATTTTGAATCTCATGGACTGCATATCCTATTTTCCAGTTCTTCAAGGTCAGAACCTAAAGTTAAATGATACTAAAATGAAAACAGACTTCTGGAAATGAAGGCTTATTAAACTAGCAACAACAACAACAAATTACATTTGTAAAGTGCCTTTTCTTGTTGGGACGATGTACCAAGGCACTGGACAGTCAGGGATTTGGATCCGAGCAGGGGGTTGGGATCAGGGAGGGTGGAGGGTGGGGAGGGTAGGAGGGTGGCCGAAAGCACAGTCGAAGAGGAGGGTCTTGAGACATGCCTTAAAGAAGGCAAGGGAGGGAGCAAGGCAAAGGGATTGTGGGATGGAGATCCAAAGGGTGGGGGCCAAGAGGCTGAAGGCCTGACCACCAATGGCGGTGCGGGCCAGGTGGAGGATGTGGAGCAGGCCTGCTGAATTGAGGGCGGACGGGTTGATATGGCATTAGCAGGTCACAGAAGTAGGAAGGAGCAAGGATGTTGAGGGTTTTGAAGGCGAGGGCGAGGATTTTGAACTCTATTCTCTGGAGGATAGGGTGTCAGTGGAGCTGGGTGAGGGTGGGGGTGATAGGGTCACGGAGTCTGCTGCGGGAGAGGACATAAACTGCAGAGTTCTGGATGATCTGTGGCTTGTGGAGGAAAGAGTTGGGAAGGCCAACAAGCAGGGAGTTGTTGTAGTTGAGCCTAGATGTAATAAAAGCATGAATGAGTGTTTCAACGGCCTAAGGGTAGAGGCAATGGTGGAGCCGGGAGATGTTGCGGAGGTGGAGGAAGGCAGAACAGGTCATGGCACGGATGTGAGGTAGAAAAGTTACTTCAGGGTCAAACAAGATGCCAAGATTCTGGACTGGTTCAGTGAGTGTACATCCTTGGATGGTGATGCTGTCAGTGTCTGAGGTGTGGAGGCGCTGACATGAGCTAATGAGGAGAGCTTCGGTCTTGTTGACGTTCAACTGGAACTGTCTTGGTATATGTGGAAATATTACTCTTGATGTTGGGATACAGGGATTCCCCTATAATCATTTAGAATAGAACAAGATTTTTATATCCATTCATTTAAGATATGTTTAATTAATTGTATTAACAGGTCAAAATGGCCACCAAATTAGCTTTCTTACTAATGGAATGTGGCACAGGCTGGAACCACGGTATCCGTTATCTCTCCTCTCTCCAGATGCACTTTGCTAAGTGTTATTGTAACCTTGGGTACTAGCTAGACATGGAGGAAAGCTCTGCAAAACATTATATGTTAGGCCTAGGAAGATAAGGAGTAGACTTGTAGACAAGACAATGGAGACTCACTTTATCAATTGTCAGGCTGGCACCAGGCCAATGATTGATTAGGATGAGTATGTGCAGGACAAGTTGTGAGAGGGAAGAAGGTATCTGGCAAGAGTCCAGAAACGGGGTTAATTAGTGAAGAGAGAGAGAGAAGTCAGTTGGGCTGACTGCCAGGAGGAAAGCGAGGGATTTATACCAGCAAAACCAGGGCAAGCGCGGGACGACAGCCAAGAAATCTTTTTCCACTTTTGTTCTACGCGAATTAACCGGTAGTGTGCTCTTCTTTACACACTATTAAGCTCACTGTCTTATAATAAAAGAATTATTGCACCATTTTGGATTGTCGGGTCATATTTCGAACTGTCGGGATTGGAAATCCCAACATTGATTTACTTCTGTCAAATCCATTCATAAACAATACAATTTACATTTATATGGTGCATTTTTAATCGGGAGGACATCCCAAAAGTGCTTTGCAGTGCTGGCACTTAAGCTGGGGGCAACAGCCAAGAGGGTGAGGAGAGGAAAGTTGGTCCCCCAAAAAACGGTCAAAGAGGTATGTTTTGAGACATGACTTGAAAGAGGGAAAGGAGAGGGCGATGTGGAGGAACTCTGGGATGGAATTCCAGAGACTGGGGACAGAATGGCTGAAAGCCTGCCCACCGATGGTGAGATGGATAGGGCGAGAACCTGGTACTTGCTGAGTGAAGAGAACAGCTGGGTCAGTAGGGTTGTAGGAGGTTGCAGAGGTAGGGTGGGATAACACTGTACTTAAAGGTAAGAATGAGGATCTAGATCTTGATCTGCTGGGGAATGGGAATCAATGGAGTTGAATGAGGTTGGGGATGACAGCCTCTGTTGTGTGAGAGGACATGGGCAGCAGAGTTCTAGGTAGTCTGCTTAGGGTGTGGAAAAGCTGGGGAGTATAGCAAACAGAGCATTGGATGTAATAAAGGGATGAATGATGGTCTCAGCAGTCCAAGGAGAATGGTAATGGTGGAGGCAGACAATGTTTCAGAGGTGAGGAAAAAACTTCCCTTATAGATATCTCTTTTTATAATAATAATCGTTGCATTTGATATAACGCCTTTTCATGTCATTGAGATGTCTCAAAGCGCTTCAGAGAATATTCTGTAACGTAAATTGACTGTATTTTGTGGGCAAAACATGAAAGCCAATTACGCAAAGCAGGGACCAAATTATTATTATTTAAACGATTTTTTAATGGGATTATTATCCCGGAAAGCAATCTTCCAATTGAATCACAACCAGTTTCTTACTTACTGCTAGACAAACAGAGACGTGTGGAGTAAGGAACTTGTCTAAGGTTTCGCCTTGCCTGGGAATCGAATCGGGTACTCTTGCTTGCGAGGCGAGTGCTCTAACCAATATGCTACAGGACTCCACTTTTTAAGTCTGAGGAGCTCCGGATTATCTAGCCTTTCCTTAGAGTTCATTCCTGTAATAGTGAGGAACAGCAATTTTTCTGCACTGCCTCGATGACATAAACTACCCTCTTCTGTCCAGACCCAACCAGGTGTAGCCAGAAAAAACACTGTATGGCTTTAACATTACTGTTGCAATATGAACTTAACTGACTGGGCAATATTGCCCAGGATCCAATTTGCCTTGTTTATTGCACAACTGGGTACTGTATTTCGCTCACAAAATACACAATCAATTCACTTTAGAGTCTATCCTGGAAGCACTCCGAGAAATCTCGACGACATGAAAAGCGCAACATCAAATGCAAGTATTATTATTATAAAGTCACAAGTCAATCAGCTTCCCCCTTAACCTTTACTTATACCAGAAGTAACACTTCACAGCATTTTAAAGTAATTTGATCATGCATCTAATATATATAATGCATCAAAAGTGAATAGCAAGTGAAACAAACCTGTTTTTCAAGCTTAACAGTAGATGTTGTATCAATTAATTGCTGTTCACTAACTGCATCAGATGTCTGCTGCTCCAGGTAAGTACTGCTCTCTCTGTATGCACTGATGGTGACAGAGTGAAAATCAGCACGTTCCTTCACCAGTACTTCAATGTAGTACCTAAAGATAAAAGAGGAGAGTATTGGTTATTCAGTCAGTCACTAAGAGAGTATAGCTTATCTATTTGGAGGTTCCTTCACCCCCACATATTACACACAAAGTGCCAGTAACAGTGGAATACCATTTTCATGGAATATTGAGTTTGTTATTTTTGTGTTGTTTTGTTTATTTTGGCTTAAAACGGAATTCAATTCTGTATGTTCCTGCTGAGCTGCTTTTACTTCTACATCAAGGAGTGTGAGGCAGTAATAAACAAGGCAAACAGGATGCTGGGCTACATTACCCCCAATGAGTTAAAATCACATCCCACCAGGCTATGTTCAGTGAACCAATCAGGCTGTACCGGAAATACTGACTCAGGTATAGTCACTGCAAGATAAAGGGCTGCCCAAGCCCCAGAGCAGTGGAGAGCAACAGGCTGATCTCTGGTGTTAGAGGGATGAACAACAAGGAACGACTAGATAAGCTGGGGCTCTTCAGCCTTCACAATGGACATTTCAGAGAAAACAGGATTTGGTCAACAGTTAGAATGGCTTATCAGGAAGAACAAAGGACACTGGCCTCATTTAAGAAACAGCTTATTACTGTAAATTTTGTAGATCGGAGTTCAGTTGCCATCAGTCAGCCAGTATGTCCTGCTTCCTTTCTGAACTCATTGCATATTAAATCTTAAAGTAGATGAAATATAACAGTACTTACTCTTTCCCTTTCTGAAGATGAACAACACTTGCTTTTGGCCAGCGAAATAGGTGGTAAGATTTAGAAGCGTAGATAATCCATTTTCCAAAGTTAATTTGAACCTGCAATTGACGTAAAGCAACACTTAAAGAGCTTTCAATGCATAGTCAACACGTATTATGTTTCATAGCATATTTATTAATCCACACTTGAAACCAATCCATATATTTAACTGTAAAAATCATAAGATAGTATTATTTAGATTAGACCATATGATCTCAACCTTCCTAAATCATCAAGCAATGTCTTAAATGAGTCCGGTGTTGTGGCCTCAACCACTTTTCCAGGTAACCCTTTAAACTAGACTTTAACTACCCATTTTTAAAAGGAAAACTTTCTGGTATATGTGCTAGAACTATGAATGTAAAATGAAGAATTTCACTAATTGTAAATCTGACCCAAAATTGCATATTGGATTCCACTAACATCTCAACTGCTGACACATTAAAAAAACTAATTTACATAGAATCACATAAACTGCAAGTGAATAATTTACCAACTAACTTTTCCAAACCAAAGGAAAACACTTCTGAGATAATTCTCTGAAGGTTTCCAAATTTAGAAACTCACAATGGAAAGCAGAGGAGAATAAGATTTACTCATCCACCAAAGTCAACAATTTTACTGACCTTTTTAGATTCACCTCTTCTAGCTATGGTTTTCATCAGTAGTATAGGAACAGTATCACAGTGATGAGTTAAAGTAGAACAATTCACTGCTCTGTTCTGATTGTTACTCCCTCTCCTGCTTTATAACACCAACATCAACAACAACTTGCATTTGTATAGCGCCCTTAGTGCTGGGCAGCGCCTAGAGTGCCAAAAAGTGGCGGAGCTTGATACTGAGGTGGAACTTGATGCTGAGGCTGGGGGAGGGAGGAAGTGACCATAAGCAAGGTCAAAGAAGAAGGTCTTCAGTCTTAAAGTGGGTCTTCACATATTATAGTAACATCTCCATTCTTTTCAATTTTTAAAAAAAATTCCGAGCAGTCCATTGAGTTCCTAAGCATTTATCCTATTTTTCTCTCCTCCTCTCCCATTGAGTGTGGTACTCGGTTAAGACTGCAAACTATAGATATAAGAGATGACTGTCTATAGTTTAGTAAATTTATGAACCTTGGTGGATGAGTAAATCCTATTCTCTGGTTTCCATTGTGAGTTCATAAATTTACAAACCTTCAGAGATTCATCTCTCAAGTGTTTTCCATTGGTTTGGAAATGTTAGGTGATAGAATCATATAAACTACAAGTAAATAATCTAAGTAAAGGATTTTTAAAGTATCAGCGGTTTGGAAGTTAGTGGAATCCAATGAACAACACAGGGTCAGATTCACAAGCAGTTAAATTCTTCATTTTACATACAAAATTCTAGCATAGGTACCAGAAAGCTTTTCTAACAAAAATGAGGAAGAGAAGATTAATTAAAGGGTTACCAGAAAGAGGGCTTAAGGCCAGAACGCTGGATCCATTTGGAAAGAAGAAGCGAGTTTTTCCTGGCGTCCTGGCCCAACAATTCCCCAAACAAAATTAGCCATTCACTTCATAGTTGTTTATGCAACATTGCTGTGTACAAATTGTCTGCCATGTTCACCTACATTTACACTTTATATTACATCTGGTGAAGTGCCTTGAGATGTCCACCTGACGTGAAAGACACTTTTACATCTATGTATTATAATTATTATTATTATTAATAATAATCCTTGCATTTGATATAGCGCTTTTCACGTCGGGAAGACGTCCCAAAGCGCTTCACAGAACACACTGTAAAGTGAATTGACTGTATATTTATGGGCGAACGTGGCAGCCAATTGCGCACAGCAGTGTCCCACAAACAGTCGTAGATTGAAAATGACCAATTTATTATTGTTTTGTTTTGGAGGGATTATTATTAGGCGTGTGGAGTAAGGAAACTTGCCCAAGGTTTCGCCCTGCCTGGAATTGAACTCAGGTCTCTCGCTTGCAAAGCGAGTGCTCTAACCACTGAGCTACAGGACTCCACGTTACTAACTATTATTATTATTAACTATTATTAACTGTTTCTCTTTGGTTTGAATTGCCAGTTCAGTGGCAGCAGCAGCTTTCTGTACCAGCAGGTTCAATGCTAAGTACAATACTAAAGAGAGCCAGACAGTGTTGTCTGCCTGGCATTACAATATTTGTACTGCATGATTTTTTGTAACTATGGGATTGACCACATGTACTGCAATGGTCTTTCTCAATCCTCCTTACCTTGTCTTGAGGGTGTCCAGTGGAGCTGAAATGCAGTGCATAACTACCTCGACCCTTGATGTAAAAACGGTAATTGTCAGTCACTGGGGGCACAAAAAAGCCACTGAATCGGGCAACAAATGGATCAGAGTCCTTTGACCGCTCATACGAAAGGGTATCAACCCAATTCACAGAATATCCTGGAGTACTGTTATTGTAGTTTAGTATCTCACTTAGCGATTCTGGGTTACTATTCGTCCAAATTTCCAATTTCAAACCCCTTCCACCTAAGTCAACACAGAAAGGAATAATGAATATGTGCATATAAACACGAAGAACATTTGCTAAAACTATTCCTGTGACATAATCTCATGAACTGCACTGTGATTCAAATTGAAATCATTGGAACACATCCAGCGGGAGAGTTCCGTGTACCAATAGTAAGTGGAAAACATTAGAGAGCTCACACAATCCTCTACACAAAGCATTAAGGACCTGTAACAACAATATTCATTCATATAACACTTTTATTTAGGAAAACATGCCCTGTAAGTTCTGTTAGCATTTCAGATGTGAAAGGCACTATATAAACGTAAATTGTTATCCTAATTCTCTGCTTTTATATTCAATACCTCTTCCTATGAACTCCAGCATCTTATTTACCTTGCTGATGGCTCTCTATACTTCTGAACTAATTTTTAGTGCTTTATTTACAGAAAACCCAAGTATTATATGTTTATCAACTTGACCTGGAACTTCAACATTTAAATATTTCAATCCCATTTCCAAGGCGTTAACGTTACTTACCTTAGCAATGTTGTGAAGTATGTATCTGAATATATTCTGCAAGGATTTATTCTTATATACTCACGCTTTCAAAGAACCAGCACAGGCTTCTTACATGCTAAACATTTCTATGGTATTATGCTTCTTTGTGTGAACTATCTATCCAATGGCTACATTGAAAACTTAGATTTTTATTAAATTTAATTCAGCACAGCAAAAGAACTTCACCTGGAAAGATTGTTCTCTCAGTATTATCTTCTTTAGGTGTTTTGCAGATTATTTGATTGTTGCTGAGACTTATAATATCACAGTTTTGCCCTGTATGAAAGTAAAAAAAAGGAAGAATTGTATCAAGAATGTAAGAATGACTTTTGTTTCTTTTATGGATGGTTCATGATTCAAATATTTAAACAGAACCAATTTTATTATTTCACTAACCATCGTGCTGAGTATATAACAGATCACAATTTGAATAAACCAAATGGCGATGGGCTTACATGTCATTGGCTGTAAATCCTGCATTTCAATATTTTGTAGTTGATTTGATTAGATTATAAATGCTGTTAAAAACAACAGTTAAAAATAGAACAAAGTAATTCAGTAACAAGCTGAATGTAATCTATGTCCTCTATAAACCCCAAATTTCACCTAGTCAATAAGACCACTTTGTTTTAAAGTGCAAAATTGTCAAAAAGTTCGGTCTTAAATTGGAAACTGGTTCTTTTTCAGAGCTGCAGCAAACCAAATTGTCCATCATTCTGTCTGATCTTAAATTTTAAGACTAAATTGTATAACAGGTTAACAATAGATGGAATTTCAAATCTCTTGATACCTTTTATCATAACTCTAGCTGAGGAATCTGTTTCATCAAAGAATTGGCCGGTTACTGTCAGTCGGGTTCCTCCTTCCACACTCCCTGCAGATGGGTAGATCCCTCTGATCTCTGAAAAGACAACACTACACAGATGTTTAAAAGTTACAGTTAACATTATTTTTTAACAAGCTTTCGGGATGGGAATATATTTTAAGATACACAAAGTTCCATTTGTTCCACGGTTAAATGCAAGTTGTTGTTGTTTATGCTTGATGGCAAATAAACCATTTAAATGCTGCTATGTATATCAAGCCAAGGCCAAAATTTGCCAAGTAAATTGAAAAGCACAGGAAGTTGTTGCATTTGCAACACAAGTAACTGAGCTGCTGTATGTATTACCACAACATAGTTTATCTTTTGTTAAGTGCACATGCCAATGTGCTGCTGCTTTTTGTATGTAATACAGAAATGCACAATTTGCAGGAGCATGTATAAATCACTTCTAAATTTCTTAGATAAATTAATTAAACACTTGCCTATTAAACCTAAATCTGCAAAGCTACTTTGTGTTAGACCAATCTATAAAACTAATGTGTGCTTATAAATCCTGAAGCAGTGCTGATTGTTAACAATGCCAATATTCATCAAGTTTTGCACAAGCAATTCACTAAAATGAAAAGTATTCATCCTGACACCATCCTCTGACTCAGAAGCAAGGGTGCTAGCAACTGAGTTAGGCTGATACCAATATACTGAATTTTATGCACCATATTTAAAGTAACATACACATATGCAATAGCCAGAGGAGACAAAACAGACTTCAACAGAAAACATAATTAACCAGTTGAAATTGTAGTTTCCTTACCTGCAAATGTTTGGAACATACTGATTTTATTCAGGGAAGAAACAAAGTGGGTGTAGGTTTCAGGCAAAGATCTACAACAGGAAACAAAGAGGCAATTTTCAGTCTATATTTGAAATTGCAGGATTACTTTGAAGTTTCACTTGGCATGTAATTCAAACCAGTGAAATCCAATTTGTGCACTGTAAGAACTTTGGAATCACTTGCAACATAACCATTAGTGAATGCTTTATATGTGTCTAAAATTGCATTAAAATCTTGGTAGAATGAGTAGGATATAACTTTATAAGATTTTTTAAAGTGGAAACAAGTCTATTCAAAGGGATTAGGGGAGCCAAGAGAGAACTAGAAAGGGCTGTGGAATAGCCAAAAACGTCTTCCAGTATTATAACAGTTAGAGGGTAGTTAGGGAAAACATTAAAATCCAAAGGGGTCCAACGGCTGTTGAAAAATCAAGCCTAACAGGATATTGTCCAACATTTATATGACTCTTTCCTGGAGATTTTTTTTAACAGAGAAGACACTAAAAAACATCCAATGTACTCTATTTGAGCTCCCGGATTTTGATACAGTATTACAATACAATTTACAATTATATAGTGTTTTCACATTTGGAGGCTGTCTCAAAGTGCTTGGCACTGCTGGCTGGCCACTTGAGCTAGTGGGTAATATAATAATATTAAATGGGAGCCAGAAGGGCAAAGGGAAAGTTGATTGAAAGTGCGGTCAAAGAGATATGAGCAAGGTTTATCATATGATAAAGTCTTTGACTATAAAAATTGTAGTTAACAAATACTGAAATTCCATCTAAGTGGAATCCAATGAATACAGTGATTGTGGCATTATATCACCTCAAAGATCAAAGCTACTACAATTTTTAAAAAAATCTTACCTTCCATAGCGCTCCACAATGAAGCTCACATTGTGATCACCTGGGATAATATTGATTATGAACAAAGTATTAGTAATACAGTATTAATACACTAATAAAGTGATATTAAATAATATTCTTTTAAAAAACATAGAAAACTTACCAACATATGTCCCAGTTATTTTGCAAGTTATTGTACCCATCGAACTATGCTCACTTTCAAGCTCCAAGCCATACCTAAAAAGTCCAAAGTGTAAAATCAAATTCTTGCAAATCCTTTATAAAAAAATAAAATTATTATTATTTGATATAGAGCCTTTGATTTGATATTTGATATAGAGTCTTATCACATCTTTGCGACATCTCAAAGCGCTTCACAAAATATACTGTAAAATAGTTTCAGTAATTTAAATAAAGCATAAATGAATATTAAAAAATAACAATCTTACAAAGTATCGGAATCAGGATGAAGGAGTTCACAAGGCATTCCTCCAAAATAGACTCTGTAAATGAAGTTGCATAACAAAGTTAATTAAGTAGTGCTATAATAATATCCGTGCATTTGATAAGGATTATTATTATTATTATATAGCACCTTTTATGTCACAAGGACACCTCAAAGCGCTTTACACAATTTAATAAAGTGTAGTGACTGTGTATTTTGTAGACAACATGTTACCTTCATTTTAAATGTTTCTCCTTTTGAGTAAGGTGTTAATTAAACTTCAGATGCTAAAGTAATGATATTTCAATTCAAGGTCGTATTCCATATACTAAAAGTGGTCCAATATAGGTAAAAGGACTTAGAATCAAAAAGGATGTTCTTTTCAATGCTTTGGTGTATACTGTTTTGCTTTACTGTGTCTGTTGAACAATGATTCAACATGTGGAATTATAATAGACTGAGGAAATTAAGACATCTTAACTTGAAAGCCTGTGGAGAGATCCAAAGTTACTTCCTGGCTTAGTGGCAGATGAGATAGAAAGGCTACTTCACCACATGACTACAGAACTCATTTTTTTCTCTCACTAATTAATAATAATAATAATAATTTTCACTGCTTCTCTCCTGAAGATATTTAAATCCTTTTTTCTTTTAATGGTATATCGTTTCATAAATGTTATTTGCTACCAAGTGTTTATCATTGATGTTTGGATCCTCATCAAAAAAATGTAAGGATTATATCTCGCAAGAAGATTTTTCAGATCAAATTACTGGTCGGCAGGTGTAAAGAAAAGTTCCAAAAACAGCCATAAAATGCTCGTCCAATTTATATGGAGGATTGTTGGTCAGGAGACTGGAAGAAGCAACCCTGGTTCCGAACTGCAACATTGGATTCTTAACATCTCCCTGAAAGGGCAGACAGGATCCTGGTTTCATATTTCACCTGAAGGATGGCACCTTCTAAATTGTAGCGCTCCCCTCAGCATTAAACCAGAGTAACTAAACAGACTAAACAGTTTTTTTAAAAAAATAGTCTAGTTTACCTCAGAAGCCTAGTTTTCTTAGAACTCTGTACTGAATGACTGCCAAAGACATCAGTGAATACTTGTCCGTGCATAGTAATGAGTGTACCTAGAAACCCAAAACATGACATCAGAAACAAGACATCAGAATCTCGCAGTTAACAGAATTTAAAAACAGACTCATCTTGTGTGGGCTGACATATATTATGTGATTATAATAAATCATTGAATGATTCTTGATGCATTTGACAGTGGTGTGAGTTGTTGGATGAGATGCTCCACTTGATTCCTCCCACCCCAAGGACCCCTCTGTGTTGAAAACTGCTCGGCCTTTGAAAGCAGCTAAATTAGGATAGTAACTTAATTCAGCAATTATCCTGTGTCACAGAACTCAAATGCTGCCTGATCTGAAATCAAACTGAAACCAGAGGTATAGAAAACAAAGGTGATGTCAATTGTGTTTTTAAAAAAAGAGCATTTCAATGTACACTCGTCAGGGGCAAGTGGTGATAGTCCCCAGCTATAGTTTACGAATCGCTCAAAATCTAGAATGTTTAATAATGTGTTTGATGTGATAATTATTAAACCAAATGGATTATGAAGCACAGGAATTTCATTCTTCTAACTGATCTTTTCCTCAATTTAGACCTGCTTGTCCCAACACAGCCCTTCCAGAAAACAGGTGAAAAAGGCATTAGTTTCTGCAAGTAGCATGAGGGAATTTTTGCTTTGCTCTTGTTTTACTGATCAGATGAGAAAATACACATTTTTTCCTTAAAAATTTAAAATCAGACCTGGTAATCCAGATATCGGAAAAATTCCATCGATGGTAGGTGTTTTGTCCAATCTGGACTGTAAAAAACAAAGTCAGAAGTTATTGATGCTAACAGCCTTTAGCTTGATTCAGCCATCCAAGCTCTTTAGGCTAATAGCATAGGTGGGTATTTGTTTTAATATTATAGGATGGATTTCTGACTCCATTAACTTATAGTGGACAGTGAAAGCTGCCTGTGTTTTTTCTATGACCCACCACTCCTGTCATATAACTGTTGTGTCTTCTGAATATACTCTTAATAAGGAATCTTGTTAGAGGTCCATGCTCCGTGCTGAAGTGGTGTTCCTATGGCTCTGCATGATGTACTTCCAGTTATCAGAGGGTTTCCCTTTCTGCGTGACTTGTATTCCATATTAAATAATCCTGTTGGAAGTTATTTAGACCCTTATACATTTTTTTTAGATGTGTGTGCTTAAAAATATCCCACTGACCCTAAAGGACCATCTGTAGCCACTGTCAGTGATTGGAACTCCATCTACACTCACAGCAACATAATATCTGTCATCTGGTAGAGGTCTGCAAAACAAGGGAAAGGCTCAATTTCTGTGTATTACAACATTTCTAAATCTGCATTAATATAGGCCTATATATACAAGATGCATACAGTCTATCTCGCCAGTTCCAAATATAACTACTTCCTCTCCTTAGCTAACATATTCCGCATTAATGAAAAGCATTCCATCTTAATAATAATGTTTGATATAGCACCTTATCGGGTTTCAAAGCTTATTTTGTAGGTGAAAACAACAGCCAATTTGCACCTGGAATATCCCACAAACAGCCATGAAGTGAGTGACCAATTTTATTTGGAGTTTTGTTGGCCCGAATACTGGGAGAAATTCCTGATGAACAGGAAGGAGCCTGGTGTCTGATAGGGGACACAAACACATATGTTACGTTATGCCAGAATCTGGGAGTCACCGTCACTTTTGTCTCCAGTTGTGAGCATAATATTAATAGACACTTCAGAATACACTACAAGTTCCAAACAAGAGTACACTTATTACGCGTATTAGTTGCCCTGAGAAGGTAGTGGTGAGGTCTACTTTCAGTTAGAATTAATATTAAGTTGCATTTGCTTTTTCTTAAATAGTGTACATTTTGTTACTTCCTTAAAGGCCTGAAATTCCACCTAGCTTTAGCATGTAAAATTAGGTTGTCTTAAAATACATGACTACAGAATTGTGTAAAATTCCTAAATTCAATCTTAATTTGGAAGCTGGTTCTTTCTAATAACAGACATAGCAAATTAAGGGAGGGAAGAGGGAAGAGAGTGTTTTTAGGTTTCTGAAATCCAATCCCATGGCACATCCAAAGACCGTTCACTTAAAAACATTTATTTAAATAAAAATCTGTGAAATAAATTCTAACTTTTCTAACACATGGAGTCAATTATTTAATACTTAGGCTAAATTCTACCTGGTGATGCAAATGATTTGTGTTTCATCGCTGGAGTCCTTCTCCACATCACAGGGGATGGATCTCACGTCAGACACCAGGCTCACACTGTTTCCTAACTTTTCGTTTCCAGATCCGTAATTAAACTGATTTTCTCCCGCAAATCCTGTAAAGAAAAACAATGTATGTTATTGCGAACACAGGATTGAGATTTCCGAGTATACTCAATACAAAAGACAAACAACTTCTTACCTGTGCCTCTGATGGTCAACCTAGTTGCTCCATTTGTGCTACCAATATGAGGCTCAATATGAGAAATTGCTGCATCTGAAAAAATAAATTGGGTCATATTTCAGTTCTAAACTAAAATGGATGAAATTTGCTAAATAATTCAAATTAAGGAATTGATATTCACAATTACACAGTTCCATTTAACTTTTCACGTTAATAATCCTTGGACTTGATATAATGCCTATAATGTTGAAAAGCCTCAGAGCATATCACATGTAATTGTTGTCAAATGCAGTGATCCGATACAACCACAGAGGGCTGGCTCGATTCTGACATTCTATTACCAGGCATGTTACCTAGGCCCCAGTTCAGCTCCAAGGAAACCCTGCTTACCTCCCCCCAAGATGTATGTAATCCAACACCTCAGCCAATTTGTACATATCAAGTTCCACAAATTCAGCAATTTGACTCATTCATTTACAGAATTGTTGACTAGGACACTGGGAGAAACTCCCTTTTTCAAATTGTGTCATGGGATATTTAATGTTCAACTATGCAATGGCAATATGATTACCCCTGCTGTAGTCAAAACACTAAACTCTATCGATTATGTGATTTCTGACCTCTTCAAAAACAAAGATCTAATTAAATCTCTTTTGAGAAAAAAGTTACGTTTCCACATTTTTATTTCTGGCAGGTTGTCTGACACATGCGGAAGGAAACCCATTATCATACTTAAGAATATTCAAACCAAACTGAGTGTTCCACATATGTACGTCACTCACACATGAAAATTTCCCTGTTTACGGAGTGGAATGCACAATCTCTCTCTGGAGGAACATAACCTGCTTACCTAATTCTGGAGAGCACTTATAATGATGATAATAATATAATAATAATAATCCTTGCATTTGATATAGCGCCTTATCACATCTTCTAGACGTCTCAAATTGCTTCACAGAATATGCTGTAAAGTGAATTGACTGTATATTTGTGGGCGAAACGCGGCAGTTTGTGTCCCACAAACATTCGTGGATTGAAAATGACCAATTTATTATTGTTTTGTTTTTTGGAGGGATTATTATCAGGCGTGTGGAGTAAGGAAACTTACCCAAGGTTTCGCCCTATCTAGAATTGAACCCAGGTGTCTCGCTTGCAAGGCGAGTGCTCTAACCACTGAGCTACAATATATGAATACAGTAATGATATCAATTATAAAATTATTATTATTTATTATTTTTAAAAACCCTTGCATTTGGTATAACGTCTTTCATGTCGGGAGGACGTCTAAAGTGCTTCACAGGATATGCTGTAAAGTGCAATGATTGTATTTTGTGAATAAATGTGGCAGCCAATTTTGCACACAGCAATGCCCACAAACAGCCATTTTTATAAAAATGGTTTCATTTTCAAAACAAATATTTGTTACAAATGAATATAGTTACCCAGATGTACCTGTGTTTCTTTGAAAGGAGATGGAGAGAACAATAAGAACTATCTGAAACCTACGCCACAGCAGCTTGGGTTTCATAGTGCCCCCAAAGTTGTAATGCTGATCCCAACACTTGGTACTTTCTTCTGCACAGAGGAGAATTCACACATTAATAGGTGAATAGAGAAAAATGACATTTAGCATCAAACACTCTGCAGTCCCCGAGTTACTGGAATCAAGGAAGTGCCAAGATAAGCAAATTCAGATGTGAATAATGGAATAATACCACCCTATCTTCAACCTCTCTTTCCTTTCCAAGGTCCTGGAACGAGTTGTTGCTTCCCAGCTTCACTCTTTCCTCTTCTGCCACTCTCTTCACAAATCAAACTGCTCACAGCACAGAAATAGCTTTGGTCAAAGTGCCAGATGACATTTTGTCCACCTGCGACCAGGGCTCCCTCTGCCTCCTTGTCCTCCTTGACCTCTCTGCTGCCTTCGATACCGTTAACCACTCTATCCTCCTCCACCACCTCTCCTCTTCCCTCAACATTCACGGTTATGTCTTTGAAGAGTTCAGATCCTAACAGATCCTGACATTTTAGCATCACGTTACATTCAGGATCTCAGTCCGGTGTGGATAAAGGGAAACGTGATTACTCTACAAGTGATTAGGTTGCGCTCTACATATAAAATTGTTAACTGTGTAGTTACAAATATAGAATAAGATATCTTTTTAATCTTATCCTATCAAGTTTGTGCGTCAATTTTACCAAGATAATCTGTAGGTCACTGTGAACCACCTTACCTGTACCCACGGCCAGCTCCAGGTAAAAGCATTCAGCTCAGGTTGCTGGCTCTTTACTCTCAGTTTCTCTGCAACACTATTTATTGTGTGCAAGGGGGTGGAGAGATAAGGATCATCATAGGAACTGGGTGGAGTGAGTTGCATTGATATTTGATCATGATTATTCATATCACTAATCGAGATGACTGTTAGCAACCAATTGTAAACAGCATCATATGGATTAGTTGAATTGGAAATGAGATGTGTTTGTGACTGTGTGAAGCACTATAAAACATGTCATATAAATCATCTAGGCATAGATTACAATTATTTTTGAAAACTTATCACTTGGCATTGCTACTCATATAGATCATATATAAAATATATGAGAATCTAACTTTTAGGTTGTCTCTCTGAGCTGAAATTGTCATTTTTTCCCACTTCGTGTTACATTTGAAGCAGTGCCTGCCTTTCATGTCGGGAAGACATCTCATTAAAGTGTTTCATAAGATTTACAGTAATGTGTAGTGACTGTGTATTTTGTAGATGAATTTTGGAAATGGGAGTTGATGGTGATTCAACAATTTATGTTGTGTTTAGCAACCTTTGTGTTTTTATACACTGATCTTTCATTAGTCATTGTTCGACTAGTGAATTTAAAATGTATACACCTACGTGCAATACCTTTCACATTAAAACGATATGCTAAAGAACTGCAGGAATGATTGTCTTGTGTGTCAGAAAAAAATCTATTTTATACTTTTCATTTATAGTGACTTTCAGCAATTCAAGTCACACTTGGTGGATCAAATTTTAGATTGAGCTTTTTTGGCACAACAGAATTAATAAGTCTGTCACATTACTCACTAGTATTGCAATACCAAATGTTTTCTATATTAAAAAGAGGAAGTCTATAAAGTTGAGAGAGTAGTTGAGGGAGCTGGACTGGAAGTTTTATAATAATATTCCTTGCATATTGGAAGGATATCTCAAAGCACTTCACAAAATTTACTGTAATAGTGTAGGGATTGTGTATTTCATGATGAATGCGGCAGTCCCACAAACAGCCATGAGGTGAATGATTAATTTGGGGGATTGATGGCCAGGCCACTGGGAAAACTCTTTCGTCTTGTTGAAAATTGCCTTGGAATCTTTTATGTCCTTGGCCCCCTCCCCACCCAGCTTCTGGTCACCCAACTCCCCCTCCTCTGCCCACTACTGGCTGATACAATCAACCAAACCCTCTCCTCAGGCTCTGTGCCACTCCCCCTCAAAACCACTGTCATCACTCCTCTCCTCAAAAAACCTACCCTTGATTCCTCCAACCCCACGAATCTCAGACCCATTTCAAACCTGCCCAAAGTTTTGGAACGCGTAGTTGCAAATCAACTTCGCTCACACTTCTCCCTCCACTCTCTACTTGAACCTCTCCAGTCCTGTTTTCATCCTGCCCACAGCACAGAGACAGCGCTTGTCAAAGTAACAAATGACGACCTCTCTCCCTGTGTGATCAGGGCTCCCTCTGCCTCCTCGACCTCTCTGCCACGTTTGACACAGTCGATCACCTCATCCTCCTCCACTGCCTGTCTTCCCTCATTCACCTTAGTGGGAACGCACTCCCATGGTTTGAGTCCTACTTACGTCTACTCCCACCGGTCATCTGCGGGGTACCCCAAGGCTCTACCTTGGTGCCTTTCTTTTCCTTATCTACATGCTCCCTCTCAGCGATGTCATCTGCAGTCATGGGATCAACTTCTACATGTATGTGGATAACACCTAAATCTACTTCTCTTCCTCCACCTGTGACTTCCTGTCCGCTGATATCCTGTCAACAACCTCTTCTTTCCTGTGGGTCTGAACTCCTCAACTTCCCCGGGTTCTCCCTCAGACTCACCGAACCTGTGCGTAATTTAGATGTCAAGTTTGATCCCCAGCTTTCCTTTCTAATCCACATCCGTTCCCTAACAAGGATCGCTTTCTCCACCTCCAACACACCTCTGTTTACATAGCAGTAAGTCGGAACCCGCTTGGTAGTCGATTGGCGGATCGCTTTTCCGGGGATAATAATTCCTTCCAAAAAAAAATAATAGTAATAAATTGGTCACTAAATTCACGATTGTTTGTGGGACACTGCTGTACGCAATTGACTGCCGCGTTTTGTCCACAAAATATAGTCAATTCACTTTACAATATATTCTGTGAAGCGCTTTGAGATGCCTCGAAGATGTGATAAGGCAGTATATCAAATGCAAGGATTATTATTATTATTGTCCATCAACATCCGTACTTCACAATAAAAGCAGCCGAAACGCTTCGTCACTTCCTGGCTGGACTATTCCAATATCCTCCCTAATGGTCTCCCCAACTCCATGATACACAAAATTCAACTAATTCAGAACTCCGCCATCCGGATTCTCATCCGCACAAAACTCCAGACCCCCATCACACTAGTCCTTGCCGGGCTGCAATGGCTACCAATTACCGAATGGATCGATTTCAAGATCCTGTCACTCATTTTCAAAATCCTTTCATGCCCTCGCAGCAACAACAACTTGCATTTATATAGTGCCCTCCACACCACGCGGCGTGTCAGAGCACTTAACAATGGCGGAGCTGGACGCCGAGCCAGGGGAGGGGGAAGGTGACCGTAGGGGCGGTCGAAGAGGTGACTGCGCCTCCCTACCTATCCGATTTGCTTACTCCCCACTCCATCACTCTGTGTCTCCACTTGGCTAGCTCTGGCTTCCTGTTCGTCCTTTGCTCCCTCCGCTCAATCATCGGCGGCCGTGCCTTGAGCCACTACGCCCCGAAACTCTGGAACTCTCTCCCTTAATCCCTCTGCTTTGTCCCCTTCCTCCCCACTTTCAGGAAGGCCTTCCTTTTTGATTGTGCTCATGGTCATCTCCCCTTTCCATCTCCCCCTTGGCTCGTTGTCAGACTCCGCCACTGTCAAGCGCTCCGGAACTCTCCCTGTTGTTGTTGTTGTTGTTGTTGTTGAAACATTTTTCTGAAAGTCCTTGTTTAGTTAATGGGTGTTACTAAGTAGTCATTTTCATTGAGATTATGTAAATTTCATTTTTGGAACAAAATAACAAAGAATATCGTTCTGGTGAAAGAATGGGGAAACTGACTTTAATCATTCAGGACGCTCAGATTGAGCTCAGTCAGGAAAAATCAATGTGAATCATTGTCAGGAAATTCAAGGGGAAATCATACAGGTATTTGATGAAAAAAGTCAATTGAGCGATCTGAGAAATAGAGTAGAGTATGATTGCTTTTATTTATTGCTTTGGGATTAGTTAGATGGGCCACATTGCTCTTTTCTGGTCCTATCATTCCTTTATATGCAATAAAAATCAATATGAAAAACATTGTATTCGGTGATTTACTGTTTCCAAGGTAACAGGTGTTGATGGGCAGATAAAATCCAGGAAAACTAAATCCAATAAAATCCCAAAACAGTAACCAGATTTCAAGAATTAAATTGAGTTAGACTGGGTGAGGTGCATCAAATCTCACCTCACATCTCGTTCATCACGTTTACCCAGTTGAGTCGCTGACACTGCTTTTTACATGGTTTATTGGTGGATTTCTATTCTGCAATGAAGTTGCTGAGCTCGAAAAAATATTTTAGAAGAAAAGTTGCATTTTCAAGCACAGATGGTGACAACACAGCGATTTGAATTAATGCTAAGTGATATTTATGATATGCTTATTTTGAGGGAACAACCTAAAATCAGTCATGATAAGCAATTCGGTGAGAGAACTTGTTTGGGAAACATTTAAAACTTGGAGCATTTGGGAAATCCACTGGCAGGCAAGTTTCAACAATATTAATTTTACATTTATAACGGCATCGTAAATGTCAGGAGGACGTCTAAAAGGGCTCCACTTTTAAAATGTGCAGTAGCAGTTTACCTTGCCATGCCAGTCAGAATTCAATTGCAATGCCATATTAATTTTATGGGCAAGGACCCATGTACAATCATCTTGGCAATAACAGAGGTTTGCATTGGGATGTCTATATTGCAGGCAATTTTTCACGGCAACAATAATTTGGCATACATTTGTAATTCACTGAAATTTCAGAATAGAATTTTGGTACATTTCATTATTGATCATAGGTCATTTATAGTTCATCCATACATTTCTATAAAAAATACACAAAATACAAAGTTACACTGTGTTCTCATTGTACTGTTAATAACAGTCTGAAATAATAATTCAAACACACTGAACAATCTATCATTGGATATGCAAATGATTTTGTCTTGTACATCATAGCTGTGGAGGCAAAGGATACGTTCATTGACTGGTATCAAGAGACGCAAACCATAAAAACAAGGAGATAGCTGCATCAAAGGTTTACCACATTGTATTTCCTCATTTCCTACTTGGTTTACAAGCTTAGTTTATGTGTCAAGAGACAAGGCTTGGGGCCCCCAGAGTGAGTACTGGGGTACTGCTGGAGTTTAACCAGCTAAAATCAGGCAGCTTGCCATTGAGACCACTGTGGACAAACTTCTCACTAGTTTTCCCAGGTAGGACCACCCTATCCTGCCTTACTTTGACTTGCAAGGTTAACAAGCTGAGTAGGAAAAGTCCCTGCTCCTAGTAGCCTGTTCGCCCTTCCAAGCCCTACCAATGAGCTACACATTACACCATCATTTGCGTTTCACTGGGATAATGAATGAAGTTAGTAAACATTACAGGCTTGAATTTACATGTCAGCATGATTAACCTTAGGATCTCTGATTTGGGAGTAAAGATGCAGAAGTCACACAGAGCTTACATGAGTTTGTTTTAAAAGGAATTTGCTGATAAAACATGGAAAACAAATACATCCTTGCCAATTTCTTGACAGCAAATATATGTTTTCTTTTCAATGTATAATATGCACAAAAACAATTACAAAAGATGCAAAATTAATGTTATTTATTCAGCTCATTTATGTATGTATGTATGTATGTATGTATGTTATTCCTATTGCAAAGGGTGTGCGTGTGAATGTTTATTATGTCAATAGATCCTTTTCTCTACTTAGCATCAGACACTCATAATACAGAGTGGGTTAGATTCCACATCAAATACTCTTTCCACAGGTCCAACAATAAACCTCAGCTTCAACTTAATGAAACACCTCTATATTGACTTATTGAACTGATGTGATATTTCACAGCCTCTTAGCAGCCTATCTGAATGAATGCCAATTTTATATCAGTGACAGTGCCATTTGCATATGGCCATATTATAAGCTATGGTTTGGCATGTGATTAAATTCCACAAACTGGGTTCAGGTTGTGCAAACTAGTTTCACCCTTGCAACTATCAGAGAGACAGAGATGAAATTCTTTGGTAAAATTTGTGGCATTTCATAATGCATTTGATAACACATTGGATGTACATTATCATGAAATGTTACAAATTTCACCCCCTATAAATCCAATTGCCCTGTGCATCGCTTTTGAATGGAGTTAGTAAACACGACAGGGTTGAATTTACACGTTAGCATGATTATCCTGGTGAAATACAAATGAGTGGTGCAATTGGCAGGATTTGAGGGGCAGAACAGTTACTGGGATTTTTCCCACTCAACCACTGAATTAACATGTTTGGGGGATTAATCTGAGGATCTCTAATTTGGGGATTAAAGAAACAGGAGTCATGCAGAGCAACTGCGTGAATTGAATTTACATGTTAGCACCTTAGGATCTCTAATTTGGGCAGGAAAACCCAACTTCATCTCCACAAATGGCTTCTCCTCCAGCCCCTGCACCATCTCGTGTAGCATTCCTCAGGGCTCTGTCCTTGGCCCCTCCTCGTCAATATCTATATGCTCCCTCTTGGTGACATCATCCGCAGACATGGGGTCAACTTCCACATGAATGCAGATGACACCCAACTCTATCTCTCTGCCTCTACCCTCGACTCCAGGACCACTGTTGACCAGACAGAATGTCTATCAGACATCAAGTCCTGGATGAGAGTTAATTTTCTTCAGTTGAATGTCAAAAAGACCGAGGCTCTCCTGATTAGGTCCCGTCAGCACCTCCTCACCTCAGGCACTGGCAGCATCACCATCCATGGTTGCACCCTCCACCTTGTTAAGCCAGTCCGGAACCTTGCTGGTGTGTTTGACCCTCAACTATCCTTTCTACCCAACATCTGCACCATGAATCGCTCTGCCTTCCCCCATCTCTGCAACATCGCCCGGCTCCGCCACTGTCTCACACCACAGGCGAAAGCATCAATGCTTGACTATGCAAACTCATTGCTTGTCGATGTCCCCAACTCCTCCCTCCATAGGCTGCATTTCATCCAGAACTCTGCATCCCACGTCTCTCCCACACCAGGCTCCATGACCCAATTTCCCCCATCATCGTCCGACTCCATTGGCTTCCCATCACACAGAGGATACAGTTCAAGATCCTGGTCTTCAGCTTCAAAGCCCTCCATGGTCTTGCTCCCCCTTACCTCTGTGACCTCCTAACTCCCTACCATCCTGCTCGCTCCCTCCGATCAGTGGGCTTCGGCTTGCTTCACGTCTCCGCCTCGCTCACTCCACTATTGGTGGACGGGCCTTCTGCCAATCTGCCCCCACTCTCTGGAACTCCATCCCGCAGTTCCTCCGCCTTGATCCTTCCCTTGCCTCTTTCAAGA